CGCACGGTAAGGATCCATTAGCATAGAAGTAAGTATCTTGATCTACTGCGGTACACTGCAGGCAGATTACAAGCAACGCTTCCGCACTATATTGAATTCGGTACCAACACCGACTCCCATTGCCCGAGCACGTTTACTTGTTAGCGTGATTCCCAAATGATTACGATCTTACTGCGTACGGAACTCCATTGTAGCTGGAAATACGCGAGTGGCCCTTTCTACGTTCGCATTACCTAAGCCATATTTCACTGCAAGTGACATGCGGACTATTCTCAACTAGGTAATTTGAAGTTCACTAGTTTACCTACATGCAACATTGTTATTTTCGAGTAAATCTCCTTTTGATGTATGATGACAAGCGCAAGCAACTTTCGCCTTTTATATTAATGGAGACTGTTATTTGTATTTTATTTATATAAAATGTTCAATCCCAACATATTTTACTAAATGTATTAATATTTATAATATTTACTCATGTTATTTTGTTTTTATGTATTAAAACATTTTTAAATTAAAACGAACATGTTTGTGCCTGCAATAAAATAAAAGCAAAATTTTAAAAACTCAAACGACAGGCGTCACCTACTTAATCATACGTAGTGTCTAGTTTGATAAGCTTCTAATTGGCAAAACGTAAAGTCAGGCAGGTTTTTTGGCCTGCTCATTGCCCATTTTTCTAATAGCTAGCACTAGGATGGCATGTAAAGCCAAAAGTTCTACGCCCTATCTCAAGTTCCATCAAGTATCTTCAGTCGTCCCAAATTGGTACGATAAAAGGAAAAAAAAAGCCAGAAAGTAACATTACCGATTATATCGATTACTGGCTCTAAACATTTTTTTAAATATTTTTAAAAATTAAGAAAGGTTTCCTTTGAATGAAACATAATATCTTCAATATTTAAGATACTTTTCTTCCATGTCCAGTTCATTCGTTTCACAGTTCACACTGTATATAGTAATATATGTTTGTACATGTGTAGGTATAGTACCTATCACCAAAATTCGGTTAGGACATTGTTTATTTCCTTTATTCATTAACATTATCGTTACTCCATAATATAAAGATATGTGTATTTCTGATAACGAATTTACCAGAAAAATGATTTCAACAAAAGCTCTGGATAAGAATGAAAAAGCTTTAAAGCAGAATGAAAGCTACTCAATTTAAAATTCTAATCAAATCGGTTAAGTACTTATACCTTGTAGAAATAACAAAGACGAGTTTGTATATTTATAATAATTAGTGTGATTGATCACAAATCCGCAATATTTTTTGCATTAATAACAGTCGGTTAAACTTAAATTTACTTACTCACTTGAAAACCTATACAATGCGTAGGATGACGGCGCCAGTCTTTGTGGGTTATATAGCCCTTAGCTAGTTACTCCATATAATCTATTGACTTAACTGCTCTTGTCATGTTTAACCGGTAATATATTACACACATTGATCAGCTTTGAACGTTCATTTCTACTACATCATTAGAAACGATAATATTTTATGGCATATCATGTAACTAATCACTAAAGTCTCGATGTTATAACGTGAAGAATGGTATCGTGAATCTAAATAACTACGCGATTATAGAGTATTTAGGGAAAACGATGTCGAAGTTCAAAGAGTTAAAGTCGTAAGAGTATGAAATTGCATAGAGTGGAAGCGGTGTCAGTTGATAAATAAAGAACAGGGTTTAGAAATCGTTAAGAGAGGTCACAGATGTCGCAGGCAATTGCCGAGACTGTGCCTTCCTGACCTATTGACCGCCGCATAAGTCATGTAGATGACAACAGTGTAATTTTAGATTTTATTAATATTTAATTGAATGTCTGTAGAAAGCACGTTTATTACCTACCTACGGATGCAAAACAATTATTTACTAATGTAAGAATTGTTTATGGTAGGTATTAAAAGCTTGAAGGTTTAGTATGCATTTGTATCCTTCCATACAAGATAACAAAATTAAAGTGCCTGTCTGCGAATTTCCGGGAAATTAATTGTTAATTGACACCCTGGGCTATAAGCGCCTTTCAACGAGTTTAAAAAATATATTTGAAGAGCAATAATATAATTGTAATGTTTAATAAAACACACGGATTATAAAAGTATCTAGAAGACCAAAATTAGGTCTCTGTCCAGTTCTTCTCTTTTTTTTTATATTTACTATGTTAAATTAATAATTTCTATTCGTACCCTAATCTTTAAGTAATTATTCCCTTATCATAATACTCGTACCTATAATATACTCTCATTAGCTGTTCGCAAAGGATATTTTATAAGCGCACGTATTATACACGCTTACGTACATATTTGCAATTCGTAGGCGTTTCACGTATAGGTATGTAAATTACAAATATCAACAAAATAGAAAGAATTATAGCAATATTTTCTACAGTTCTAGATTTAAATTTTTGTAGAAATGTATGTAAAAATTATTAGGTCCATTTTTCACTCATTTTATGTATAATATTATATTATTAATATGTATATTATATTAGTCGGTAAGATTGCAGAAAAAGTAGTTACTTTGCAATCTTCTTAATATTAACTATATTAGTTCAAAAAGTTAATCCAATTTAATCACCAATTTTTTTTTTATTTTTCCTACCTTCTACCTAGAAAGTCTACAGACAAACTAAAAATATAAGTAAATTAATAGAATAGCGTTTTCGTTAATATGAATATTTAAATATTTAATAATTAATTTATTGTAAATACTAGCATTGTCCGCGGCTCCGCCCGCGATTTGATGACCAAAAACCAAATTCTTAGATTTCACATATTAATATGCTCTTACAATGCAGTTTTTGTATTTTTTCTCTGAAATGAGAATATTTTCCCGCGGTAAAAAGCATCCTATATGTTGCAAGTGGAAACCAAATTTCATCAAAATCTGTCCAGCGGTTTTCTCGTGATGCGGTAACAGACAGACAGACGGACGAACGGACGGACAGACAGACAAAAGATGTCGCAATCGCTATGGCCCTCAGTATATTGTAAAGCTCTATAGCGTGGATGGATTTTTTTTATTTTATTTAAAATTTTATTAAAATAAAAATTTGTGCAGTGAGAGGATGCAAAGAAAGTGGATATCATTTATTCTCAAAAGACAAAAACTGAAGAAATTGTGGGCTAAAACAATAAAACGACAATCAACGACAACGACACAATCTTTATATTTAAGACTATATGGACATCGTTTTAAAGAAAGTGATTTTAAAACTCTATTTTTTTTTATCTTAATCGTCTACAAATGTTTTTTTTGTACTTTTTTACACATTAATTATAAAGTTTATGAGCATTAATACTAAGTTTCAAATAATTTAAAATTTTTAAAATTTAAGAATGAAATTCGAAAAAAATCAAATAAATACATTTCTTATTTGACAGCTCGTTTGGCTCAATTTGTAGTAACCCTGCTTGCTGTGCCAGCGGTCGCGGGTTCGAGTCCCGCTGAGGGCATTCATTTGTGTGATGAGCACGAATGTTTGTACTCTAGTCATGGGTGTTTATATTTATAATATGCATGTGTTTAAAATTATATATATGTAGTGTATCAACTATCTGGTATCCATAACACAGGCCTCGTAGCTTACCATGGAACTAGATGGTGCTGTGTGTTGATGTCCGAACATATTTATATTTATTTAATTATTTATTAATAAAGCTAAACACCACTTTCTGTCTATTTCACATTAAGAACGACAAGAGTTTCATACAATCTTTAATCCCCTATTTTACTCACATAGGAGATAAATTTCAAAAATCCTTTCATATCGGTTGCGTACATCATATAAGGAATAATCCTCATGTTTCTACGACCAGTGGTTTAACCCCAGTTTTGAAATTTAAATATTTGAAATTTAGCGCTTTAAAGACATTTATCACAGACTAAGCAGAGATTAGAGAGATTTATAGAAATAACTTCTGTCATTCCATCGTTACAGATTATTAAGACTATTTGCAATCTGTGATTAAAAATGGCTGTTCACGATGCGATATAACACTATTCTACATTTACACGCTTGCGAGTGCATTATTGTATTCCGGACAAGCTGTGCAGACATGGACGTTGAAGTTGTGTCCACTATTGCGTTTGGCTTGACATATTTTTAACTAGACATAATATAATAAAATTGTGACTAAGCTGAATATGTACATTAAATATTTTTTGGATAATCTTATTGAAATAGACATTATTATCGATGCAGAGGCCGAATCTATAGTTTATAGAATTTTTGTTTATTTAATATTTATTTTCGCCGTGAGCGAGAGCGACATTATACACGCACCAACGTGTATATACGCCACAAACGTTTGCCGCAAGCTTCTTATGATCCGTGTTCAAACTTCAAACCGACACTAGCCCGGATCGTGACAAGCTCGCGCAGTTTATAACTATACTCTTTGAGCTCGCGCAAGGCAAACCAAACACCCCGTTCAAACGAGCTTTGAGATTCGAGTGTTTGCGGACGCTTGTCAAGACTTGCCAAGCGTGTAAATGTAGCGTTACAGACTACAGTAGTCAACTGCCAAATAATTTAAACACTTTTCTTATAATATGACATGCCCAAACGGCAAATTGAACCGTAGACGGAGAGTTTTCTCCGTCTACGCATTCAACAGAAGAATTGAAATGAATAATATGACATTACGTATACCTTTTAAATGTTAATTATTATTTATATTATTTAAGATTACTGGTATAACAATATATTGTCACCCACATCGCCATAATTATATTAAAAAAGAATAAACAAACATACAATTTGTACATAATATATACTAGTGTCAATATGTCAGGAAAATAAATAAAGCTAAAAATATTGTTGCAAGTTTACGGTTTAATAAATTGAAAGTAGCAATATCTAAACGCTTCTACGCAATTCGTAATTTATACGTCACTCACATGTGTGAGACAAAAATGGTGTCCGTTTACCAGCTGGCACTTATTTTGTGAACACAAAAAATCAACTTACTTTTTTATTTAAAGTGTAGTGGTATGGCGTCAGTTTTAGATTTGGTAAAACATTACCAACATTCTATTGAAAAATATCCAAATGATGAGCAAAAAGTAAGTAGTGATTTAGATTTGTAGTGAGTGATATTTACGAATATTCACTTTGTTAGATAATTTATTGTTCAAATTCTGAGCTCCCTATCTATTCGTATCGTATTAAAAAACAATATTTTACCTATTAATGAAACTAAATAGGCTTTACTTCTACCTAAACATAACGACAAGGAATACAATGACAATATGTAAAAATATTTTACACTCAAAAAAAAAACCGGAGTAAATATATTTATAAATACTATGCATGTATTGTTAAAAGTTTAACAATGAGATACGATTAATGTATAAGTAACCATTTTTAAAATATTGTAATTTAATTAAAGGAGAATGATGTGACATCGAACTTGCTATTATGGAAGGACATTATAATTGTAAACAAAAAAATACCATTATTACATTTATCTAAAGAGTATATTTTATGTTACAATGATTTAGTAGATTACAAATATAATTTACATTTTTTAATTAGTAGGATCATACATGAAAATTAGCATGGAAGGTATTAACTATGTATATGATATACTTATCATTAATATTTACTAAATAACAATAATTTACAGATATTAAAATGTATAGACAAATTATACAACTTAGATGTAAAAGTCCAACACTTACAAGAGACAGGTGTTGGTCGCACTGTAAATGCTCTTCGAAAAGAACCAGGAGATGTAGGCCAAGCAGCCAGAGCGCTTGTATACAAATGGAAAGTGATGGTTGCTGCAGAAGAAAGTGACCAAGAAGACCAGAATAGTGATAGTGAGCATATTCAATAAATTTTAATTAAGAAATATTGATTATAAATAAATGTGCATGTTGTTTAACTATTTTTCAAAATAAAGATTTTATTTTAATATTATCCTCTTTTTTTGTTTAGCAATTTTACCTACTTTACTTAAATATTATCTCGTAGCTAATAGCCACAATGGACATGAAAATGGGAGGGGTTATGAAAACCATTCCAGTGAATCTCGAAGTAAACACAACAAGTATGAGAAATCAGACAGAACACCAAAGACTGAAGATAGACAACATAAACAATCAAATGGTGACTATGGAAGTAAGAGAAAATATGAAAGCAGTGAGGTGAGTTTACTAAATGAATATAATATATAGACTAATTACAGTACAAATATCTAATACATAAGTAGAATGTCTAACTTATACTGTCTGTGCCTGTTAGTCATTCATATTGAGGTCACAAGGTGTATATAATTTGTATAATGTACATAGGTGCTTGATGTTTAAATAATATAAGGTAATAATAGTATAAACATTAACTTCAAAATTTCTTTTAAGTAATTATTTCATACTTAGGATTTTTTTTTTATTTATGTAGGACCAACCTATTATTAGGTAACTAGCGGCTCACCCTCGCTTCTCTCGCGTTCGAATATAGCTAGACAAACAAAAACATATCTATTCCACTGGAACCATACATTTTTCTGGGATAAAAAGGACCCTATTTGTTATTCTGATGTATGAACTATATTATTGTATAGTTTCATAAAAAGAAACATAGACATACATATCGTCGCTTAGCTAACAACATAAGTCATTTTTTACAAACTTTTCAGGAGAGGCAAAAAACTGTATAATTTATTAAATTTAAAAGTTTTCAGGCTGTAAATAAAAACAGGTGCTTTAATATAGATAACAAATGATTTGATATGCCTATTATATCATTTAGAATGATGTACCCTTTTTAAAATGACTTACGCGGTTTTGCATGACAATTTCACTTGACTTAGGTGGTGTTAATAAGATAGTATTATTTGTAATGAATTAAAAATCAATTGAAATGAAAGTTTTTTTTAATTAAATTATACCTACTGGTACAATGTATTTTGTCTATTAGACTTAAAATTATTAATAATTAGGAACTTTACTTAGATACTTGATATTTAAGCACTTTACACTTACTTTTATATTATGTATCACATCATGTAACGAGATCAATTATTATATTATGAACTCGTTGTCTTGAGTTTCGCAATAAAATCTAAATAAATCTTTAGAATTATATTCTTATAGTGGATAAGAATATATTCAATTGATAATGAATTACCTACTGGTACGGTAATCTATACTAATATTATAAAGAGGTAAAGTTTTTGAGTTTGTGACATTGTGGGGAAAATCTCTGGATCTACTGGATTTAGATAAAATTTGGTATTTGGTTGGTTTTCAAGCCGAAAATCATCCTTTAAGGGGGTGAGAATGGGTATGAAAATGTGCATGGGGAAGCAAGCTAAGAACGAATCCGAGCGAAGCGAGCGTGAGTCGCTAGTTATTCGTAGAACGAATGGCACGTTTACGGTAAGACACTTTTCAGATCTTACAAGTCCTAGTACTTACGGCTGGTAATCGGTATTCTAGCTTTGTACAATTTTGCCAGTTGGTTTATTGTTTTGATACGATACAGTGGTGTATCGAAATAGTTTTTGTACTATATCGTAACATTAGGTCTGTATTGTAACACACGTGACCTTTCTCCAGGTACTTTTGGATAATTAAAATATTTTTCTTTATTGATGAGCGTAACAAGGCGTCATGTTTCATTTTAAATTTTTTGCTATTCTTAGCCTTTCTATCTCATACATATTTATTTGGATCTTGTGATACTTTGTTTTGTCTTTGTTTTTGACTTGCCAAATCGCCGTAATACGGTACGTTGCTGAGAATAACTACTCTGAGTTTTCCAACGTTTTCTTAGTTACTTGTATTTGATAATATTCTCTGTAGGTGGGGGGCATTTGTATCCTGGACACTTTCTGAAACTACGTCTAACTATACCGTTTCAGCAAAATCTCCATTTGACACAAGCGAAGCATTTGCATAGCCATCCGCAGAAGTTACCTCATCAACAGTTACTAGTTCAATTAAGCCTTCACCATTTTGATTTATCAAATCACTGTGATTTAGTACGTCGCTGAGAGTAATGAAAGCCGATGATGTAGTTTACGAGGAATACCTACATAGCTGCACTGGTTTCTTTAAAGTTGTCTGGGCTTCTTGCTTACACTCTACGTCCATTGCTATTGTTTCAACAAAACCTCCATTTAAAGAAAGCGAAGCGCATGCATTGAGTTCTATGAAGTATTCACCACCTTCTTAAATAATGAAGCATTCTTATAAAAATTACAAAAACACCTTACCAAGCTTACTTTCTCTTTCCCTCTCTATAGTTCTGCTTACGCCGTTTACGGCTCAATATTTTCAGGCCAGCATCTCGCAACTCATTCGATTTTAGATTCATTATGTCACTTAAATCAATAAATCTTATAATGAAATTAGTAACTTACCTCTTAATCTTTGTATATTACACTTCATAAGACAAACCCCAGAAAAATAACACAAAAAACCCTGGAGTAAGTTAGTGAGGAGTAATTTTCGCGCACAGTGTGGCGGAATTACGATTTGAGCGGTGTTGGCGGGACAACCGACTTAGGCGCTGTTACTATTATTTAAATAATAGCCTGTAATTTATTGATAGCCTTAAATTTGATAAACAGTTCGACGCGCGAATTAAAAATTTATCTAATGGTATCAAAATCTCTATACCGCCAAAAATCGACTTGTGCGGTGTTATTTGCTAAGCGACGATATGCTATTGCGTGAAATGTGCACAGATATACAGACAAACAAACAACATATTTTTTTTTACTTTTAGGGTTATAGAGCCTCTAAACAATATGTTATAGTCATTGTTTTTGAAAACAAAATCATTTACAGAATTTGCTTTGTTAGTAATTTCAACAGACTTTCAAATTCTCAATTCGTCGATTATTGTCTTCGAATACCTGCCTGAACCGATTTGGAAAATTCTTTTTTTGTTTCAAAGGGGCTATGCTTCCCAGGAGGTCCCATTTAAATTTTATCGAAATAGGTCGAGCGGGTTTTTAAAAAATCGACAATAAATTATTTTTAAATAATTTATAGTGACTAAACTAAAAATGGAAAAAATAAAAACTAAAAAAATAGATAATTAGACATTTTCGAAGTCTGTGCCAGCCAATATAAATCAAAGCAAACCGACTTCTAAAATATCTGATTAGGTATCAATTCTAAATGAAAACTCCCGTTTAGTTACTTTTTAGTGCCTGGAAGTCGGTTTTTTTTTTAAGTTTTTATATTATATGTATAGATAGATTAATATGGGTACTAAATATTTTACAACTCTTTAGGAAGAAGATTCAGACACAAAAAAGTCAAAATACTCCAGTACAAAAGATAACGACTTCAAAATAAAATCAGAACCCGTAGATGAAAGTGAAGGTGACAGTCAAGATGAAAGTTCACAAAGTGGTAGTGACAGTGAAGACTCACAGTCTTCTGAAGAAGATAGAAAACCAGATATTAAAATAAAAGTAGAAAGGGTCGAAAAAACTGAGAGTCATCAATCGTCAAAACACTCGAGTAGGGATAAATATAGTGACAGTAGAAATTTAAAAGAAAAGCAAAAGCAAAATGACGTAGAGGTAAGACACTCGTCTGACAAATCCTCCAAAGATAAATCACACCATTCTCATACACATAAAAGTTCGAAAGAGAATGATAGGAATAATGACAGAAAAGAAAAAGATAATAAATCCACTGAGAAAGAAAAGAAACATAGAGATGATTCAACAAACAAACATTCAGATAAACACAGGTCCACAAGTAGTTCAGATAAGCATAAGTCAAGTGAAAACAGTGAAAAGCAAAGGTCTAGTAGTAGTTCAGAAAAACATAAGTCCAGCAGTAATTCTGAGAAGCACAGATCTAGTAGTCATTCAGAAAAACATAAGGCAAGTGCGTCAGATAAGCACAAGAGTCATGCAGAGAAAGGTTCAAGTCACATAGAAAAAAGCTCAAGCCATTCAGACAAACATAGTTCTAGCAAATCGGGGAAGGAAAAACATAAACATTCATCGGAAAAAGAAAACAGTGATAAACACAAATCAAAAGAAATCAGTAGTAGTAGCAGTAAAGACAAACATAATTCATCAAGTAAGGAAAAATCTAAAGATAAAAGTTCCTCTAGAGAAAAAGATAACAGTCAGAAAAGCGAGAAGAAACATTCATCAAAAGACACTGAATCGAAAAGTAGCAATAAAAGAAAGTCAGAAAGTGATCATGATAAGAGCAGTAAGAAAAGCAAACATAAATCAAGTTCTAGTAGTAAGTCTAGCAGTAAGTCGAAAGACGACGAACCAAAGAAGAAAAAAGGTGAAGACAGTGATGATGGGATTGACTGTGGCTCGGGTTAGTTATAACATAACTTACACTTCTATTTCTAATATTTATTTCTTTCATTTAAGGCATAAATTTGCATATTGCAATTTAACGACACGTTTAACTCAGTTTGCAGTGACCCACCCTGCTTGCTGTGCAGTCGCGGGTTCGAGTCCCACTCGGAGCTTTCATTTGTGTGATGAACACGAATTTTTGTACTTCAGTCATGGTTTATATTTATAAGCCTCGCAGCTTACTATGGAAGTAAATGGTGCTGTGTGTTAATGTCCCAACATATTTATTATTAATTATTATTATTTATATTAATTCATATTGAAAAAATATCCTTTTCAAAAACTCTTGACGTTATTTATGAAAAAAGCAAAACATTAAAAATTCAGTATGTTTATTGCGACTACTCCTTGAAGCATCAAAACGAAACTAGGTATTTCATCATTAGTAGTGATATTATTTTAAAGTAATATATTATGAAGCGAAATATAACTTGCAGGTGCCAGTTTTGCAGAAGCATTGGGTATGATCAGTCCGGCCAAGCCTAAGAAGAAACCCACATCTAAAGACAACACAATGTCGCCTAACTCTGGTAACGAAGACGTAAGTATACTTTATTATTATTTATATAGTGAGTCTGATTCATCTTCACTTATTTAGTAATATCAAACGGGAATAAGTTAAATTAAATCTTATTGTATCGGAATTAAAAGATTTCCATGTAAACTATGTATGCAATTATCAAAAAATAATTTTAAAAATCGGTTCACTGGCGAAGATATTCTGTAATAAAACACATAAAAATGGAAAAACATACAACAGAACTCATTATTGAGTACCTCTTCCTTTTCGAAGTCGGTCAATAGCCTTTAGACCTCTTTAATTTGGCCCTGTTACAAAATCCGTTCTTAGCTGACGTTCATCATCAATCTTTCCCTCTTGTATATATTATCTATGTTTCTATACTAATATTATAAAGAGGTAAAGTTTGTGAATTGTAAGTTTGTGACGTTGAAGGGGGTAATCTCTGGATCTACTGAACCGATTTAGATGAAATTTGGTAAGAGGATAGTTTGAGACCCTGGGAAAGACATAGGATACTTTTTATCCCGGAAATCATCCCTTAAGGGGGTGAAAATTAGGATGAAAGTTTGTATGGGGAATCAACCGAGGGTGAGTCGGTAGTAATAAATATAAGTAAATTAGCAACATACATCCCAAGTTGAAATTATTGAAGTCATACTTGTTTTGGCGCGTTAGGGGAAAAATAATGTGAGTGAATTTTGACGCGCACAAAACATAATTAGACTACAGTATCAAGTTAGTCGTTAAATATCCCTTAATATAATGTGAGATGATGTCTATATTCAAGATATTTTTTCTGGTATTTCTATATACACGTGTTTTATATCGATAAATATAAAAATTATTTATGTGTTTTTAATTATTACATACGGTGATGATTATTGATTGATATCAAATAACTGTAAATCTATATATATAAAAGAAAGTCGTGTTAGTTACACTATTTATAATTCAAGAACGGCTGAACCGATTTGGCTGAAACTTGGTGGGGAGGTAGCTTAGAACCAGGAGACGGACATAGGATACTTTTTAGCCTGTTAGAACGGCTGGACCAATTTTTATGATATTTGAATTTTTGGATTTCTCTCATTCCGGAATAGGTTAATACCTAAGTATTAAAACGTCAGAAAAATTAACGAAAAAAAAAAATTTATATGGCTAATAACACTGGCTAATAACTATTTATATCTATTTAAAACGTACCTAGCGACGAACCCGAGCGAAGCGAGGGTGAGCCGCTAGTATCTTAAAAAACGATGATTGATATAAAGTTGTTATTATAATTTTTTCAAAGTATTTTTTTGTATCATTGAAGTAATGAACTGAACTGAGGTATGGTTTTTTTTTGCATTATTTATAAATTATTACTTTATTTAAATAAACTTTATCAATTGTTTTTAATATCTTTATTTTGTTATTTTATCGTGATTTCTACATATAAATGTATAGTATTGGCACGCAGAATGAAGGATAAAATTTTTGGAGTTATTTTTGTTTTGTTATGCCAAAAAAGTATTAAATTCTTACGTGCGTTCGCACGTACATAGGTACACACACGTTTTTTTAATTACTTATACTTACCTACTAATAAAGCTATGAATAATAGTTAAGGTATAAATAATCAAAAATATTACATCTCTTTTCCTTTATTTTACTAAGTCTATGGTTCATGTTGTGCATCAAAAAAGACGTTTAAATCTGACCAATCAGTAACCGTTTTACAATTTAACGGCTTTTATCATTTAGTGAAATTGTGAAAATCTCATTGATTCACAATACCTCTGAAAGTGCTTATTGAAGTTATAACTAAAATTATCCCGTGTTATTGTAAAAAAAGGAGACGATTGACAAAACTCCGGGTAATTATAATAATTAGTAAAAAAAAATAACGGTCTTTACAATTTAACTGCGACGTAAATGTATATGAAATGTAGCAGCTAATACTGTGTGATAAGACAATCAAGCACGGGAAATCTACGAGATGAAAATCAAATCTATTTTGTTATTGGATGGCTTTATCTAATTGAATCATATTTAGTTAAGTCGTAGATATTATAATAAAAGTTCAATAAAGGCTATCATTTCTATATAAAGAAAAATAATAAACAAAAATTAAGCAATAGTAAAATTCATTTCTACACACATTTAGCCTAATCTGTATAAGATACGTTAAAGTTCTTACCTACTTAGGAATCAAATGGCACTATCGATCTATCAGTATTAAAAGAGATAAATTATATTTTAAATGGATCAAGCTAAAGGACATAGATTGCATCATGGGGATAAACATTGGCTATCTTACATCTCTATCCCGTGTAACATGCTAATAAAGTCACGGGTAAAAACTAGTAGGTATATGAATAAAATGTACTAATTATTTTGGCTTGCCCAACAGCGGGACGTTTAAATGCTATATTGTAATTATATAGCAAATATTACAAAATTATGTAACTAAAAATTCATCTAAATCCGCCCAGCTATTGCTGCATGAAGAACACACATACACACAAAATTTCGCTTTTATAATAATGGTGTAATTATTAAACACAGCTAAGTCCAGCAACGATGTTAGCCCCCACCGCTAAGCTGGCGCCGCTACCGGCACTAGAGATATCTGCATTACCAGAGATATCGCCCAACTACCGCCCGCGCCCGCCGCCTAAGTTCCTACCGCACTTCACTGATGAGGACGCTCTGAGTGCTGGCATATCGTCCAAAAACCAAAGGTAAATATATCTATCTATACAGATAAATAAAATTGAAGTGTCTGTTTGTAATGTCAAAATAACGGCCTTTTACTAAATGCACATGAAATTATATACGTTACTTATAAGAAAATCACAGTTTTTTTTTTTTATTTTTATCTGTCTGTTTGTTCCGGATAATCTCTAAAACGGCTGGACTGATTTTGACGGGACTTTCACTGGAAGATAGCTGATGTTATAGTAACAAAGGCTACTTTTATTTTAGAAATCCGTTCCGCTCAAAAAAATTAAAACGTACCTAGGGACGAACCCGAGCAAAGCGAGGGTGAGTCGCTAGTTTATAATGTCTTCCTGGCCGACTTCGGCCATGGTGGCCAATATAGTTGAAGCTTTGCGTAGGATATTAAAGTGCACTAGTGTGATGAGGCAGTTAATAAATATACGTATAAGGTACCTAGATTTCATTATTAGAATTATTTTTATTATTCTCATTCTTCATGCAGACTTACACATCATTATTTAGACGAAAATTAAGTTTAATTTATATATAAAATGTGACGTTTTGTAAATCGAAGAACAGGTACAATGCTGATGAAGCTATGAAATGTATACTATACTATAATAAATAAAAAAATAAATATTATACATTTGATACGGAGTTTGCGGTACCAATAAACAAAAAAAATCGACTAGACTAGAAGTACTACGTAGGTACTTCTCATTATCGTATTGATAAATGAGAAACTTATAATTTTTGGAGTATCCAAAATCTGGATGACAATATCAAGCTTTTCTGACGATACAGCCATGAGGTGGATAGTGGAACTCTTCAACGGCTACTGGACACTAGTTGGTTTTGCCAACTCAGCTCAGTTGCTCAGTTAGTTAACATAATAAACACATCTAATACTTAATATTATAAATGTGAAAGTTTAGATGTTTGGATGTTTGTTACACAAACAGCTGAACAGATCTGGATGAAATTTAGCACACAGATAGCTTATAGTCTGGAATAGCACATAGGTTAGTTTTTATCTCGGAATGTACGGTTTCCGTGGGATAGATTTGTCTTTGTTTTTCTAGAGGTGAACCCGAGCGAAGCCAGGGTGAGCCCCTAGCGATTTAATAATTAATGTGAATTCGAAAATTTGGATGGATGTTTGTTACTCAATCGCGCCATAACAGCTGAACGGATCTGGATGAAATTTGGCACAAAAATAGATTATAATCTGGAATAGCACATAGGCTACTTTTTATTCCGGAAGAATCTATGGTTTCCATGGTAGATATTTATTTTTGTTTTTCACTAGGGACGAAGCTTTTTTTGTTTTCAGTTACTTGTGTATTATTTTATATACATATATGTCATCACTCATACATAACATATCTTATATTTTTTCCAGAACGAAAGTGTACTCCGGTAACAAAGTGATCGGAAAAATTACTACATTATATGAAATGTGTGTACATGTCTTGCAAGAACACATAGACGGTAAGTTTTTCATTGTTGTAACATCAGTCCCATGGACACAGATGAAATTTAAACTAATAAAGCAATAATTATAAGTTAAAAATTTAAAAAAACCCCTACTCAAATTAATTGTCATTTAACGATTACACTGGCACACGTGAAGCATTTAATCGAATAATCATACGCCAAAGTATGTTTTTGTTAAAATAAAAATATATAACTTAATAATATTTTAGCACTCGAATACACTGGTGGAGTTCCATATGAAATACTAAAGCCGGTAGTTGACAAAGCGACTCCTCAGCAATTGTTTGTGTTGGAACATTACAATCCATATTTAATGGAGGACACTGACCATCTCTGGCAAAAGTTCTGTGAGAAGAACTTCAGAAACAAGAAGAGACAAGAGATGGAGACGTGGCGGGAAATGTACATGGTAAGTTTGTTCATAAAAAAAGTATAGTTTACGAAGGGCTTATGCACATGACCAATATTTAACGCGCTGTCACAAACCGTTGATGCGAATTAGTATCAAAAAGCAAGGAATTCGGATTTTATTTTTTTCTTTTACTGCACTCTAACCCACACACACAACCGACTTCGTAATAGTACTATGTAATATTTCGTGGGTTTGTGAAACGTGTAGAGTAGTATACATGAGCCCTTTTAAGTTTATCAATGCAGAATACATGCAAACGATAGTGTTCATGACGCGTACGTCGTATGCGCGTTTATAAAACGATGTGCCTAGGCTCGTGAGTTTTTTTTGCATCTGACTAATATTCCACGTGCTTGCTGCTTGATGATAATATTTATTAACTAAAAATGTAGATGAATTTCAAAATAACTTTAAGTTATTTAAAGTCTATTTTTAAGTGGTATCTGTTTTTTCTGAACCATAAACCCCTTTCTACATAAAAACTAAAAAGTCATTTCGACTCAATACTCCATGCAATATACGCAAAACTTGTAGATGTTAATTTAATCTGCATTTAAACACTAGCAAGTAAAGATCAAAGTAATTACATAAAATAATTTTTTTTTGTGTATAACTTAACGTTTGAATTTTTTCTCATTTATTTGCTAAGAGAGAAAGATTACTTAAATTGAAGATAACAATTTAATTTCCTATTTTTAGCGCTGTCAAGAAGAACAAGAAATAAAACTGAAGTCTCTCACAACTAACATAAGGATAGCTCAAGAGGCCAAAAAAGCTCCTATTAAACAAACAAAGATGGCTTACGTGGACTCTGTTGTGAAACCTCCACGTAATATATTAAAAAAACAAGTAAGTTTCAATTGCTATATTTTAATCATAATCAACTCTTAAGAAATAATGAAAGCTTTAACTAAATTAAATTAAAAAAAAAACACCCCGACATGTAATTCGCCATTTTGTAGTGGCGGCCATCTTGGATTTGAAATTTACTATAATATACAGCACTACTAGTCAAGCCCTTTCATTTGATACCCATATAGAGGAGTTGTGAAAATACATGTAATCCGCCATTTTGTGGCGGCGGCCATCTTGTGTCGATTTTCATCAAACATAGTTAAGAACACTCCCTACTATCTCACCTTATAAACAAAAACAAACAAAATGAAAATCGTTTCATCCATTCGGGAGCTACGATGCACGCACACACACACACACGTCACACTTATAACACCCCGTCGTTTTTGCGTCATCGTTAAACATGTTCATACGATGTAATATAAGCATAAATGAAGATGAAGTATTTTTAGATTTCATAACATTGTGCACACTATCTTGTTTTTAAAAAAAACTATAAGCCCAAAAATAAAATAAAAAACACCTTTTAGCCAACTGTAATGTATGGGACTCATCAAAACGAATTCTTTATGAACATATTACTGGTGGCCTTTGAAAAGTTCCACTATCCACCTCAGATCATCATCAGATCAGCTTAATGATAAATTATTACATATAATTATGAGTTTTTCTCGTTTTAAATCAATACGACAGAAATACATAATTCAAAATCGGTTACCAAGGTTACATAGTACTTACTAGTACTTGTAACTAACAAGCGAAACTAATAAAGCATATTAATAGCACATTTATGTTATCTAAGCAGTAAGCTCCGCTGAACTAGACTCGCTCGCGTGCTACGGCGATAAAAACATAACGTTCTCGCACCAAATTCGCAATTCTAAGGGCTGGTGAAACCTTTATTAATATTTCTTGTGGTTGCTGTTTATCGTGAAATAAACGTATGAACCCAATTCAAGAGAAACATTTTGAAAATTTTGGCATCACTGACAGATAGATACTTTAACTTTATTAATAAAATTCTAATTAGTATTTGCTCGCGAAAAATTAATGCTAGATAGGGACGACACGCTTGGCTCAGTTTGTAGAGACCGTGCTTGCTGTGCCAGCGGTCGCAGGTTCAAGTCCCGCTGGGGACATTCAGTTGTGTGATAAGCACGAATTTTTGTACTCCAGTCATGGGCGTTTTGTATTTAAACTTATATATGTGTAGTGTATCATCTGTCTGATATCCATAACACAAGCTTCATAGTTTACCTGTGTGTTTATGTCCCAACATATTATTATCATTTGCACAGGGCGCCTAAACTATATGGTAGTTGCTCCGCTCTTAAGGGTCTTCATCAACAAATAGGCTTTCCAATGCCAATTTTTTTCTCTTTATAATATTAAAAAAGAAACTAAGTAAAATTAATTTTTCGCACTAACAAGAAAATAACAAATAAAAGCAGCTAGATTTACTGACTATTAAAATCACGGGGCTACACCTTCGTGCGAATATTATACCTCTCTATATATTAACATATTTAGAATGGAATTTATATCCAATGTTAACTATTAATAAATATAATATTTTTCTTTTTATAATCACAGGCTCAACACGGAACCGCTTTTGCAGCAACAGCCAGTCCAGCAGCCAGAGTAGCCTCGCTAGCATCTGCTCCCAATGTACTAAAAGGTGGCAGGGCAGCCCCCATGCCTGTCACAACTTCATCCTCATCCTCGTTCAAACCCAAAAAAGCACCTCTCATGCAGAAAGCCTTACAGTTCATGCGTGGAAGAAAACGATGATGGCTTGGTCATTAACAAAAGATATGTATGTTATCACTATCAGCTCTTTATTAAAAAAATATTTTTGTCTTACATTTGGTGTCACATCTGATTTAACACTTATAAGTAACTGTACTCTGCTTTACTTTTTCGTCACTATTACACAATTTATTATATGCAATTCAAATTTTATCTACATACACATAATTTACACTATACATTTGGCTCAGATTGTAGTGACCCTACTTGCTGTGCCTGTGGTCGCGTGTTCAAGTCCCGCTGGGGGCATTAATTTGTGTGATGAGCACGAATGTTTGTACTCCAGTCATGAGTGTTTATATTTATAAAATGTATGTATTATATATATGTAGTGCATCTGGTATCCCATAACACAAGCCTCATAGCTTACCATGGAACTAGATAGTGCTGTGTATTAATGTCCCAACATGTTTATTTATTATTGATTTATTTACGCAGATATGAACACAATTTTGTGTATGTTTGTATTACACATTACATATGTTTGAACTTATTAAGTTGTGCTCGACATTCAATTGTAAATAATATATATATAATATGTAGAACTTGCTCATGTTACTTTTCGATTTCTTAACATAAATTTGATAGATTTTGACACCAAAATTGAAACAAAAAATTCTTCAAGCTTAAAACTAAGGCACCTGAAAGGTGTTAATGATAAGGTTAGGTTATAAAAAAAAATAGAATTTCAGATCTATAAACTGTCTTAATAAGTACTGCAAATGTGTGCATCTTATTTTTTGTACTACAAAGTTACAAAGGCGTTTGTATAAAATTGTTCTTATAATTAATTATAAATAATGATAAAAATGATTTTTTTTTAAATACATATTATGCAAAACTTTAAAATCTTGGAAACAAGTAAAAAAGTAAATGTTATTTTAACATTCATAAATTACAATGAACGAATTCACATTGAATATTTTAACATAATTAAGGTACCAAATAATGCAACATAATGAAATGCTACATTCTCATTTTGTGAAATATATGAAGTTTCATATAGAATTGAGTAACCTTACAACCTGTGCCAATGAGTCTGTCAGATAAAGTATTCCTATCATTACATATTTTACTTTTAAAAAAAGAACAAGACACTTACTCATACTACGTGTGATTTCCCACTTTATATAATTAAGGCAGAAATTACATTTTTAATCAACCAGTTCCGTTTATATCACTCTTATTTATATAAAATGTTTTACTATTTCAATTAAATACAATATAAAAATATCTTACCCATTTTTATATAAAAAGTAGGAATACTTATCTGCTGTATGTGTTTTATTATAATTTAATCAATCTTATATTCTGAAATAAATAGTATAATTTTTCCTATTTTCAGAAAAGGGACTATAATAAACTGTTTTTTTAATATAAGGAACTGCACTGTTCTCAGTTCCATTTTTTTATAATATGAATAAATCTAGTGTATTGGCACAGCAAATTAATTAATCTAAAGATGTTGGAACATGTTATCACATTTGTCATCTTAATGCGTCATTTTACCACAGATAATTCAGATCTTAAACTTAACTACTACTTTTACTAAGACAACTATGGTTTTACTTAAAATAGGTTTTTTTTAAACATAACCCTAAAATATGAGGTATTTTCTAGTCAGTGCAAACCAAATTTTTAGCACTTGACATCTGGGAAGTTTAATCAAAATTTATCAACAGAATAAACAACTTATTTAAAATTAAAATTTAGGCAGTTTTGCCAAAAAATACCTTAACTTTTAGAGGTGGAAATTGGCAAAATAAAATTACTGATAAGTTTGCTTTTTATGAGCTGTGTACTACCTTTTTTTTTTAACGTTGGGAAATGCATTTACGCACGAGGTGTGGGTCTCACCGGCAAAGCCAGTACTACCCACTAAAACCCAACAAAGCCTTCCCCCGTCTTAATGGGGCGTCGTAGGATCGCTTACGCATTCAACTACGACGCCCCGACGGCAGGTCTGCCGAAGCAGACCACAACAACCACGGGGTTGCTCCAAGGTCCACTCTGCTATCAGATATGTACCAGGAGCAACCCGCATGGTACACCGCCCTCCGAAGAGGGCCACCTCCCACCGCCCACCGAAGTGGGCCACCTCCCACCGCCCACCGAAGTGGGCCACCTCCCTGTGCGTTTCTTGGCTTCGCGCCTGGTTTGGTTCCCTGGCACTACTCAGCCCCCCCACCACGACAAGGTGAACGCACGTTGGGGGAGAGCTGTGTACCACTTAGTTTATATCAGACAATGTGCTTCTTTTAGTTTACATATTTTTTTCTAATACCATGAATAAGCAAGAAAAAAAATTCTTCATCTCACTCCAATATTGTTATATAAAATCAATTGATTTGACGAATAATTATACAATTAATTGAATATGTTTACTAGCACAACTTTTAAAAAATATATACCATTAACAATTTTAACAATTTGACCCTGGCTTAATTGTATATATTTCATATATACACATTGTCTGATATCTTTCTCAAATAAGAATTAAACACTGCTGAAAACTATGCTTACCACAAGCAAGTCACATAGATTTTTAGCAGATAGAACAACAAATATATACATATAAGAATGTTTCATAATAATCCAATGTATAAATAATACATTTTTAGGACAATCGCCACCTTAAAATGTTACAAAATATAATAATATTTTAAAACTATTATATTTCACTATATTTTAGATTTAATATAATTAAATATGGAATTTCTCAAATTTTGTTCAATTTTCACAGCTATAATTTAAGATAATGTATTAGTTACCTTTAATTGCAATCTTTATAAATTACAAAATGAAGAATTGATAGAGAAAAAGAAACATGAGAAACAGAGTACTAATAACAAAAAAAAGACACACATTAAAGTTAAAGATTTAAATATAATACAAGGTAGAGAGAGGAAGAAAACTATAATAATTGAAATTGTAAATAGTATAGGAAACCCTAATGTAAGTTTTATTAGGTACTATATTTAGACTAAATTACAGTTGTGTTTGTAATATCTTTGTTCCTGTACTAACCAAAAAGGATCTGTACAGAATAAAAGTAAAAAAAAAAATAGAACAAATTAAATGTTTGTTATTAAATTTATCTTGGATTAATTTGATAGAAATAAATTTTAATACCCCAAGACATACCTTTCAATAACTTGAACATTTATTTATTTTTTGTAAGGTTTTTTTAAAACTTAATTTTAAAATATAGTTCATTCAAATAAGAAAATAGTGAGTCATCGTTGTCCACCGGCCTAGTCACGCCTTATTAGGCTGCATAAATTTATAAAGTCATGTCATAATTACCACTTGAAGGCAGACTTTCGTAAGATAAACAGTTTGTGTCATTTGTGCGATATATACAATAAATTTTAAAAACTCACTTATTCGTAAGAATAAAAATGGATCGATAATTTATAGTGCAGAAAGCCAAGTAATTTACAATGTTTTTAAGTACTTTAAAAGTCATTAATAAATATATTATTAATGACTTTATTTCGATTTGAGATAATTAAGTTGATTAATTATCTCAAATAAAAAAAAGTCATTATCATTATACTACCATTATATATTTGAATATAATGAAATATATTTAAATTATTTTTTTATTCCACTTTGAATACACCGTTATCTGCCGTTGCACTTGATGACTCACTATTCTCTTAATGTGAATGGACTATTGGATTTATTTTGATGTATTATATTTATATGTATCTTCTCCCACTTTTGCTATTTCTTTAAAAAAAATGGTATTTATATTATCAAATTGAACTGTCTACAATAATAGCATAATTTTTATTAATTATTGGCTCTTTAACTGTAAGGTTACTTGAAAGTTTCTTAACATTTTAACTTTTCACCTTAATTAATAAGACAATGAATGAGGTTACTGTGATAAGTGGTCTCAAGTGAAAGTGATTTAGAAGTATATTTTTATAATTATTGAACTTATTTATATATATGTACATGTTATTTACAATATTTCTTATAAGACAATACATTAAAACATCACATTTTGCAACATGGATTTTGTGAATTTATTTGTATTCATTCTATACTAATAATGTCAATATACTATGACTCATTTTATAAAAGGAATTGTCTCAATTGTACTTCGTTGGTCAGTAAAGCTGTTAAGTCTAGCTATTATAAAAAACAAATCATAGTTACCTACAATTATATAACACAGTCAAATTTGCTTTATATTGAAATATTGTTATTATTTACATGTATATTTCAAATTTATTATTTCAATGCCATTATTATAATGTGAATACACTTAGTTTGTGGATTTTATAAAGACTTTTTATTAATTTATCCTGAACCCTAATATAAAACCACTTCAATATTTCTACATTTTGACTTAAGTTGTTTTTCATAATCTGTATTGATTATCCTCGAGCACTGATACAGTGCTAAAAATTTTAATTTTTTATAATATTCAGATATTAAATCAACTATGATTGGAGTTACATTTTGTATCCTAGAGAGACTTAAACTCTTTAATTTTATCATTGTAGGACTACCTAAAGTTTTCAATAAAGCCATTTCTGAAAAAATTGTATTATTCCATATCTGTACATGATCTAGATTTGTTAAACTTGTTAATGAAATTAAACCTTCATCAGTCAAATTTTCGCATCTAATAATAGCTAAATCTTTTAGCTTTGAGCACTTTGATATTAATTTCAACATAGAATCATCTATACTGTTACCACCATAAATATGTAAAGTTTTCAATATATGCATTTGTGATATAATCAGGTCCCTCATAAATTCTAATTCTAAGTGTTTAATTTTCTCAATGTAAATATGACTTAAATGATTACAACACAATAATGTTTTACAATTCATTGGAGATAGACCAAAATCAGATAATGCTAGATAATTCAGATCTTTATACTTGTTGAACTGAATAAGTAAATCAACATTGCTTACAAGTAATATAGAATTTTTTAAATTGATTTTTCTTAACTTAGGCCATTTCAAAATATCATCTTCAAATTCTTTACTAATTCTACACATTACTAGTTCAATACTAATTAAATTCTTACATTGTTCTATCACAGTTTGTATAAGAGAATAATTATATACATATTGTATTTTTATGCAATAGATGTATTCTTTGTGGCTTGATATTATTTTTAAATTTTTGTCACTTACTTCACTTTGTCCTGGTTTACCTGAGTAGATTAATGTTATGCATCTCCAAATTGCTGGATCAAGGGCTAATTTGTGCCAACGCGTGCACACGTTTTCACAAGAAAGAATTGTCTCCAGGGGTAAAAATTTAAAGATATAAATTAATAGTTCATCAGGTAAAATATTAATATTTTTTGCTATTTCATTGTCCTTGTTAGGTAAAGCCATTATTGTTTGATATAATCTATAAATAAAAAATTTGGAGATTAAAAATAAAATTAAATTAGTAATAATAATTATGCAATAAATATAATGACATATCCTACCTGCCTATGTTGATGATGCATTAAAATATAAATAACAGGAGTAGTGAACTGTTCTATAAATTATTTAATAATTTGCAAATGATTCTAAATCTATATTAATTATGCTAGACAATATTCACATAGTTCCAAAACAGTTTTTCAATCACAATTTCACATTTATTATTCATCTATATTCTATTCATTTCAATTGTACCTGTGATCAAATTATTTCACCAATGTCATGTTGGTGATACTTTAGATTATACCACTATAAGACTGGATTAATATTTTGGATGTCATTGTTATACAGCCACCTAAAAACCAAGAAACAACACAAAAAAACATCAAGTTATCTATGCATATTAAAATGGTGACATTTGTACATGAAATATTAAAAAAAAACAATGACTGTTACAAATTATGGACAGAATATACTCCAAAACATATTGAAAGTGCCTGTGTGCATTTCACACAAAACATACTGAACCGATTTAAACTAAGTTCTTATTACTCGAGTCAAGATATAGGATACCTTTTACTACAGGAAAATCTTTCATTCCCATGGGAAAACACAAAAACTGCTTCGAGTCGAGAGTCGAGTCTTCCTTAGAAATTTACATCACTAACGATGGCTAAACCTTAAAATATACATCAAAAAAATGTAGTAGAGAATTGTAAGTTTTAAAAAAGGGCTACAGAAAAGTCTGCAATACCATAAGTCTATTTCCAAAGGTACTCTCACAATAACTATTTTTATCTATATAATTTTCAAACGCACCCATTCCGAGGGTAAGCCGCTAGCGTAAACAGAGTATCTTTTCTCCATATTCTCTATCTACGGTAGCTAGTAATATTATGTTTTAAAATAAATACAAATAGTGATAGAATACTCATTGTTGTTATTATTAATTAAAAATAGCTAACGGCTTTTATTATGAGAAAGAAAAAAAAAGCTAATATTATCTCTCTTTCTAGAGAAAGAGAATTAATACTTAGGACACGAGAATATAGTACAATAATTTATATTATTCATATTATTTTCTTCTTAAAAATTGTAAATTAACGACTAATAACAACTAATACAATATAAAATTTCCTTTATTCATAACAAAAAGCAAACGTTTGGCTAAATGACGCTACTATAAATTATGACCTTGACCTTATTTATTTTCTTGGATTTCGTCTAATTCTTTTGTCTGAGAATAACTTAATTTAAAATACGCGCAACACTATAAAATTACTTACCACCACCTAAACACAAATACAAACAAAACCAGCTATTTCAATGCTTTAATACTAGAAAGTACAATCCTTATAAAAATGCAAAAAAACTTCTCTAAACGTGTGTAAACTGTAAACCAATAACAAACACAACGAAAAATACTAATATTATTAACATTTTAAATGTCATTATTCATCTATACTTATCGACCATAGATGTGTTAATAAAACTTACATACTCTATGAATAAAACTAGCCATGGAAGACAATTAATATAGAAACTAGTAACTAATGACAAGCGTCAAATATCAAAATCTGTAAAATATATCCGTCCTTTGGTAACACGGTGCTTGGTTACGAATATAATTAAAGGAGTTTTAATTTATTCAAACTTTTTTTTCAGTAAATAAATTGCTTCTTTTGTTTTATAAAATCTTAAGTCCTAATTTTTATATAAACATTTACACTAAATAAAAAGAACACCTTTCCGCGGTTAAAATATATTTCATATGGCTGGTACAGACAGGTCCAGTCATTCATCGGATCAATTCGTTTCGATTGAAATTTTATATGTACGCTCGCCCTAGATTTCACATTTTCATAACATTCAATAAAGCGGTTTAGAGTTTATATACGGGGTTATAAAAAAATTATAGCACTTATATTTTATTTTAATATATTTTTAATTAGTGGCAAACGAAGACGAACAGCAATAACGTATCATTGTTTCTGGTAATCTTATGCAATTATTGTTACATATTCCAGCGATGTAAAATTCATGTGGTATAAAATGAGCTTCTTTCTCTTTTATTCATACATATGAGTGAGGTTGACATGTAATCCCCTATTTTCAATCAAACTAATATTTTTAGCTAGGAATGATTTATAAAACTATTTTGACTCTCAAAAACTCGTTCACGCAATATTGTCTTTGCCTCCAACGCTACTTTAGCAGTTTATACTTAGAGTTCCAATGTAGTTGAGTATTAATGTTATGATTTATGAATTTCAGTCGGCATAAATTATGTATGTGAAACTCACTTGACACTAGCTAGAAAAGCCAGTCCTACCCACTTATCGGAACCATCCCTTCGCATAATATAATACATGTATGTTTGTTTTTTATTTAAATTATTATATCAAACAAAATTATACATTATACAATTATTATAATTACCAATTTTTTAAAATCAAGAACTTCAAATTTAAATCAAGAACAAATTTTTACTTTTTTTTGCTTTTAATATCTTAATGCAGAAAATATTGTAAAAATATCCAAAATATTTCATATTTTATCGATACAACTGTCAAATAGCCAATTTTATAAAATTAACTCATTTACAAGATAAATTTATATAGTTTTATTAAACTATTTAAATTTTTACAGGGCACATACATTCACAAGTAAAAATATTTTACTGTCATGTTATAGTTATAGAGACAGAAATTGTAGTTTTGCTGTTATCTACTTGCCGGTGGCGCATTAAAGACGAAACACTTTATAAACGGTTATAAATTTTAATGTACTTTGTGGTGTCTGATGATGTGATCTGATCTTATAAAGCTACGGAGTTATCCTTAAAAATATGATAGGATAAAAATAAAATATAATCTCTGTCAGACCAATGCCATTTTCAAACGTACATTATTATCTACACGGCTGTCGCATATTTAGATATGCATTACAGTACATTTTAATGTCAAATACTACTTAAAATGTATACTTTTTTATTACATTTCATGTTATTTTTTATATTTATTTATTTTATAACATTAAAAATAAAGTTAGTTAACGTACGTGAGTTAGTCTTGTTGGAAGAAATCAGATTAATAGCGAGATCGTGTGTGCCAGTTTTAAGCAATATATTGACAGATTGTTCAAAAAGTGATAAAATTAATATTTATAACTGTATAACTTATAACATTAAAGATTTCTATTAAATAATATAAAGCTTAAATATTAATTATCTCATTAGAGTTGAACTGATGCTGTAGAATTACTACAAATATATGTATATATTATTCACATGTTTTTATTCTATCAAATAAACATAATAAACAAAAGTATTAACACAAAAATACTAATAACTGTAGTAGTACTAATAAGAAATATACTAACGATAATTTGTATATAACAAACACTAGCACATACGATCAGCTCGTCTTTACCATAGGGCACGTGCCCAGAGCCCCCAGGCCCCAGCCTCACGAGGGCCCCGAAAGGATAACATATTCGTTTACATGGGAAAGATGGAAGCTCAATTTTAAGTCTTTATTACACTGCACTGTATATAACTCGACTTATTCACATCTTTATAGTTCACTTCTATACGCCGCGCCTCGGGTGTTTTTTAATTATGCAATGTATTTATTTTTTATCATTAATATGTGTTAACTATCTAGAAGGGCCCTAAATTGTTCTGTGCCCAAAGGCCCCCCTCATGACTTGAGACGGTCCTGCATACGATTTTTTTCCTGCGGATATATAATTGTATTTATAAACCTTGCGCATTAGAAAGAGATAGCAAACCCGCATGATCAAAATTCTCGATTATTTTGTCGCTATTCTATACCATCTGTGTCTATGACCACTCCGTAATCACTTTTGTGGAGTCAGCTAGTCGTCGGACTTGGAGTCGGATATTCGTAGTCCGTCGGGGCGGGTCGTCTCTGCAGATTGTTATATATTACACTTGTGATTTTGTGTATTTTGATTTTAAGTGTAGGGCGACCCGATACCTCACCCGACTTAAGTACTTAAATCAGACAAAATGTTACATCTAAAGAATATAGCTAAATCAGTAGTGCCGCCTCTCAAAAACACTATTCAAAATGAGGCAGTCAATAATATGCTAAAGATCGCGCCTGCAGCAGTTAATGTTTGTTGCCGTCATGTCCATGATATCCCAGACAGGCTGAAAGATATACCGACCAGTGCAAATCCTAGATTTTTTGACATGGTGGAGTATTTTTTCCATCGGGCGTGTCAAGTCGTTGAAGATAAATTAGTCGATGATATGAAATCAAGGGTTTCCATTGAAGAGAAAAAAAAGAAGGTGACCGGTATCCTGAACTTAATGCAGCCATGTGATCACATTATTGAGATCCAATTTCCATTAAGACGTGACTCTGGCGATTATGAAATGATTTTAGGCTATCGTGCTCAGCATTCCTCTCACAGGACCCCAACAAAAGGAGGTATGTACTTTTAAAATCCGCCATCGTTTCTTACATCACTGCGAATCCAGCCGTCGTAATTATTGTTAATGGGATTTTTTATTTATAGCACAGTAGACACGTGATTTTGCCGACCGTAATGTTACGTAGATAGCCGAAATCTTTGTGAACATAACCTCTTGTATCCTATATTATCTTATTATAAATCTTATAGAAAGAGGTGTAAATAATTGCTTGTAAAAATTTAACTACCTAGTACCTAAAGATAGATAATTTTAAAAATATAGTTTAATTAGGTTTCATTTTAGATTCATTTTTTTCTTAGTTAAGTAAACGATCGTTATTAGGAATATTAATATCCATAGAGATGATAAATATTGTTAATAGTTTGTTTAAATTACATTACATTCAAATAATACTTATATGAAAGCTTTTAAAAAATAAAACATACTATATTTTCCGACCATACCTACTTATTTTTTTAATATACGGTAAAGCTTGACCCGCTGGCCTTGACGTTGTACCTAAGTATAGTACGGAAAAACTGGATGGATGATCGAGCCTAATATATGTATATATGGATGGAGCCTATATTTGATTAAGTTAGTTTAGTTTATCAGTTTTCTAATTTTATGCCATATTATAAAAGCATCAAATTTTAGCTTTTGGCACTAAATTAGCACTAAATACTAAGTAATTTACGCACTTAGTTTTAGATTATGCTCACTTTGCCATGCTAGCTTTACATACGTGAGCCGAGCCGTGGGCAAAACCACGGTAATGTAATGCAATTACCGTGGCAAAACTTTACATGCATATTTACGTTCTACTATTAAGTAACTATAGGATATATATATTACAATTATATATAGATTTTGGGATAGGAAAAAATACATTTGTAGTCGTAGGTATAAACCTACGACTTTAAAGCACTATCGATGGTGTAAATAAGCGTCCGTCCGTCATCTTGCACAGTAACTTTATTTTATACGACTAAAACCTACTCGTAAGTTAAAAAACTTACTAACTAAAATTTTCAGCATATCAAGGCATTTAGAAACGTGAGTAATTCAGTAGTTTTTTGATAACGTAAAATAAGTTTTATGTATATGGTAATTGATAAGTATTAATATTTCCCTTTTGATAAAAACAGTACCTATTTGTAGTAATGTCATTTTGTAGACTGAAAAGTATTTTGTATAGTTTTTTTGAAAGTCCAATAACGTAAACCGTATTTCACGTCATAACCCACGTTTGGCGAAATATGCCTCCAACGACCGCTGAGTGGTCGTTGTATGCCTCTGTTCAATAAAATCTATACATATAATAAAATTGTAACTAAGCCGAATCTGTACATTAAGATTTTTTTGGAAAATCTTATTGAAATAGACATTATTATCGATACAGATGCCGAATCTACAGTTTTTAGAATTTTTGTCTGTCTGTCTGTCTGTTACCGCATCACAGAAAAACTACTGGACGGATTTTGATGAAATTTGGTATGGTCATAGCTGATTATCCGGGTCAACATATAGGATACTTTCTACAGCGGAAAAATATCTCATTTCTGAGAAAAAATACAAAAACTGTAATGTAAGAGTATACTAATATGTAAAACCTCAGAATTCGGTTTTTGGTCATCTGAACGCGGGCGGAGCCGCGGACAATGCTAGTTTAAAATAAAAATATTAATAATTTAGGGATTTTTTATCTGTAAATTCCTGTTTTTTTACTAAATAAGAAATTGTCAATCTTAAGTCTACAGTAAATATAACAGAATTTATAGTTCATATAGCCAATAAAGAAAAAAAAAATGAGTTCATATTTTTTATTATTGTAGATTTGTAAACATCGAAAAGATGTCCATTATAATTTTTTACTAGCGGCTCACCTCGCTTCGGTCGGGTTCGCCTCTAGAAAAGCACAAAGAGATCTACCTATGCCACGGCGACCGTTCATTTTTCCGGGATAAAAAGTAACCTGTTGTTTGACCGGTAATATACTTAAGGTATCAGCAAATTTTACTAAATTAGGTGCATAAGTTGTTGTGTACTAAGCTGTATAAGTTTCTATAGTTTTTTAACTATCCAACGGGACTCTTTAATTTTCCGGGATGAAAAGTATCTAAAATGTTGACCGGGGATATGAGGTACCACCATGCAAAATTTCATTTAAATCGGGCTTACAGTTTCGGAGATTAGCCCGTACAAACAGACAAACCGACAGAGAAACAAAAAAATTGAAAAAATCTGGATTTGTTCTATTTCTCTTCTTCTCGGTTTTTAGCATTTTGTTTCTATGTACGGACATTCGACCTCTACAGTTTTATTATTATTATTTTTTATGAAAGCTGTTGTACAAATGCTCGATCGATTCTCATTTAAAATATTTACTAGGCTCTAATTGATTTCAAGTGTAATTGGTGCAGGCTGCTATTTGTCAGGCATTGGTACAACCTGGCTTCTGAGAGCTGAGCTGAGCTAAAGAGCTAGCCGTCTAAGAGGGTTCAATTTTGCTTAAATGGTTTAAAAATTTATTTGACAGATGATTTTCACATATATAGGTAAAAAGAAAATATCTTTTATTTAGTACGAAATACGATACTTTTTGACAACTATGTACTGCGAACAGAAATCACGTCGTCATGGCAAAAAAAACATAGTTTCAGAATACATATATTTTAAAAAGAATATGAATATGGTAAAATTAGAGGAAACGACTTAATTTATATAATTTAATGCATCGCAGGTCTACAAAAGTCAAACATTAGCATTTCATGCATTTTATATTTCTCGCTTGATGTAAAAAATCTTTTTTTCTTAATCTTAAATCTAAAATTGGAAAATTGGCTTAATAATTTATATCTTACTTGAAATAGGTAATCGCCAATGTTCAAATTCAAAAATTCAATAACTACAAAAAAATAAAATATAAAATTTCAAGTACATATTTGATATTCCCCTTCATTGGAGAGAGAAAGGGATTTAATTAAACGGGCCAAGTGCAAGCATTTCGAAGCCAATGTAAAGATTTGTTAAAATTATTATAGTAGTCAACTTTTACGATAATTTCATACATCGAATAAAAAATAAAAGTGAAATACAAATACAATAAAAATGTAAAATATATCCTTTAATATTATAAATCTAAAGAATCATAAAATGTAATACATTCGTATGTCATACAACATTTACTTTTTTATGTAAATAATATACCAGGAATTCAAAAAAATTAATTTGTCCAATAAGCGAAACAATTGCTCACATCCGCAGCTATGTTTATTTTATGGCTGCGTAATAAAATGTATGTAGGCACATACATTTTTATATTGTAAAAGAAACAACAACTATCAAAACATTTTGAAATTCAATAATATGTCTCCATAAATATAAATTTCATATTTTTTTCTCGAACGATATCCATAAAGGAAAAATCATAAATATGATACAAATATAAAAAAAATATCATATGAAAGTTACTTTTATTTTAATTTTAATTATAGATATATAATAAAGACATCTAAGGATTTATGGTAAAGTAAAAATATTCGTTAACCATATAATATCAGTATTAAGTACTAAAACTGTCATTTATCTTTTATACCTACTTAGAACACATTATTTCATTCAAAAATAGCAAAGTGTTGATTGTTGATTGGCTTTGCAGAATGAGATAAAAATTCTACGTATGTTTACAAGGGGCCGGCCGGTGGTAACAGGAGGCGCGGCTGTGACGCAGTCGGCGTCTGAACGCAGAACGTTACGCAATAAATGCTCAAACCAGTTGTTAACTTATATAATATACTCAAAATTAACAGATTCCTGTAAATATGCCAAGTATTAGCAAAAGTACAAAATGGTACGGTAAATAGGTAAACTAGACTTAATCGGGTTCGGTCACGTTTTTAAACATCCACTTAAATTAGTTGACGTCACAGTTGCTATGTTTAAATTTGATAGTAGGTACGCCCCTTATCATACGAACACCTTTATCAATAAAGTGAAGGTGGAGAATATTGTTACTTGTTGTGTGAAGGTTCTGATAAATGTTGATTATCATATATTTTTTGGAACGTCACCCATTTATCGTTTAAACAGTTCAAATAGTATACAGGATGGATTTTTGAGACGGGACAGCAAGGGCAGGCACCTTAACTGCTATAGTTACAGGAAAACGTTCCTAGGAGACCATCCGTAACTCTTTCAGATATTCTGGACTGCATTTACCAATTTTGGAAGCAATGTACAGTCAGCGAAAAAAAAAGTTAAAATACCAAAAAAATATTTTTTATGTCAATCGATACTTTTTCATGTGGGGATCAAAAGACCATGGGACCATTTAAGATATGAGTAAGTTCTAGAAATTACAGAAATTGCCAAAAACTTTTCCCATATATTTTGTACGGAAAAACGATTAATCAACTTGAAATATTCTTTGTTGCTAAACGGTCCTATTTCTTACTGTGATCAAAACTCTCTTTGAGGCCAACTAAAGTTTGAGTACAGAAACTACGCTTAGTCACAAGACCGGCTTTATATAATGCAGGCATTTACGCAGCGGACATAAGATAATTTTTTCAGTTTTTGTTAAGCCGTCTCGTGACATACTGTATTTAGAAGCAAAAGTATCTACCTAAGTAGAAAATCATAGTTGCATCGGCAAATAAAAATAAAATTAAATCAACTAAACGTGTATTTTTAAACGTGATAATCCATACAAGAAAAACTTTTTAACAAAAAAATAAAAACCGACTTCAAACAAAAGCACTAAAAAGTAAAAAACAACTGATTGGTAATTTTCATTTACTGTACATACCTAATCAAATATTTTCGAAATTTAAATGGGACCAATCTGGAAGTATACCCTTTCAAACAAAACAAAAATTGTCCAAATCGGTTAATAAATGACAGTTCTGAGGTAACAAACATAAAAAAAAACATACAGTCGAATTGAGAACCTCCTCCTTTTTGAAGTCTGTTGAAAATGATCCGCTGCTTCTTGCTTAGTACAAAAACGAGTGAACTTATGTATTTGTGAGAACGGCAGTCATTTTAAGCAATTTATTTTGTAGATCACCTAAATGTTAACTATTTACGTTTGTGTTTAAAAATACATGTTTAATTGATTAATTTTTTTAGTTCTTGTGGTAGAAGATTATGGATGCAACTATGATTTTCTACTAACGCGGTTTTGTAACTTACCGTAGTTTCTGTACTCAAACTTTATTTGGCCTCACATTAAGAAATGGGACCGTTTTTTCTAAAAAATTTTTTTGGTATTTTGGCATCTTTTTCGCTGACTGTACATTTTTTCAAAATCTGTGAATGCAGATCAGAATATCTCAAAAAGTTATGGATGTTCTCCTTGGAGCGTTTTCCTGTAACTATAACATTTAAGGTACTTTCTTACTGTCCCGTCTCAAAAATGCATCCTGTATAATACATATCTTGTATAGATATAATATTCATTAATAAATGTTTTGTTACTGTGCATGAGCAATTGTAACAGGAACATTAAAATCAGTCTATTCTCGATCTATAAATATAGGACACTTAAGAATGGCATCAGAAAAATTCTAATTGTGTGTTCAGAACGCAATATTTGTCTGATTGTGTTTGTGTATTGCAGACGAAAGCTTGACGATTTATTATTATTTTAAATATTACGCCTAATATTAAAAGTTAGTTATAAAACTGGAGAATAGGCGACTGCGATTAATATCTTTTATACTCTGTACTTATATGGTGTTTCTTTACTGTACTTATTAAACATCGTCCATAACTACCAAATTAAATAATTATTTAATATTTGAATTATAATTAATATTTCTTAAAAATTATAAACCTTAAATAATACAAAAAATATCACATGAAGAAAAAACTTAACTGTATACGTTTTTAAATCCATCCTTTCTACAGGTATACGATTCTCAACGGACGTGACGAGGGACGAAGTAAAAGCCTTGTCCGCTCTGATGACCTTCAAGTGTGCGTGCGTCGACGTGCCCTTCGGTGGCGCCAAGGCCGGCATCAAGATCAACCCTAAGGAATACTCTGAACACGAACTTGAGAAGATCACACGACGATTCACTTTGGAGCTCGCCAAGAAGGGATTCATTGGTGAGGCATTTACTGCGATACCTTTATACGCGCGGATTATAAGTTCCTGAATAAAGTTTACATTAAAGATCGACTCGTACATTCTATGTATGCTATAAATATAATGCTATTTTTTTCGTATTTCTTCTATACGTTTTCTCAATTTTTTAACTTTACGATTCATAATTGTAACATTTTAAATACTTTCTTAGATAATCCGAAAAGATAGTTTTATTTAAAATGTTACAGGTCAATTTGTATGTAATCTACAAAATATGTTTTGTTTTTACTTGTTAAAAATACTTAAGATGCGCTCTTGCGCATGACTTTACGTTTACCTTATATAAGTCAAAGACAAATAAACAAATTTAGTATGAGCTCTGTAAAATATAAATATTTGCAATTCTCATGTCATAAACCAATTATTAAGACATCACGAACCACGACTATAAAGGTCGAAAACATTTATATTTATTTACGTGTTACGTGTGTAATGCCAGATAATGTGTTTATTTAAATTATTCTTGTCTTTCATGTCTTATATTATGAAATAACTATGTTTTGATAAACAACCATGTGGAGACCCACAGGTCATATTCGCCTATGTCCATAACCGTTTTCTGGAAATTACTTTGCCAGTCGTAAATTGCCTATCAACATAATCTCATATAATCAAACATATGTCTTAATCTGGTATTATTCGATTAATATACGTCGTTCAATTAACATTCGTATAACCTCAGTAAATTAAAATTTCTAATATCAACGTGATAGCTGATATCTTGCGATTGATGGATTTTCCTTGCAATTGATAATAACTAGAATAAGCACTTTGATTAATCTTCTAAAATAAAAAAATATTTTCGCAGTCCAGTGTTAAGCTCTTACAGCCCTCGTACATGTAATGAAAATTACATTTATACTAATTTTTAAAACTCATCTCTTCTTCAGTTTATAGCGCTTAGGACGTAGAGCTTAAGCTGAATATTTGGAAACACTGGGTTGATTGAAATTAAACGTAGCTTTTTATAATTCAGATTAATAATTTTATCTGTACGGCAAAAAAAAACAAACATAATCTGTCATATTTACACACTCGTCTATGGAAATATTCTTAATCTATTGTCTAACGGTCTTTTTTGATATCTCAAACATAAACTTTGGCCGTTACAATTTTACTGTACTTATTAGAATGTTGATAACGTTGTTATTTAATTCAGTATCTTCATGTTTTAGGCACCACATTAGCTTATTATATAAACATTTTTAATTTAGAAAGTATTTGAAAACTGCATAGTGCATAATTAATTATCCGTCCACGACCGCGGAGGCGCCGGCGTTACAGTTAACAATAGATTTCTTAGAAATTTAATTAATTTCTTAGAAATTTCTGGAGGTGTTAAACTAGAAACTGACACCAGCATCGTATTTTTGACATTATTATAGGTAGAGCATTTTTTTATAGGTTAAATGTTTAGTTCACTGTAGTGAGTCATTGCTCTTTCATTTGCCAACAAAGTTGTTGGCTATTTTACCGATGCAGCCTAGGTACTTAGAATAATAATAAATCATAGCTAGCTATTTTATTTTGTCTACCTCGTGTCTGCGAAATTAATTGAATCGTAATGCATATTTTTCTCTCACGTAAAGATGATTTCTAATTGCAATTGTTAAGAGTATATACCTACATTATATTTTGCAAAGTACCTACGGCTAAAATGGCTGTGCACAATACATAGTAGTTTGATATATTAAAATGAATGTTTAAATAAATATAACATTTAATAGATGAAATACGTAAAAAGAATGGCTATAAATTGACAGCATGAAGCCTAACATGAGCAATGTACACTGTATGTACAGTATTAGTAGAGGCTGAGTATAGAAGGATTATTGTAGAAGCATTATTATATCCTATTTTATATTTTCATGAGGTTAGCTAGCTAGATAGTAAAAGGTTCAAGAGATCATTGAATTCTTGGGGTTTGACTAAATATTAAATGAACTCATAATTTATCTATACTAATATTATAAAGAGGTAAAGTTTGTGATATTGTGAGTTTGTGACGTTGTATGGGGTAATCTCTGGATCTACTGAATCGATTTAGATGTAATTTGATGAGAAGATAGTTTGAGACCCTGGAAAGGACATAGGATACTGTTTATCCTGGAAACCATCCTTTAAGGGGGTGAAAATGGGGATGAATGTTCGTACGGGGGATCAACTTTTTTTTTAACGTTGGGAAATGCATTTACGCACGAGGTGTGGGACTCACCGGCAAAGCCAGTACTACCCACTAAAACCCAACAAAGCCTTCCCCCGTTTTAATGGGGCGTCGCAGGATCGCTTACGCATTCAACTACGACGCCCCGACGGCAGGTCTGCCAAAGCAGACCACAACAACCACGGGTTGCTCCAAGGTCCACTCTGCTATCAGAGAAGTACCAGGAGCAACCCGCATGGTACACCGCCTTCCGAAGAGGGCCACCTCCCACCGCCCACCGAAGTGGGCCACCTCCCTGTGCGTTTCTTGGCTTCGCGCCCGGTTGGGTTGCCGGGTACTACTGAGCCCCCCCACCACGACAATGTGAACGCACGTTGGGGGGACGGGGTATCAACCTAGGCGAACCCGAGCGAAGCGAGGGTGAGTCGCTAGTTTCTTAATAATTTATAATACTTGCACAGGCATTTCTTATCATACGAGTAAAACAAGAAACAAAATTGTGGTTAATTTTGATAGCGATACAAACTTCTGCCATCTTCCAGTACTGCCGTCTTCAGTAGTTCATTGAAACTTCTTAAAAAAAAGGAATGTATAGGTTAAATTTTCCATAATATTATTTGTTCCCAGGGCCCGGCATCGACGTCCCAGCCCCGGATATGGGCACAGGCGAACGTGAGATGTCCTGGATTGCAGACACTTACGCCAAGACCGTCGGTTTCCAAGACATCAATGCTCACGCTTGTGTTACTGGCAAGCCTATTAACCAGGTAATATAAATAATAAAAGTATAACGTATTTTGTTATAGTTTCAGAGTTACTATTATAAATAAATAATTATAAGAAAACTAGTGGTTTACCGTCGCTTTACTCGGCTGTATGATTACTGGGTGCCTAACGGTAGCATATTTGCTACTCCACGTCTTACTCTATCTGTGTTCTATACTGCATTCAAAGCCGTTTAGCAATTTATGCTTAAAGCAGTAACAAACATACATAAACTTTCGCAATAATAATAGTAGTCTTGTGAAAGTCAAATTACGTAATATTTAAAATTAATTTGTATAGGGTGGTATTCACGGAAGAGTGTCAGCTACTGGCAGGGGTGTATTCCACGGCTTGGAGAATTTCATCAATGAAGCAAACTACATGAGCATGATTGGTGAGTACATTTTAATTTAATCATTTTAAATTATAGTCAATGCCAACACTATTTTTATATCTTATAACGCCACCTACACATTGTATTTACATTGTAATACTTAAACAATTGTTGCTTAATTGTATACCTATGAACGTTTGAGTTGACGTTTTCCTTTTGTTTTTGTTGATAATATCATTAAAATTAATATAGACCGCGTTTTATTCCAAAAATAATTATAAAAAAAAATGTTTACTTGAACAATGAGGTAAATTAATAATTTATTACTGAGGAAAATCTATAACTTGTTAACAAACAACAATTTAGAATAATATACGTATAAGTAAAATTCAAAATATATTTATCATTAAAAACAGACAATCGGGCAGGTGTGGTCAATACAAAAATGTTTATTTAAAAATCCATATAGGTACATACTGGGCGATCGGCAAATGATTTTATGGGAAACGCTGTCAGGTGCAAGGGTTGTCAAAAATACATGTTTTTTATGGCGAGCAGTTTCGAAGTTAAAATCACTGCCATCTCGTGGCAAGTTAGATTCCCAACTGTTATAAAAAAGTATATATGACAGTCGGGAGCACCTCATCCGCTGCTACCCTCACCGCCCCCGCACGTTTACCCTGTCTAGACGCCTTCATCAGTGTAGGATGATATTATTTTAATGAAAAAACTAATATTATAATAATAAATCTTTAATTTAAATAAAGTTACAATTTGCAATACTTAACACAATGAGCACAGAGTATAGAAGAGAGTGAAAGAAAATATGTATACATAGATTAACTAAATAAAGGCGAACACAGATTAATTATTATAGAAGGTGTAAATTTTATTAATCCAACATATGGATTAGTAGACTGTGATGTTAGCTAAAAATATATGTAACTTTAGGCACTACACCCGGTTGGGGAGGCAAGACGTTCATCGTACAGGGCTTCGGTAACGTCGGCCTTCACACTTGCCGCTACTTGGTCCGCGCCGGCGCTACGTGTATAGGAATTATCGAGCACGATGGAGCCATCCACAACCCTGACGGCATTGACCCTAAGGTGAGATGAATCTTCTGGAACAATTATTATCAGTTGATCGTTTTTTACTACTTATAACATTTCAGCGTTTACATACACGATTATTTGTACTTTTTGATTTTTATACAGAAAAAAAGAATGCTTCCATTAATTACATGTTATAATTTCTGAGATACTAGACACTCACCCTCGCCTCGAACTATTGATAAAAACAAATTATTTCATGGGAACCATACACTTTTCCGGGATAAACAAATAACCTATGTGCTATTCCAGATTATAATCTATCTCTGTGCCAAATTTCATCCAGATCCATTCGGCGTTCTGGCGTGAAAGAGTAACAAACATCCATACATCCTCACAAACTTTCACATTTATAATATTAGTATTTAGTATTGATTTAAACACGTAATGTAATATGTGAAATACAACGTATTTCTTAAAGTTCAATATATATTAGCGATAATTTCTCATTTGAGTGATAAATCTGACAATAAATGACTTTAAAGTCAGTGTATCTTTTAGTGATAAGTAGTTATTAATTATTATTATAATATATGGTAATCTTGTACAATGATATCATTACATGAATCATTACTAATTCTGTTCAAATAAATTTGCGACTCCTGTTTAAAACATTCTATGGTTCTAATAACAATACTAATTTCCTTTGTAGCACAATTCAAGTAAGAGAGCATTGACCGGTCATTATAATTTAGTGAATTACGATTTTTTGTTAGTTTTATTCGTCAGATCGAGTAAAGTTTTAGTAAAACTATTCTGGTCAAATGTTTTTATTATATAGTTTTAGTAAAACTATTCTGGTCAAATGTTTCTATATATTTATAACACGTCATTCAATGCCAGACTTACCAGACAGTCTTATAAATAATCTAATTATTACCCAAGTATTATGTATAAAAATCAGTTTTTACACTATAACGTAAGTAGAATTATGATTTTATGAAAAGGGTGTCTGGCAAGGGTTTGCCACGATGTTAAGTGTCTGGCATTGAATGACGTGATTTTTAATAATATTCTAAAGGTAATACCAAAAAATCACACTTTATTATTTGACGAATTTAGATCGGTATTTTACACACCTTTAGTACCGTGTACCTGCCAAAGCCACCATAGCCTGAACTTCATAATGGTCCATCGTTCTTATCTGTGTTGGGAGCATGCGCTGACAAACTTTCAGCCTTTATAAAATGACGAAGGTCTGGCGTTCACGGGCTCTTCCTCTAAAAAATATATAATTTGAAATCAATCTATATGTCATTAAATCAGAATTCAAAAAAAATTCAAAATTTAAAATAGAGAAAGTGAAATAAGATTCAATCAATTTATTTAAATACAACATGTATGATTTATCACGTTTCCGACGCGACTATCGGGCATGATGTCACCTTCAATCGTACGATCGCGACGGAAAAAAATGGATAGGCGTGACCGACGCGACGTGTGATACATGCGTTTATCAAAAAAATATATCTACTTTTTATATTTATTACCTCAGTAGCGGCTCACCCCCGCTTCGCTCGGGTTCGCCTCTAGACAAGCACAAACAGATCTATCCCACGGGAACCGTTCATTATTCCGGGATAAAAAGTAACCTGTTGTTTAACCAGCAATATAAGGTGTCGTCAGAATGCCAAATTTTACTAAATTAGGTGCATAAGTTGTTGTGTACTAAGCTGTATAAGTTACTATAGTTTTTTAACTATCCAACGGGAACTTTTTAATTTTCCGGGATGAAAAGTATGTAAAATGTTGACCGGAAATATAAGGCAGCACCAAGCAAAATTTCATTTAAATCGGTCCAACAGTTTCGGAGATTAGCCCGTACAAACAGACAGAGAAACAAAAAAATTGAAATAAAACTGGATTTTTTCTATTTCTCTTCTTACATCCCATGACTCGGTTTTTAGCATTTTTTTTCTATATACAGAGTTTTTTTTGAAACCCTGGGAAGGACGTAGGATACATTCTATGTCGGAAATCATCCCTTACGGGGGTGAAAATGGGGATGAAAGTTTGTATGGGGAATTAACGTACGGACGAACCCGAGCGAAGCGAGGGTGAGTCGCTAGTATAATAATAAAGAACAAACAAAAGCTTTGACGCCATTATAAATAAATAGGTAATATTAATTAACAAATATCTTTGACATAATTAAAACGTTAAAATAAGTATTTAAAATTAAAAATTAACGCTATTAATGGAATGCTTATACTGGTGCAACTGTTAGTTTAACGATAAGTTATGAAAACCAAAGATAAAGTGGCAATCATTTCACGTAAACTAGAAACCTATCAATGTAGGTCACTCTAAATCTAATGAAACAGCACAGCCCTGGCAGAGGCTAAAGCGGTTCCATAATCTGATTGGGTCTGACAAGAACCTTTCAGTACATATACTTAATACCTTTTTTAATATTTTAATTTCCAATATGCAGAAGATATTAGGATGTTCTTTGGCATTTTATTATCTTTGTAATAGAAGATTGAATTGAGACTTTTTATATTGAAAATATTACGAAACTTGTAAAAATATACGGTGATAAACTGGTTTGCGAATGGAAATTTTTTGAGATGCCAGTACTATGCATTTATGAATGAATTAATTATTATATCTTTTTATACACTAGATACAATACATATATTTTTTTAATAAATATTACACATACATTACACATGTAATTGACATTTAATATTTATTATATTTCATTAGATTAAACAATGTTTAAGTAAAGAATTAAATAATCCAATTTTATCAATGAATACATTAAAAGTTATGTAAACATTGTTGTTTGCTTGTACCGGTGGAGATAGCGGATTCTATTTCCGCACGGGACAAATTTTTGGTTTTTCCCGGTTTGGTTAGGATAAAGCGACGTTCCGTAGTAGTTATGCGCAAGCGATCCTGCGGTGTCCCATTAAGGCGGAGGGGAGGGGAATGTCGGGTTTTAGTGGGTAGTACCGGCTCTTCTAGCCGGTGAGCCCCACATCACCACCTGGGGGATCAGGTGGTATGCGTAAATGCAAGGATAAAGCGACGTTATGTATCTAAGAATATATTCAACACATCGAATCGAATTAGAAGTAGTATCACCAGTAAACATTATTTCGAAAAAAAAACATGTCTTCCTGACCGGTTTCGGTTATGGCGGCCAATCTCACTTATTCTGAGACCGCAAATGGGCAGGTATACACAAATGTACGCGCAGATACGATGTGCATTCTTAATTCTTTTTACTCTCAAAGTCCTATGCCACGACTGGTGGTTCAGGCCCATGACCGATGGCTTTACCTGCTCTCCAAGGCACGGGGGTGAAACACCGCCTAAAAAAAGGAAAAATATCATACATAGCACTAAAACCTTCTTCTTTAAATCGATATTAAAGTTCCCACACAGTTAAAAGCAATATTTTTTTCTTCTAATTTATAATTTACAATAGAATGTAATTCTAAAATGGTGCGCTTACAATTTCATTAATGCAATTTCAAGTGGTACTTCAGAAACCCTTATTATTACACACTCCACTCCACCCTGTATGATATTATCTAGTGTAAATGTTATCCATTTATCTGAGTATAAAAAATGTTATTTAGCTGCGGATTAAAATCATTTACGGTTTAATCGTCAACAACAAACACCCAACGACAAACTTTCACATAAATAACATTAGTAGGTTGGCAACAAATGCAAATCATATTATCAATTGGTAATTTTTGTTTTTGCAATACAAATCAATAATATTGATAAGATATTTTTTGAACATTTCATATATCAATCTATCTTGAAACTAAAAGTATTATCGCTAATACCTACTAAAATTATCTTTTAACTCAACGATTTGTTACTGCTATTCATACTAATATTATGAATATGAAAGTGTTTGTTTGTCCTTCTTTCACGTCGAAACAGAGTGACGGATTTGCGTTATTTTTTGTGAGGAGATAGTTTTAGGGCTGGTGAATGACATAGACGACTTTTACCGCGAGAAATTATCTCATTCCTATTGGAAAAATCGTTACAATACAACCCACAACAATTCATCATACCTTTGTATATCTATACATATAATAAAATTGTAACTAAGCCGAATCTGTACATTAAATATTTTTTGGAAAATCTTATTGCAATAAACATTATTATCGATACAGAGGCCGAATCTATAGTTTTTAGAATTTTGTCTGTCTTGTCTGTCTGTCTGTTACCGCATCACAGAAAAACCACTGGAAGGGATTTTGATGAAATTTAGAATGGTGATAGCTGGTTATCCGAGTCAACATATAGGATACTTTTTACCGCGGGAAAATATCTCATTTCTGAGAAAAAATACAAAAACTGCAATGGTAAGAGTATACTGATAAGTAAAACCTAAGAACTTGGTTTTTGGTGTATAATATATATAATCTATTCCATACTAACCGTTAAAACGTACCTACCTAAAGCGACCCTAAAGCTACCGAAGCGAGAGTGAGCCGCTAGTATATTATAAGCACATGTCATCAAAATTATTATTTCGTAGGAGTCTAATTTTGATTTTGGTCATAGACAGCTTCGGACTTTAATGTTGTAACTCTGAAAATTATATTATACAATTCATCTAATAACTGTAATCTTATTTATATATATAAAAGAAAGTCGTGTTAGTTACACTATTTATAACTCCAGAACGGCTGAACCGATTTGGCTGAAAATTGGCGGGGAGGTAGCTTAGAACCCAGAGACGGACATAGGATACTTTTTATCCCGTTCGACTGCGTTCCCGTGTGATATTGTTTGTGTGTTTGCCTGTTTGTACGGGCTAATCTCCGAATCTATTGGATCGATTTAAATGAAATTTTGCATGGTGGTACCTTATATCCCCGGACAACGTCTTAGATATTTTTTATCCCGGAAATATAATGGTTCCCGTGGGATAGTTAAAAAACTATTATAACTTATACAACTTATGCACCTAATTTAGTAAAATTTAACATTCTGATACCTTATATTGCCGGTCAAACAACCGGTTACTTTTCATCCGGAAAAAATGAACAGTTCCCGTGGGAACTAATAGATTTTTATTAGTGTTTTTCTAGAGGCGAACCTGAGCGAAGCGAGGGTGAGCCGCTAGTTATAGATAAGTAGAGAGGTATCTAATTGAGTGTTTTTAAAGACTGGATAATCATTACCTATAGTTGATAAGGTGACATACTGAAAATTTATATTCTTCCATTGTTTTTATTATCATATTAATTTTATTATTAATTATATAAGAAGCGTTTAAATTTATAATGAACTTCATAATCGAAAGTTTTGTATTAATCACTACACTATTAAATTATTTACAAATAAGCTTTACCACTAAAAGTAAAAAGGATTCATTTTAGAAATCTCGTAAAAAGTTATATTACGAGTACATTCCTTAAAGTTCACTAATATTAAAAATATCTTTAAATCTAACTTTGAGTACACCTTAAAATATTTTGTAACATATAATTGTATATTTTGTATTATTTCTTTAATGAGTTTATCTTGTATTTGTATCAGGCTCTAGAAGACTACAGAATTGAAAACGGCACAATCGTCGGCTTCCCCGGCGCGAAGCCCTACGAGGGCGAGAACATGTTGTACGAGAAGTGCGACATCCTGGTGCCCGCCGCCGTGGAACAGGTCATCCACAAGGAAAATGCACACAAAATTCAGGCTAAGGTACGTAAAAAAATATTTCATGTCCGATATTGTGTAAGTACCTAACCAATTTATTGTTTTTGTTTAAAATGAAAATATATTATTTAGATATGTACACAGAAATTATAAACATATATTTTGAATTATCAAACCTGTCGAATTAGGCGATTAAAATTTCTAGACAAAATCCTGCCTGTAAAATTTGTGTAAAATATCATATAATATAAGCACTCAGTGCAATTGGTATATCTGACTATTAAATAGTAGATGTTAGTTTTTTAGACACAATTACGTACAGGAAACGAAACTGAATGACCATTCTGGTTTTATAATTATGTGATAGAATTTCTACTTTAGACATGGCAACAAAATTTGGAAATTGCTTTTAAATATCTTATTGCTTATCTGGAGGGAATGAGTGTTTTTATTGCATATAATTGAATTAAAAATATTTATATCTTTACGCACTATATACAAGTACATATTTCTACTTATATAATTATTTCTAAATAACAGATTGTAACACAGTTTAATATGAAGTTACAAAATATCATATATTATATTTGAGATTTCGTAACAGTCGGTAGGAGGAGTATATAATACAAACAATAAAATAATTCTGTTGAAAACTCATCAACCGTTTACAAGTGCAATGATCGCACAAAAAAAACAAGTCTGTTTCTAGAAATCTTAGAAATTTTAGAATTATAAATAAATAGTTATGCAATATATAAACTTGATCCGACTAAGCAGTATTATATTTAAATTATCCATGTAAATTATAATTGTTTATACATCTAATATAATAATAAGGAATAATATAGCCATTGTCTAAATTATGACCTGGCGTTTCTCGTAATGAATAACGATTTTTTATATACAACATTGATATTACACACTGATAAGTATGTTTATCTATTCAAAATGTTAGTGTAGCCACACACATTAAGATAATTATGTGCAATCTATTCTATAATTATCGAAGTTACCTACTGATTTAATTTGTATATTAAAACTTTGATACCATTCATAAAATATGTAGTTTTTGTATATTCAGAGATAAAAGCTCTACGGTCTTAGACTTATATAATAATATCATTCAAATAAAAAGAAACCCACGCATGTTCTATTTTTGTAAAAGTTGTTATGTAACCCATAGGCTGTTGAAATTATAAGTATTTATAATTTATATTATTTATTAGGAATTTATCATATTATATGTATGAGATATAATATTTCATTTTGCAAAAGCAAGTGCTATCCCGCACGTGACTGAAAACGTAACAATTTTTAAAATTATCTTCAATAACTATTAAGTGTCATTTATTCAACTCGTACATAAAAGCGAGCGTAATTGGCTATTGTCCAACAGACAAAAATCCAAATTTAAATAGGCCAATGACCCAGATTGTCAGTTCTAAAGTATTGAAATTAAATATTACATTTGGTGATATAATAACAATCATATTTCAATATATTTTCGTGTTAAATACATATATTTTTATAGAAATATATATTTCTATTTAATTTAGAAACCAAATAATACAGTAATTTTGATATATTACTTATTATTTTAAGAAAGTTATCATTTTCATCCAAAATGCAGAGCGCCCTAGACCTTCCAGTCTCTTAAAATAACTTTCCTATTGATTTTAAATTTTATCGGATTAATAGTTAAAAATATATAAAATCAATAATTTGAACCTTTTTAAATTAGCATAAACAAAAAATTGGCGTCTTATTTCTGGTAGCTCGAGACCAAACAGTATATGTAATATAGAGGTTAATTATTTTGTTTGGTTCATTATTACTGGCTTAACTTAAATAGTTATATAATTAGATAGATAGATAAATACTTTATTATACACACAAAATAAATTGTAGAGAAGATGAAAAAATATGTCTAACATATAATTCGATTTCAGATCATTGCCGAAGCCGCCAACGGGCCGACCACGCCGGCGGCGGACAAGATCCTCATCGAGCGCAACATCCTGGTGATCCCCGACCTGTACATCAACGCGGGCGGTGTCACCGTCTCGTTCTTCGAATGGCTCAAGAACCTCAACCACGTGTCTTACGGACGTCTCACGTTCAAATATGAACGTGAATCTAATTACCATCTTTTGGGTAAGTTATATTGTTTACCGTTAATCCGAAAGATCTTTGCTCGTCCCAATATCAATGAATTTATTTATTACATATTATACAAAATGTTGTATAGCACTCGGTTTCTACCGAATTTCCCAATTTTGTCGACAACTTTTACAAATTTTTCTCTTAAAAATCTTATTTTGTCTGTTACAAACATTTTGAAATAAATACAATCACAATATTTACTACAAAGCGCTAATAGGTTTACACGAATTATGTATGGCAAAATGTATAAATAAATATTTTTTTTAGAATCCGTCCAAGAATCGCTAGAGAGACGTTTCGGCCGCGTCGGGGGACGCATCCCTGTCACCCCCTCCGAGTCCTTCCAGAAGAGGATCTCCGGTGCCTCTGAGAAGGACATCGTGCACTCTGGACTCGATTACACTATGGAGAGGTCGGCTAGGGTGAGTTCAACTGCATATAATGGAATAATTTCAAAGTCACTCTTAAAACCTGTTCTTACACCCTTAATTTTTAAACTGCCTCCGTGGTGTAGTAGCTAGCATGTACGGCTGTACACTCGGAAGGCCTGGGTTCGAATCCCGGGTCGGGCCAAGTATTGTTATTGAGTATTTCTGAATTGTAAGCCTCAGTAACAGCACGGAGTTGGGAACTTGGTGGTATTTCACCCCCGTGCCTCGGAGAGCACGTAAAGCCATCGGTCCTGCGCCTTAACTCTCACCGGTCGTGTCTCGTGTCGTCCCACCGGAGCGTGAGAGTGACAGGAATAGAGAGTGCACGTTGTGTCTGCGCGTACACACGCTGCACTATAAATTAAAATAGCCTGCGTAGTTGGCTAGTCTCATTGAGATTGGCCGCCGTGGCCGGAATCGGTCAGAAGGACATTATTATTATTAATTAATTGTTTTATTGAATTTTAATATGGCACCGCACGTTGGAGTAACCTGTCAAAATAAAAAAATAAAAATCGGTTCACAATTGAAAATAATCGCATAACAGATAACACTGATGACAGTAGTACGAATTGAGTATTTCACACTTCTTTGAAGTTGTTTAGATATATATTAACTTTATCTTATGAAATAACGTATCCTTTCAGGCCATTATGAAGACAGCCATGAAATTCGACCTGGGTCTAGATCTGAGAACCGCGGCATACGCCAACTCCATCGAGAAGATCTTCACGACGTACGCGGACGCCGGCCTCGCGTTCTAAACACTAACTATAAGAATTAAGTATTGTCTGCATTTTAAAGACTCCATATAGTCCCTTTGCACTTAAGAGTAACTTTTAAGACATTATATTCACAGTATTTTCTTTGTTGGAATCATCAATCATGGCTTTTTTTATTTGTACTAAGTGAAGCGTTGTTAATAACCTGTAAGTGATTATATTTCAATAATTGTATCATCTTTTATTTCAGAAATAAATTGTTTTACTGTTATTTGTTTGTTTTTATTACCTACAACTACAGTAGTTTAGTTGTATACAGTCATGTATACCGGACGAATCGTTGCTGCTGCGGCTTCCTTAATTTTGAATGAGACTATTCGGAAAGAAAGGAGAAAAAAATGATGGTGGAAACAAGCAATGTTTAGGAATGGATGCCGAAATAGTAAATAACAGCGGATATTGAAGCATTCGAGGTTGAGCATTATGATGCGCTTTGGTGCTGTAATTGGAAAACTACTATTATTACCCAGGCTATCACAGTTTAGCTCCAACATTTCTAATAGTTTGTGGTTTAGCCTGAGTAATAATTAAAATTACATATTGTTTTAACATTGAAAATGTTTTTTGTCGCTTCAGTATTATGGCCCGATTTTCAGCGAAAGTACGACATCGCCTTGGTGTCGTGGATTATGGGACTACGTGGTTGATTGGGATGTTAAAAGATGCGTCTGAATGAGGGCTACAAAATGCAAAAAAAATTTGAAAACACTCAACTGTTTTTTTTTAAATCGAAAAAATGTGAAAAATGCGGTCGTTTTTCGCTCGGTTTCGGTCAGAAAAAAAATAATATCTTGAAATGAAATAAAATATCGAAACAATAAAAAAACCCCTAGAGATATGACTTCTGACTACATTTAAAAAAATATGGAGGTTCATATCACTAATGGGTTATTCAGAAGTTGTACCTTTGTGACGCTGAGTTTACGCGAGGTGAATGCGTGAGCGCGATAATGACGGTTCACCGTCATTTATTCATAAATGTTTTGGAGCATGATTTTGTTTTTGAATCGAAGTGATTTTTTGTGAATAAATATGTATTTAAACTAATAACTAACTAACATTTATACATATAATAAAACAGTAACTGAGCGAAATTTGTACGTGAAATATTTTTTCAAAACAATGTAACGTATTGTGTCCTACAGACCCTAAAGCAATGATTATGAAAAATTTTGTCTGTTTGGGTGTGCGCGTTTCACGAAAAAGTACGAAACCGATTTAACTTTTTTTTTATTGTACGATAGGCTTGCGCTTGACTACAATCAGCGCTGGGAAGAACTGATGAGGTCTAGGTTGGAGCGCGTTTGCTTAGAAAATGTCTATTCACTCTTGCCTTGAAGGTACTCAGATTATAGGTGGCAGAAAACACGGATGCTGGAAGGGTGTTCCACTCCTTAGCAGTTCGTTTCAGAAACGTAGAACTAAAGCGTTTCGTGCGAGTTGGTTGGACTTCTACCACATAAGGATGCCAGCGCTCAAGACTTCTCGTAGTTCTGTGGTAAAACGGTGAAGGGTGCACAAGTTTGTGAAGTTCCTGCGCGCACTCCCCAAAGTATATCCGATAGAAGATCGATAGACAGGCGACATTGCGTCGATGCTCTAGACTAAGCATTTTCGTCTGCGTTAGTGATTGATCATGATACGGCGAGCTCGGCGATCTATCGAGTTGATACTTGGCAGAGCCATCCCACAGGTGGCAGTACTCCATAGCTGAATGCACTTGAGCCTGATAGAGAGTCAGGCGCTGCTCAGGCGTAAAGTATCGCTTCACCTTGTTCAGGATACAAGTTTTTTGACTACTGTTTTGGCCGTTGTCTCGATGCATTTCCCCAAATTGAGATTGGGCGAGATGTCTATGCCCAAGAGCTCAATATGATCGCATATCGGGATGGATACATTTTGGAAAGTGGGAGCCAAGGTAAAGGGGCTCCTTTTTGCGGTGAATAAACACGCTTGTGTTTTGGTGGTATTAAACTTAACTAAATTGGCGTCACCCCAATCGGACACCTCCTTCAGAATTAAGTCAATGCGATTCACCAATATCTTTTACTGTAGAAAAATAAAGGAAGAGGGAGAGGAGAGGAACGGAGAGGAGCCAGAAGAGAGGACCCATTTAGTCTGTCTTTTGCAGTTCTTTTTCGCAAATCTTCTTCGCCTGTCTACTGCGCTTGTCTTCTTCGCCTGCCTTCTTCTCTCTTCTCATCCTCTCTCCGCTCTTCTCCTCTCCTCCGTCTTTTCTCTTTAAAAAAACAAACAAACATTTATATTATATATTTATTTGTTTGTGTAACTGTTTCTTTATCTGTTTGTTTGTTTAACTGTCAGTTAATTTAACTATCAGTAAGTTTAGCTGTCAGTTTTATGAACGGCTAGTAAGTTTAACAGTCAGTTAATTAACTGTCGATTAGTTTCATCTCCAGTTAGTTTAACTGTCAGTTAGATTTACAGTAAGTTGGTTAACGGCTAGTTAGTTTAACTATCAGTTATTTTAACTTCCAGTCAGTCTAACTGTCAGTTTGATTTACAGTCAGTAAGGTTAAATGTTAGTTAAATTAACTCTCAATTTGATTAACTTCTAGCAAGATTAACTGTTTGTTAGTATAACCTCCAGTTAATTTAACTATCAGTTTTATGAACAGCTAGTAAGTTAAACAGTCAGTTAATATAACTGTCGGTTAGTTTCATTCTACAATACACTAGCGACTCACACTCGGTTTACTCGGGTTAGTCCGTTTGCGTAGGTACGTTTTAACGGTTGGTATATAATAGATAAACTTTGTGAAAAATCAAAACAAGTCTATTAAAATATAATATATGGTAATAAAAAGTAGCCTATGTGCTATTCCAGACTATTATTTATCTCTGTGCCTAATTTCATCCAGATCTGTTCAGCCGTTCTAGCGTGATTGAGTAACAAACATCCATCCAAACATGTAAACTTTCACATTTATAAGATTACTAGCAGAACCCGCGGCTTCGCTCGTGCTAAAACTGAAAAAACTAAAAAGGTAAGTTTCATACAAACTTTCATGCCCTATAATACCCCCTTATCGGATGAATTTTGAAAAATGCTAAAACACGTATTTATTTAATTATACTGAAAAGCATTAATACTAAGTTCCAAGTAATTCTGATCATAAATAATTTTTGGATTTTATTATAACGTGTTCCCATGGGAATGATATAATCTCCCACGGTAAAAAGTAGCTATCTTTTTACAAAAAATCACGCCAATCCCTCACTCCATTTCGATGTGAAAGAAAGACAAACAAACAAACCCACTTTCACATTAAGTATAATCTTAGTATGGATTTTACACAATTAGGACCATAGATAACAGGACTTGAGAGTAACCATTTTATTTTAATCTGTAAGTAGGGCTGCCATAGAAAATAAAGAATAATTTTATTACGTGTAGGGATGGGACATTTCACGAGTAGCAAGTGAAAAATCACGTGAAATGCGTAATCACGCGTCACACCTGCTACTTAAATTCATAGTGGCTGCTACAAATCACAACTTGGTGAAATCTAGAGCTGTAGCAAACCGTATGTATTCGTTACTGAGTAACGGGTACGCCATCTAGTACCGAGTACCTAAACGTTACTCACGAATGCATTTCGTTACTCGCATTTTCCGTATACATTTTCGTACTGATGTTTTTATTGATTTTTTATTCAACAAAATACAATTTTCAGTTAATACCGTTGATCAGTAAATTGGGGAGTTTATTTATTTCGAGTTGCATGATTTCGGATTCTTAGAAATATTGTTTAGAAATAATTTTAAATTAGAAACAACAATTAAATTTAGAGCACATTTTTAGTTTTTTATCCAACAAATACTTATAATTTTTACTGAATGATTATGTGTAATACGTACAGACATAACCACCAACGCTGAGAACGAGCTAGAAATGTTTATTAATGAACCAGTGCTTCCGCGCGATTCTTCGTCATTAGTTTGGTGGAAATCTCACTCCTATATGTACCCCAATTTGGCGGAAATATTTCATGAGCACTGTCACATCTTGGTGACATCAGTGGAGTGTGAGAGAGTATTTTCAAAAGCGGGAAATTTTGCAACCCAAAAAAGAGCACGATTAAGCAGAAAACGAACAGCGGAACTTGTATTTTTAAAAAGCAATGAAGACTATTGTATATAGATATCTCATAAAAAAATCAATCATCAAAAAAATCAAAAAGCAAAAAAAATGATTATAAACAAATTAAAAAAATTAAGAAAAACAAAAAAAAAGTGTATAAAATTCTTTTATAAAAATTCTTATTGTACATAAAAACAATGAACTTTTAAATACGCCAATGTAATTATGGAACTTAGCTTAATACAATTTTACCGTGTGATTACTCTGATATATTTAAAATTCATTTAATTTTACATTGTCAGTCCCAAGCCTGTAGAAGTATGAGGGAAAGTTCATTGTTTGAAAATAGGTTCATTCAAAGCACCATGTATGCAACTACGTCAGATCTATATCTCTGCTCCATATCACATCAGTAGCGCCATTGGTGACATTTCATACTTCATTTTAATAGCAAATAATATAAAGTGTGACACCAGACCGTCGAAATCAAAAATCTATGCGTGAAAAGTAGCAGGTGAAATCACGTGAAAAATTGTTGTAATTTCATCACGTGATAATGATTTAAAAGTAGCAATCATTTCCATGCTTAATTACGTGTAATGTGTATTCTGATAGCTGATGGCGATGTCAGTTCACCGTCAATACTATAAAATACTGATTCAAGACTTGAGTAATGCAATAATTTAGCGATTATTATTTTGATATTTATGTGTTAAAATAGAATTCAAAACATAATGTATATGCCACCACTTATTTTTACTGTACTAGTCACTCTTATTAATGGATTTTTTTGTAAAAGTGTAGAACTCACATTTGAATTACCTGATAATGCCGTAGAATGTTTTTATCATGAAATGGATGAAAATGTGTCTGCCTCGTTGGAATATCAGGTATTTATTTGATATTTTACCTTCCCTCAATGTTTTAAGATTATGTACATAATTTAAAGCTATATATTTTCTTATATAGTTAAATTATTCTGTCATTTTATTTGTACCTGTTTAATTTATTAATAAAAAAACTATGCATAACATAAGTATTTTATTTACTAACTTTCACTCGTGACATTTAAATGTTACATTTTTCAGGTTATAACTGGAGGTCAATATGATGTTGATGTGAAGATTGAAGGTCCGAATAAACAAATCATATATCAACAACAAAAGATGCAATATGATTCACATCCATTCACTACACAGCATAAAGGTATTTTCCTCATAGTTATTAATTATATATTTTCTTAAAAATATTTTTAATACATGTATTCATTTTCCAGGAGTGTATAAAGTCTGCTTCAGTAATGAATTCAGTACTTTTTCACATAAACTTGTATATATGGAATTGAATGTTGGTCCAGAGGAGCCTCTTCCTGGTATAGGGGAGCATGCAACAGTGTTAACTCAGGTAATTACTAATACAATTTGTGATCAAAATTTATGATTTATCAAATGTGGTAGGATTTTAAAAACTAAGTAAATAATTTATATATAATTAACCAATTAAATTATATATTTTTTTAGCTTGAAACATCTGCAGAAGAAATTCATTCAGCCCTTAATAGAATTATTGATCACCAAACCCACCACAGATTAAGAGAGGCCCAAGGTAGGAAAAGGGCCGAAGATCTCAATGAGAGAGTATTCTGGTGGTCTACTGGTGAAACTTTAGCTATTGTATGTGTTGCGATTGCACAAGTTATGGTCTTAAAGAATTTCTTTAGTGATCGACCTACATTATATAAAATGTAATAGTGAATGTTAAATAGTATATTTAGTGTAATATATTTCTTGGGCTTACATTTTTGTTTTAATTCCCTACAAAAATACTTGATTGGTTTTGTTTAAAAAATTAAAAGAATGTGGTAAATAGTATGATTTATTATATTATGAAGATAACATGAAATGTTGTTACCTAGTGATTCTTTTGTACAAAGATACAATTAGTGTAGCATTATAGTATTATTAAATATTTTATATGATTAATATCCTTTTTAATAAAAAAATCTGAATAGTATATTGATGTAAAATTAAAGCATGATGATCATTTGTCCTAGAATAAAACAAGAAGTGCAAATACACCATTGACTAGTGCACAAGGATATGCTATTAGTGGCCTTTGTTCAGAATCCCCAGACATAGTAACAAAAAGACGGCTAGCAGATAAAGCTGACCAAATTACTGCTACACCAGAAAGACTTAGCCCTATGGCTCCCTCGAGGGATATGAATATACCTAAGGTTGCTAAGACAACCATTGGCAACATACAGTAACCCAGTACACTTGCAACACTTAATATCGTAAAAACCCCCTCTGATCGGCTCATTAAAGAAAGTAAGAAATACATTAAAATAACAGACATCACTGACAAACCGTACACATAGCCAAAGTGTGCTTTATTGCCAGACAAAAATAAACATACTGCTAAAGCTAAACAGAATGCAATAGGTCCAGCAATGTCTGTGTCTCTAAGTAAAAAATTAGCATCATCTGCTTTAGATTGACCATGAAATGGATTAAGTACAGCTAATGTTTTTTCTAATATTCTGTCAGGATAAATTTCTAATTCATCTAGCAGTGGTGGCTCATCAAATTCTGCAGCTTCTCCTGCAACTTGTTCTCCAGGTATTGGGGCAGGCGTAAATAAATTAGGATTATAGTATTGATTATTGTTAGGAGCAGGTGCTTGGCCTTGATCAAAATAATTTTGCTGATCTGCAGTGAAATTCTGAAAATCTAACAAGAAATTAAAAAAAATATATTATTTTCATAATAGTAAAGCAATGTACAATAAAACCTTATTGTATTTACCTAATGTTTGTGAATCGCCGAATGTATTTGGAGTATTGAAAGAGTAGGTTTGGCTGTTATTTTGAGGTTGCCAAGAATAATCATTTGGATATGACATTGTCGATGTCTTTGACACTAATATAGAAAATTCAAATGTGTTTTATTGAAAATTTCTGTGTATTTAATATTTAGTTATCAAATTTTTAAGAACTTATTTGAATGTCAGCAAAATGTCAATTGTCAATTAGTACTTGTCAAGTCGTCAACGTTCGAGAACCCACGTCATAAGTAAATTAGATACCAGGCATTTAACACGATATTGATAAAAAAAATTAAAATTGTTTTATTTATATATTTTTTGTCAGAAGGTTTCAAAAAATGTTGACTCGTAGAAATTTGCAACTTTAATATTTTTTCTAAAGAAACTGTTCATGTTGTTGGAAAAATGCAATAAACGTGCAGTTACATCTCTAGTCAGAAATAATATTCAATAAAAACAAATACGTTGTCACTATATTTCAATAAAATAATTGCAATAAATTTCCAATAAAATCATGAACATTAGTGAATCTTGAAAACAAAACCAAAAAGTTTTTGAACTGTTTCGTATTACTTTTATAGTTTATTTTCTAGTCACTTTTAAAAAAAAAGAAAAACTAGTACCCTTATAATTTCATCATTCCATGCCCATTTTTTCCGGAGAAATTATGGTTACCCTAGGTAGGCTATTCTACTTCTCTTTTAGAATTTTGTCCACTACAATTCGCAGAGGTTGCAGGTTCAATAAATACGATATTGTTTTTTGAAGTCATACGCCGCCGTAATGAAAGTTAGAAATCTGAATCCAGATTCCAGAATGTATTGTTTCGATAGAAGCTGAAAGTGGCCCAAGTTTTTAACTTGAGTATTATAAAAAAAACATATTTACAAATATTTAAAAGTAAAATTTCCAAAAATATAAAAAATTATAATAAAAACATAATCAGAGTCATTGTACTATATGGCATACTTTATTTCGTTGAATATCATTTATTGTTAGCCATTAAATGGAATGGTTGGATAATGGAAAATAGAAAAGTATACAAGCATCAATTTCATAATATAGAAAATTAATATATGTTAGCATAAATATTATTTACAGGATGGTTTATAATTTAGGCGGAATTATAAGAGAGTTTGGTGAAATATTTTGAAGAAAGCAGTCTTTTTGTATCAAAACAATATTCTTGCTGCATTTTATTGATTATTGCATTATTATATTTCTAAACTCTCTTACAATACAATATATATTCTGCCGATACGATAATTTTCAATTCATTCAGTGTAACCATTAATTTGATTAAAAAAATATGACAACTACATTACAACGTAATAATTAGTATGTGTCACGATAATGGTATTTTTATTTTAGTTCTACTTGTCTTTAATTGAAATCTAGGTGTCAGAATTAAGAACATGTGTAAAAAAATGTTAAAATTTATCATTATATAAAAAGTAAAATAATAAAACTTATTTCTTCGTTTAAACAATTGTTGCGTGTAATTTCACAACATAAAATTCTATTATAAGATAGTGGTATATATCATGTCAACTGGACTGAATAAAGAATTAAAAATGTGTTATGTATGTTTATCTTTTCACAATTTCACTTTAAGTCTCGATATAGATTATTATAATTCAGTTTTTTATTACATTGAATATATATTTTTGTTACAAATGCCGACAGAAGCACCATAGTTACACATTTTATTGATCAAGATTATTTCACTAAACACGAGAACATAGCTTTAAATATACACGATACACGTAATATGTTATTGCTAACGTAAGTAATACTACATAAATTGTATTTATTCTACAATAAGTACTAATTAAGAATCTTAAATAATTTGCAACTGAATTTTAAAAAATATTTAAATAAATAATCACTTTAACACAAAAGATTCAGGTACTACTTTATAAGTCACCTATTATACTTTATATAAAACATTTTAATGATAAATTAATTAAAATACTAGCATTAACTTTGTGTATTCATAACAAAACATTACTATTGATAAAAACAATAAGTTTTATATAACTTACGAAATATTCTATAATAAAATGACCAGCCTTAAAAAACAAATTTAAATGCGTTTTAGCTTTTTTGAGAGTTGCCTTTTAATAGAATAATTCTATAAAATTATACCTAAATATATTATCATAATGGAATCAATATTTGTAAAAAAATCTGGTCTATAAATTTCAATAATGTGTAGATATTGGAACAATATATGGGTTACAACAGTATTGCCCTTCTACGGCTTAATCTCCTATGAAAATAGTTTATACATGGTTAATGGTTTAAATATAAGCCATAAAGGAATACTCGATACACTAAATTATTTTAAAATTGAATGTGTTAGTGTTTTTGGTAACAAAAATGACCGACATTGTGCATTGGATGCACATGAATTTATTTGATAGAACATTAATATTCAAATTATTCACAATTTTAATTAAATCAAAGTAAAGTCTTATACTGCCAAGTGGATGGCTTTTTGTTTTAAAAATTCAATGTAGAAATGCACAAAATTGCTTTCAGTATTGGAGGTGTAAAAGTAAAATATCTTTTTTTTTAAATGAAATGAGTTAATATTAATGATTAGATACAATGTATGTATGATACTGATACTCTATTTGTGTTTTTTGGAGTTTTAATTACAGCATGGTTATCATGGAAAGTAATGTAAATAAAGTTTACAGTTTAATCAAAAAATGTTACTATTCTTTAAACATTTATCATAATACTCTATTTTATTAAATTCTGTACTTGAAGTTAATGGGATACTTTTAAATTTTTAACAAGGTATAGGAGTGATTGGTTCCGAAAATCATTTTATAATTTTTAAGGTTTGAATCGAGTTATTTATTTTATTAGTCTGAGCGTCTAGTATTTAACCATTTCACATCAATTGGTCGTCATTACTTAATAATGTTTTAATAAGGTAACGTAAATGAGTATGTGTCTCTTTAAAACATCATACATCCTTTCAAATGATAACCCTGCTATATAAAAACGAATCCTCCTTACTTTTAAATACAACTTATCTACGACAGTTATTATGTACAATACAATTTGTACATGCAGTACATACAAATATTTGTAATACATCAGTTTATAAAAAATATGAACACACTAATAAATGGAGATTTCAAAATGTTTTAAAAGCCTTCCTTTTAAATAAACAACATCGACATCGGACTTATAAACTTAATCGAGTAAAATCATTTCCATACTCATAATATATATCACAGACACCTAAGGAAGATATTAGATTACATCTATTTTTGAGGTACTACACAGTACATGTGTAAAAATGTAAATAAATAAAAAAGCACAAAATCTCAAAGTGATTCCCAGGTATGTCGACGAGCGGACGTCGCATCGTCGGTTTTTAAACGTTCAAAAGTCTATATTAAAAGTTAAACTTGGAAGTAATCACTCACAATGCACTCGGGGCCGCCGCTAATACTGTTTTTCGCTTCCTTCGTCGGAACATTGATCTTTTCATACCCAGCAGATGAGTCCGACCGGTCGATACCAGAGCTTTCAGCTGCGTGATTCACTTTTTCATAGGGCGGATCCTGTTTTGATAATTCGAAGTACTTAACGCTTTCGTAATTAGGATCCTTTTTAGACCGCACCAAGTCATATTTGGGGTCCTTCGATCGTACGGACTCGTATTTGGGGTCTTTACACCTGAGGGGCTCGTAATTGGGGTCCTGATTAACACTTTCGTAGTTGGGGTCTTTGGGCCGAACGGATTCATAGTTTGAATCGGACTCGCTCCCGGTCGTGTTGTAGAAGGGCTCGTGAGACATCGATTCGTAGTTTGGTTCTAAATTTCCCTCATCGTTATTATTTCCCGACCAATTATTGTATTTGACGCCTCGCTTGTTCACTGTAGAGTATGTGGGTTGTACTTTGTAGTTCGGTGCGATTGTGGCGTATGGAGGGGTTGGGGGTTGATTCCGTAATACTTCGTAATTGGGGTCAGAGTCGGAAGCGTTTGCGTCGGATTTCGATATATGTTCGTATCCGGGGTCGCTACTTATAATACTATTAGGTCCACTGTCCACCATCAAATGGTTTAGTTTTAGCAGATTATTATTTGTAAACTGGGATTTATTAATATCTTTAACCGTCTCATAGCCCGGGTCTTGGTTGGAGTTCTTACGTTCTTTCCGTGCAATAGTTTCATACCCGTGATTCATCGATTGTTTACGATCGATGGTTTCATACCCAGGGTCGTCCGCTTTGTACTTTTGGGGTTTATCTTCGCTAGTGTCTTTTGATTTTCTAAATTCGTCTTTCGTTTTAGCCTTCTTCATGACTTTCGCGTACATTTCCTCGACATTCCTCGAGGGGCTTTCCGTGATTCGTTCGGATGTAATGCTGGTGTTAGGATCTGCAGAGGAGTAGTCACTGTAGGCCGGGCCGTCTATAGAGTTGTAGAAGTTGTCAGAATGGTTGCCCTTTTGATCGATATCAAAGTTCAGTTCCCGTGCCACTAGAGGGCGTACGATATCCCCGGAACTAAACCGGTGTTTTTCCACGGGATAGTTGCAGCCGTAGAAGTCCGAGGAGCTCACACAGCTGTTGTTGCGTTGGTGCTTCTCGTTGAGACTGCGACGGAGTTTGTCGTGGTTGAAGTGGAGATCGCCTGTTCATAGAAGTTAATTATTTCACTATATATCATTACATTACCTTGCTAAAAAAAGCAGATTTAGTTTTTTTTTATTGAAGTAATGTAAAGTGCGAGAAGCTTACGTCGAAACACTCATCTCATGTAATATAAAGTTTGCATAATTAATTACGAGCAATTAAATCTGTGCTTTGTGTAAATTTTGTGCTTATATCATGAACGTTGATCAGTTTATACTAATAAGAATATTAGTCTTGCGATCAATTTAAATATAGACATGAAACAATGGAGCCCAGTGGTAACGCTTGTTGTGGGAAACCGAGTGATGGGTTCAAATCCCGGGTTTAACACCTCTGAAGCCAGAAGGGAGGCCCGTGCCCAGCAATGGGACGTTAAAAAAAGGGCTGAAGGAAGTACGATATAAAGCAACCCTCACCAGTACTAGATATCCGTTGGTGGCGTTGCCCTACTGTATCTCCGGTGCGCGGAGGATGGGAAGAGTGGGGAGGATGGGAGCTGTGGGAGGGGTGAGAGGTGTGGGACGGGTGAGAGGTATGGGAGGAGTGAGTGGTGTGAGAGGCATGGGAGGTATGGGAGGTGTGGGCGGTATGGGTGTGGGGGTGGGAGGGATGAGGTGGAGGGGGCAGGGGCGAGTTGGCCTGGCGCTTCTCTGGCTTGGGCGAGCCGAGCGCGCCCGTCGAATTCGAGCAGGATGACATCGATGCTGGAATTATATGTCAAAATATTTTTTAATTTTTACTATCTAACTATACTACAGTTCTGAGTGATACATAAGTATCACGTATAAACATGGTGTGTATTTCAAGTTAACCTACAAATTTAATATTTATGATCCCCGCTTTATGTGCATGTGATCTCAAGGTATTCCCATGGATTATTCAATTAATAAAATAATTTACTATATTTTTATTTAAGTTAATTATATGTAATATAAAAGTCTTATTCATATTTCATCAGTGATTGATTCTGTTTTAGTGGCATAAATACTATTGAGAGCTCTAGCTTTTTATCGGGAATTTCCGGGATCAAATACCGTTAACGATATATTGAATACTTAATCGAAACTATGATTATTAGCGCAGCTCAGAATTTTATTCAAAACTGGCGACTCACCCTCGCTTTGCTCGGGTTCGTCGTTCTAGGTACATTTTAATATTTTTGAGCGGATCCCTAATTCTTTTTCTAAAATAAAAGTAGCCTGTTACTCCTTATATTAGCAATCCAATATTAGCTATCTGCCAGTGAAAGTTACGTCAAAATCGGTCCAGCCATTTCGGAGATTAGTCGGAATAAACAGACAGACATTTTAAATGTGTTTTTCCTATATGTATGGTACCTATATATTTCCTTAAGCATTTAGTAAAAAGTTGTTATTTTGACATTACAAACAGACACTTCAATTTCATTTATCTGTATAAATCAATTCAAAATACAAAAATGTGTACCTTGTCGAGAATGCGTCGAGTTCGCAGTAGTCGTTCCTATCTCAGGCGGAGCACTCCTCCTATAATTAAAAAAAAAGAATATAAATAACTATAGATCTATACATATAATAATCATTTCATTTAATACGTGCACATATAAAAATACACTTTTATATACTATATAAATGTTGAGTGGCCCTGTCCTAACATGTAATAGTGCACCTATAGTTGTTGTCTCTGTAGATATATTTACAGATAGGGTTATGTTGGCAGCGCCTCTGACTATTTAAGACAGTCCAATTAGTTAGCGTAGCATGGTGTGCCATGCGGGTTTCTCCTGGTATTTCTATAACAGCTGAGTGGACCGTGGGGGCAGCCCCCTGGTTGTGTGGTCTGCTTCGGTAGGCCTGCCGTCGGGGCGTCGTAGTTTATTTATTTATTTATTAAGATTACCAACAGAAATGATAACAGTAATACAAATATAGTTTACATAATAAATTAAACACAGTATAATTGTATTTCTTTTTAGAGATAATGACAACATAGAAACAAAAGAAAACAATCAGTTTAATAAATAAAGGATAGTAAGAAATTAAAAACTGAAATACATTATTGGATAAATTAATATAAATAAATTATTGAAAAGAAATAGAATTAGAAAAGAAATAGAAATAGAACAAAATAATTTCAATGTAATACTAATTAATTCATTCATTATTTTGAAATTATTATTATTCATAATTATTTAGTTGAGTACGTAAGTTAACTTGCGACGTCCCATTAAGACGGGGGAGGTTCTGTTGGGTTTAGTGGGTAATATTGGCTTTTCTAGCCGATTAGTCCCACATAACCACCTGTATGTTTACTACAGGTGGTATGCGTAAATGCATTTCCCAAAATAAAATAAATAAATAATGTAAATGTTATGGCGTGTAGTGTGTACCGTGTAGTGGTGTACAGACCGTGCGTGGTGGTGGTCGGGCGGCGCGGCGGCGTCGCGGCGGCGCGGCTCGGGCGCGATCTGCGCGTACGTGTCCGAGCCCTCGCCCACGCTCGCCTCCTCTATCGCCGCGTACATTTCATCTGCACATTATATTTATACACTAGCAACTCACCCTCGCTTCGCTCGGGTTCGTCCCTAGGTGCGTTTAATTTTATTGAGCGGAACCGTAATTCTTTTTCTAAAATAAAAGTAGCCTTTTTACTCCCTATAACATCAGCTATCTTCTAGTGAAAGTCCCGTCAAAATCAGTCCAGCCGTTTAAGAGATTATGCTAAAGCAACAGATAGACAAAAATGAAAAAAAATGCGTTTTACTTATAAGTACCATATATAATTTCATATGTATTTAGTAACACGTTGTTATTTTGATATTACAAACAGACACTTCAATTTTGTTTATCTGTATAGATTAATCGAGTTTACGATTATTGGATAGTTGATAGTTGGTTCATGGACCAATAGCGCCAATACACTATTTCTTAAAATAACAGTAAAAAAACAGATATATATTATACAAACTTTCACATTTGTAATACTATGCCGATAATTGAGGCGGGTTATTTTAGTTGTACATAAGAAGTAACAAACAACTCACAAACTACTCCAATTCGTTACAACACAAAGAAGTAGTACAGTAAGTAAAAACATTGAAGCACAAAAATTGATGCGTATTTATATTGTAAATGTGAATAAAATACATTCCGAACCGGTGATAGATACCTTACGGACCTACATACTGACATTTAATTAAAAATTAAAAATATAATAGACCATTCGAATGTACTTGGAAAAGTCTATTTTAATGAAGTATATTTTGATTTGAATACCCGAGTCGTCGGAGACGGTGGCATAGTGAGGCTGTGAGGGCTTGACGCTTTGCGCGCGGATGTTGCTCAGCGGCTCGCGCACCGATATACTCGTGTAGCCCTCTAGAAAACAATACACATTTATGTTATATTAGTTGAATTAATTTCTCTTATTTCTGTAATAATCATTATTTTATAAATTCCTTATCACAGTTAAAAATTGTTAACGTTACTCCAGAACTGTAATTTGTAACAGACAGACAGAAATTTGCAATAGTTTAACATATTTTTGTGTGTATCTATTAATAAAATAATACGAAAAGTTTAACGTCAACGATATCTATTATCTATTCAGGCAAACAAAGTTAGCCCAAATTAGCGCTGTCCAATTTCTTTGGACTTTTGGATGGAGCTGTGTGACTTAATGCGGTTAAGAGAGATTTATTTAATATATTAAATATTTTATCACTATATAAATTCGGTAAGTTTTAACGGTTAGTATAAAATACAAATATTTGAATTTCTCGACTTTTCTGTACTGTATGTACACGTATTATACATAAAATCCTTCCTCTTGAATCACTCTATCTGTTGCATAAAACTGCATTAAAATCCGTTGCGTAGTTTAAAAGATCTAAGCGAACAGACAGCGGAAGCGACTTTTTTTTATACTATGTAAAGATTATTAAAATCCACATAATGTTCATTTAACAACATACTAGCGGAGTCAGTAGAGTCGCCACTGAAGTGCACGGGGTCGGGCGGGCGCGGCGACGGCGGCGTGATGTACGGCAGCTCCTGGCTCGACGGCAGCTGTCCGCTGATGGCCACCGACGCGGAGATCAGCACCGCTTCTGAACCGGGAAAATATTATAATTTCAAACGACTTTTTATCCCTAGGTGTGTATTTAAAATTTCATGGCTATTAACATTTTTATGATGTAAAATTCTCTAATTCTTTATTATATTTTTTGGAGCGTCTGATGATTTTTTAAAGCAACGACCTAAATAGTTACAGTTAACTTTAATTTTTTTATTATTTTTTTTTGTACCGCGTGGGTCATTAGCAATTGAATACTTCTCATTAAATTGTCCTTGTATGCGGTTTTAATTTACTCCATAAGATATTTATGAAAGAGAACTTTATTGTACATCTTAATTAAGTTTGATGCAAACAGCAAAAGAATCAAGTAATCATTTGAATACCATATTTTGCTACCTTTCAACAATATAAACTATGAAATTATGTAAAATTTTAAACATACTTTAATTTGCATGACAATCTATTAGTCATAGCATTGTATGAATACTAAAACCACGTGTAACGTAACTAATAATGTAATAAGTACTTGATATAAGCGCACTTGATCATTCCGCAAAAACATATGTACGTAGTACGCAGTTTGAAAATCAATTAATTGTAGAATTTATATTAATGAACCGCTATAAATACCGCGATAGATAATTAGCAATAGGATACTTTAGTTCCGTACTATGTTTATTATAAATGGGAATTAACTGCCTCATTGGTCTAATCACCTAGTGGTTAACATATACGGCTACAACGGAAGCCCTGGGTTCAAGTCCCGAGTCGGGTCAAGTATGGTTACAGAGTTTTTGTGTGAAGAAGTGCGTAGGACCTGATCACTCACTGGTTGTGTTGAATTATTATCCCGCCGTTCGAGAGTGAAAGGAGTAGAGTGCACTTATCTTTGCGCGCACACTTATGCACTATAACATCATTTGGCTAGTCTCAATGAGATTGGCCGCCGTGGTCCATATCGGTTAACAGAATTTTTGTAAATGGAAAAACAATTATCCTTAAATAATGCAATTGTGAATAAACCATACACGCATTGATTTGACCAAAATAAACTGATAATTAAAATTAATAAGCGTGTTTAATGTTTATACAAATAAGCAGTTGATTGTGTATATTAGAGTATTGGACCTTTGTTATTGTTTTGCGTTCTATTAGTACCTATATAGAATTATGATATTATAGAGAACATGTTTGTGCATACTATCTATTTAAAAAGACGGAATGTTGTTCGTTGGTAAGCACATCACTTGAAAACGGCTGGACCGACTGGGCTATTTTTTTTAATTATCATAATAGTTCCAGTATGGTTTTTATGAGAAAAATTGAAAAAAATTGTCCGGAAAACAGTGAAATTCAGAAAAACTGAAACTGCTTTATTTTGTAGGACTTTAATTCAAATATCAAAAACTAATTGAATTTTAGACAGGGCAATATTTGTCGGGGTGTCAGGAACCTAGTGAATAAAAAATATAGTAGTGAAAAACTTAGAAATAATTACACACCGGCAGCAGACGACGTCGCTTCTCTGTCATCAATTTGGATTTCGCTGTCTGACCTTTCGTCGGTAGTAATTTCCACTATTCTGAAAAGACAAACAAGCAAATAAATAACATTAATTAAATATAGCTGCAACATTATGTAACTTAAAATATTTTCCTTGATCTTGTCATTTCCTTTAACTGTAACGTATACATAAATATAGTTTATTCCGAAGAATTTAATTTAAAATATTAATCTGCATTATATAATGTTCTTGATAAAAATTTTGATTAAATTTTGATAAGTATCATAAAAAATAGTACTAATGTATAACTTTATTATTTACTAGCGACTCGCCCTCAGTTCGATCGGGTTCGGTACGTCTTAACGATTAGTATGGAATAGATAGACTATATATATAATATATAGGTATTATGATGAGTTGTTATGTTTTGTATTACAACGTGTTTTCTCGTGGCAATGAGATAATCTCTCGCAGTAAAGAAAAATAATGTAGTCAGCCCTCCACACAGAAAATCACGCCAATCCGTCACTCTAGTTCGACGAGAAAGAAAGACAAACAAACATACAAAGGTTAAGAAGATTCATATCATCAAAAGCTTTTCCGAATTGGTCCAGCCGTTCTCGACTCTTGCGCTTAGCAACACATTTTATTTATAAGAAGATTTACATAAACCTTTAGGAGAACTGTTGTATATTAATTAGTAAGAAAGCCGGCTCAGAATGAAATTATGCCGAGAAGAACGAGCAACAACCTATATGCGCATTATTCATTTTTTTTAAAGTTAATCCCTCCACGACCGCGGACACGCCGGCGTTACTGTTAACAATAGATTTCTTAGAAATTTACCTGGAGGTTTAACATTATAAATACTTACACATCGTGACTTTCGTTCTGTAGCTTGGCATAAGCATGCTCGTACGGATGATCTCGGCTAGTAGAAGCGACGACTGCGGTTTTATTCCCTGAAACAAAGCGTTTCGCGTTACATGCTTCAACTGTTAGAACCTAAGCGATACGTAATCAGGAATCCTCAATTCTAGCGGTACTTTCATGTCTCAATTCGATATGACAAGATAAATTTATCGCGATTATCGATTAGATTTATTGTGAAATATATAATAAATAAATTTAATGTTAATTTATAAATATATTTATATTTTTGATTTTAAGCCTGATTATGATGAAATGAATAATTTTCCAGAAATAAATTTATCGCAGACTATAACGAACAAATAATGCATATTTAATAAAACGATGTAATGATTATATTTAGATAATATGGTTCTGAATTTCTTTCCTAAAAAAAATATCCATTAATTTGTTCTGCAATTGTATTACCTACTTCATTGCAAGTTTAAAGTTGGTTTGAATGTGCAATGTGTATATATATTACATTAAATCTATTAGTCAGATTAGTACATTGAGATGATTCATGACTGCATTGTTTCTTCTAACTGGTAATTTTATTATTCTAGGTAACAATGTTTTCATTGTAATTAAAAGTTTGAATTATTCATAGTAGGTACACAAATGTATACTAAGGTCTTCAACTAATTGAAAATTGCTAAATAAATCTTCTTAATCCTTTTTTTTTTTATGGTATTCAGTGACAAACGAGCAGACAGCCCACCTGATGGAAAACGGTACCTGTCGCCCATAACACCTACGGTTCAGGCACTTAGGTTTTATGTTACAAAAATACAGAACCGCAGATACGTTGTCACTGTGAGGACTAAGATGGTATGCCTCTTGCCTGTAATTATGCTGGCTACCTTATCCTTCAAATCGGGACACAACAATGTAATCATTGTTGCTTGGCGGGAGAAATAGATAAGGGGGTGGTACCCATCCAGTCAGACTCCTCAGGCTTGACAGAGCCCTACCACCGGTCCTTTCACGTCCCTTTTGTTATTTCGTCCACATAAGATTAAAAAATGTTTGTATTATACATGCATACTTATGTAAATTGTACATATACATATATTGTTATATTAGCATAGTAAAACTTGTATGACATATGAAACCTCAATGAATAGCTTTTATTTGCGCCTTTACTTGCTTGTTGATATCTATTTAGTTCACAATGAGTATATTATGTAGTGATGCAACGAATACGAATATGTATTCGTATTCGCCGAATATCAAGAAGATATTCGTACAATAATATAAGAGTGTAATTGAATGGACTTTTCAATAATTTAATGTATAATCTAGTTTACCACAAGATCCTCGATTCAAATCAAGAATCTTTAGCACCTATTTCAATATATTCTGGTTTGTATAAGTAATCAATTTTAACCTTTTATAATAACACTAGTTTGTGTTGATCCAGTTCATAAACTTATGTTACCACACTTAAGAGTTTATTAATTTGCAGGTAATTCGAGTACCAAGAATGAAGTTGATGCCTATCTCAAACAGCCAAATTTACTACCAAGCGCCGACTCAATGAAGTTTTGGCGAGAAGACTTACACTTGCCGAGTCTAAAAAAAATTGCTTAGATTTTTTTTTGATATAGTTCGACAGTTTCAGTTTCCCATCGATAGTATTGTCTGAAAGACTATTTTCAACTGCTGGAAATATACAAACCGTGAAAAGAAATCGACTCTCTTCTACAAACTTACGCACTGTATGTTTTTAAATAAGAATTTATCTACAGTTGGTTTCGATTATTAAAAAAATAAAAAGGCAACTCTTTGAAACCTATTTTATGTAAGTTTAATCAGAGGTTATATTAGGTTTTAAACAAAATTAAAGGCTAAAAAGTAAAAGAGTTTTTTTTCGTTTTATTAAATATGCAGTATAAGTATTCGTATTCGCCGAATAGGAAGAGCACTACCTATTCATATTCGTAAAAGTGGTTTTCATTGCATCACAAAATTATTATGTACCTATACGTTATAGGTATTTATATCATTCCGCAACTTCACCTCTGAGTTCTGACGTGGCAACAAAAGAGAAGGATAGAGGGACTCAAAAACTTGTTACAAGAACTGGTATAGTCAGTTAACAGCAGTTAGTTAGTTAGTCCTAGCAGTTTCTTTGTCGTTAGTGGCGGAATTAGGGGGTGGCAAGCAGAGCAACCGCCCGGGGCCTCGCTCTTGCAGGGGCCTGTCTTCGCACAACAACCCAAGTGTATTAGAAACTCGTGCCTTACGCCGTACATTAATTACAAAACCGACAACGCGCAAGTACAAGCATTAGCGTTTGTATGGCACATATCTTTCAATAAGCCATTAATATTAAATCTTATGTTATCTAAACTAATATTATAAAGAGGTAAAGTTTGTGAGTTTGTGACGTTGTAGGGGTAATCCCTGGATCTACCATACCAATTTAGATGAAATTTGATAAGAAGATAATTTGAGACCCCGGAAAGGACATAGGATACTTTTTATCCTGGAAATCATCCTTTAAGGGGTGGGTGAAAATGGGGATGAAAGTTTGCATGGGAAATCAACCTAGGGACGAACCCGAGCGAAGCGAGGGTGAGTCGCTAGTTGAGTATAAGTTTATTTAATTTATTCTTATCTGTGTGGTTATATTTAGATGTGGAATCTTATAAGATCGATTTAATTAAATTAATTCTTATAGGAACACCAAAATGAAAACATAACTTTTTACACAGACTTACATTAATTCAAATTATTATTTACCTTCTTCAAGGTTGACTGTTGCATAGATTTCTGATGCAGTGTCACCGCTGTCATGTCTTCCAACAGGTTGCGGGATTTCTGGTAAGCTTCTCTGACTATTTTGTGTAGATGCCCTGATAATAAATAATTTCACAAATGTGAACATACCTATAAAATTATTACTGCTATGGTTTTAATTTAATTGTTAATTATTTAAAAAAAATAAAGTAGCTTCATTAATCATTATTTTATGCATCTTCTTTAAGTGAAACATTAGTAACTGCTTGTATTTTAAAATCATCAATTGTATCACCTATTTCACTTTTGTGGTTATTTTATATCTTTATTATTTATTTATTTCACATGTCATATAATTTTAATAATGGCAAGGGTCGGCACATGGATGATGTTATGTCTTAACAAGCATATTAAACAAAATATGGTTTTGAATAAGGACGCGACTATTCACCCGATCTACGTGTCTATGGGAAGCTTTCCCGTAGCTGACCCGTGGATTGATGAATTTAGTTCGACCACGGGAAAATTTCCGTACTACTCAGAATTTTTACATTTACCTATAAATAAGTTCTCAAAAACAAATTATGTGATAATTGTTTATAAACGAAATATAAAATAATAGTAAATTCTCTTTTATTTTGCGTTCATTATTTTTGTATTACATCAAATCATGGCACTCGGCCACAGGGACTGGTGACAAAACGTCATACGTGTTATCATATTTAGCCTGCTTTCGTCCACTGCTGGACATAAGCACTCTAGAACCCCTGTACTCCATCGGTTATCAATTCTGCGACAAATGTGACCCGTCCACTGCCACTTCAGCTTGTTAATTCATTGGACTATGTCGATAACTCTGTCGGATCTACTCATTTTGGATCCGATCCTTCAGAGAAACTCCGAACATAGCCCTCTCCATAGCACGCTGACTTACAACCTTGACTGGTGGACCAATCGCACCGTCAGTGTCCACATCTCGGCTCCGTATTTGATAAGGACTCACTCATTATATCGGTATTGGCCACGAAAAGACTGAAATTTATTGAATACTGCTCAGGCCAGCTATATTCTTCTTTAAGCTTTTTTCTCGAAGTAGGTTTTACTTACTTGCAGTAATTGAAAAAATAGTCTCGTGCTATTTCGAGAGTAGTTCCATTAAGAGCAATCAGTCTTGGTATTACATGTGCATTAAACATGATCTTGGTGATGTCTAAATTCATCCGGAGACCGATGTGTTCTGAAGAACCAGCTAGACTTTGCAACTTTGACAGGTTTTGCATGATTTTAACCATGATGACGATATCTTTTGAGAATCTTATGTGCGAGTTGTACTTCCATTTATTTTTTTTAATTTTCTTAGTGAAAAGCAAATTATTCACGCAAGATAACAGAGAATTACTTAATTCAAAACGGTAAATTACAACAACATTGACACATCTCAATTTGTTTTTGAGAACTTATTTATAGATAAATGTAACAATTCTGAGAAGTACAGGAAGTTTTCCTGTGGTTCTGAAAGCTAGAACCAAATTTAATAGATCCACAGATCAGCTACGGGAAAGCTTCCCATAGGCCTGTAGATTGGGCGAATAGACACTTCGTTTACATAAATACAAATAGACTAGAGCAGATGGCCTACATGTTAATTAAAAAAATAATCTGATGCTTTTAATGATTCAAGCAAATGATAATAAGACTGCATAGCAATACAGATTAACAGTACTAGCCAACATTAAAATAGTCATGCAGAATATATTATTTCATTTTGTAGTTAGTATATTAAAGATTTAGCTTTTGTTATGTTCAATTCATAATATAATAAAAAATATATATTACAAATGCACAGACTAGTTGAAGAAGAGAACATGTTACAAAAGCAAATTAATCAGAGGAATTAATACTGAAACAATAATAATATTAGTGGTAATTAGCATTAACATCTATGTTAGCCCTGTTATGTAATTTTTGAAGGGCATGCTAAGAACAAACCGCTTAATAGAGGCCGGAGTGGTAGGTGTTGGAGAAGGAACCTCCTCATCTAAACGAATTTTGACCACACCGGCCGTCCCAACCAACTCACTTCTGTATAAATATAACATTCTTTAGATTATAATGCAAAATTTAAATTTTCATTTAAATATGTGTAATACTAATAATTTCAAATTTTTTATAATAAGTTTATATTGAGATATGTATTTTCTAAAACTTTAATATAATTGTGTAAGTAGCTAAACTAATGCCTTAGGTGCAATATCTTATTGTAGTGGTGTTAAAAATTGCACTATTTTAGAAAATAATCAATTTTTAAAATATTGAAACAGCTATAAAATTACTTTTATAGTGTATTATTTGTGTTTAAATTTAACATAAAAATGTAGTTTAGATTAAATTTTCATTTTGCAGAATATAAGTTTATCAATGGGGTATGACTTAGAAATAATCAAACACAATTAAAGAATTGAAAGATAACTTACTTCTGATTGGAGTTTTTACAGCCACAAACACATACTGATAGTACAGTGATCAGAGTGGCTAGCACTCCTATGCTCAAAGCTATCTCTATTATAGTATACATAACAACAGATTTTATTAGATTCTTTCAAAGTAACAGTTGAGAAAATCATCCATGACAAATATTATATTATGTTACTCCTTTTAAAAGAAGAGTAAATATAAAACTTTCTTCCATTTGAGAATAAGTATGAAATGTAGGACACTTGTTTACGCGACTATTGCAGGTGAACCAAAAATTTCAATACGTTTATCTTTGTATTGATTTTACCAATTAACATTAATAAACAATTAATGAAATCTTATTTTATCTTTTATTCGATTTACAATTTCACTATAAATAAATAGCACCTTCCCGTGCGTTAAATCTGAAAAAAGTCAAATGGTTCTAAATAAATAATAAAATAGTGACATATATCTATATGACAGATTAAATAAGGTCTTAACCACAGTATAAGTTACGACAGTCGCGTATTTAGTCGCATCGTGTACGTCGTTATGACTTACGACGAATATTTTAGATTTTTATAACAAATTACAATTTATTCTTTATTTCTATAAAGTAGTGACAAGCGGAAGTCCAGAGATAGAGCACCCCTTGGGGTACACAAATCCCCATGTATATTACGCGATTGTTTAGTTTTTGAATTTTCAAACTGAACAACTTAAAAAAGTTTAAAAAAAAGTAGAAGACTTTTTCACGTTTCTTTTGCAGCTGTGTTTTCATGAGTCGTACTTTTATGCTTAAAATAATCAGCTTCGTAACTTTGATGGATATTATGAAAATGTTGGTGTAAAGTGAAAAATTTACGTTCGGTGAATTATGACTTAAATTATCAACTTTAAATTAAAAATTTAAACAGGTGCCTTAATGGTTCCTAAGTATATCTCAAAAGTTTTCCAGACTCTCAACTTTCATAATCATTAAAATAAATTAGTACTTAATAGGCTTCTTTGGCTAAAATCAACCTTCGAAGATAGCGAGGTGGAAAATACTTAAAATTAGCCATCTGATTGAAAAAATGTTTTTTGGCTATTTTGTCATTCCTAAAGTTAATTCGTTTGTTAACTGCTGGAAAGCTAAGATTTAAACATTTGGAGGTTTTTAAATGTTTAATATAAAATTCATATCATTTTATCAAAATACTAAAATTAATTTAAAATAAAAATTATAAATATTGTATAATATAATATGTACGTAATATATACATTGTTTTTATATTATTAGTTTCATAAATATTCATAATTTATAATATATGATATTGACAGTGAAATAAATAAAATTGTTTATATTTTTACATATTATGTTCTAACAATAATAATATGCTCCAATCTCCTTAGATGAATATTTAAACATACATTATTATGGTATTATGCAGTAGGTAAACTACAGACAGCAGAACTGTAGGTTAATACAGGCTACACTGTTTGTCTATTGTCATTTGTCATGTCAAATTTCAAAATGACAGTAGCCGTTGGCCTTTGCAACTGTGTTTGCATACTTTCAACTTTGCAACAAATGATAATTTCAACATAATTTAATTTGAAAATAATTTGACGTTAAATTTACATACACTATACAGTAAATAAGGAAAGTTAAGATTTTACAGAAACGTCGTGATGTCATCTTTATAAAGGGAAAGAATAATCATATGCACGAGAAAGTAATAAATTGATAGAAATAAAACTAACCTATCACCCGGTATGGAAAAAACGAATGAAATTTTTTCTCAACGATTAATAAAGGCAATCTTATGGAATATTACCTTGCAAACATTTCTTGCTATAGTGTTAGTGTGCCTTATTCAGGTTGACTTTATTCATCCTATATCATGGATAACTTCTACATTGAACGATATTTTCAGTTGGAAAATGAGTCTCAACATCACTCTCCTTGGATTAGTATCATTTTTTCAAGCATGGATATATGGAAGTTATTACTCAATTCCGGTTCCTAAATATTTTACTAGATTTTCAATGTTTTTAAACATATTTTCTGTGCAAAACATTATATTGAGTACTTTATATTCTTTGAATGGTTATTTTACTATGAGTTTATATTCATCATTAGCAAAAAATAACTTTAACGTGTTAAAGAAAACTTGTGAAAACTATGATGGGCAGTGTCTGATAGAGCAAAGTTTGTTCCTACAATTTGGTGGAATGTGGATAGGTTTATATTACTTTACAAGTTCACACTTATATGGTACTACAGTGCTTACATTTCCACATATTTATCAAGAGAAATTCCAACAAATCAAACTGGTAATAAGCAACCTAATTTCAATGGGTTTCCAGTATTCTATTGCACCGGTAGCATATTACTGTATATTTTATTGTTTGTGGGGTAGTAAGCCCAGGAGTGTTGTGTCAGAGGTATACAGTTTATATTTAGAAGATCCTGCTTTAGACAACATTATTAATTTGATATGGTCTGGTATATGGATTGGACTTTGGTTCTATACCAGTTTATACTTTATTTCTATCTACACCATGAAAACAGTTTTTAATATAGTGCTTACTGAGCCAATAAGATTTCCAATTGAAAGTGAAAGTCAGATCACATTAAATAATGCTCTTTCCCAAAGATTACAATTTATTGGGTATTTAGGAGCTCAAGACTTAAAGAATATGTCACTAAATGATCCAGCACGAAGATCACAAATATTTACACTTTCTCAACCTGGAGGTCATCCTAGAAACTGGAACAATTTATTAGAAAAATGTCTTTTTGTTATCAAAGAATTAAATAAGGAATTAGAAAAAATTAACATTGACAACTCTGCAATTGAGAATGATAATTCATATCACAGGAAAAATTATAAACAACCTGCTCCTCTGACATCACCATTATACTCAGGCACTTTAAGAAATATGGCTCAATCACCTCATTTGTTTGAACTTAAACATGATCAAAATAAAAATAAAGTGGATGAAACTTTTGGAGCCACCATTAAAGAAGAGTGGAACAATTTTCTACATAAGCTTTGCCAAAAACCTGGTATCAATTACTTTTTTGGAGAACTTGTTGATACTAAGCTAAAGTTCATTCTTATACAAGCACAACCAGTAACCTGGATTTGTGAAGGCCTAGCTTATATTGTATCAGCTTCATTAAAAGAAGATAAATATGGAGTAGTACAAAATGATTTATCTATAGTTATTGCTGCAATGGTGAATCTGAAGCAAAATCTAGATAAGTTGGCAAAATCTGGTCTTGTACCTAGAAAACATATTTTAAATGATGCTCTTGCTATAAAAATAAGAAATGCTCTCTTATCATCAGTAAAGCGTAGCTTATACAAAATTGTAATTACATTTGCTAAGTTTATCCATGAAATACCATTAGATCCTGATGTTCAAATTGCAATACAGCCATTTTTATTGTGTAAAGAAGCATGAATCTGAGATTAAGTTAATAAATTTCTTTTACTATTTACTTTTTTAACATTTTTTTTAAAATCTAGTGTATATTGGCATAGTTATCTGTGCTTAACTGACATATTTTGAAGCCATTTACAAGAAAATGGAATGGAATTAAAAAGTAGTTATAATCCTTAATAGTTAGGTATATGTAATTTTTAATAGCTTAATTAAAATTAAGAAATAAAACACAATGTCAACATAAACTTCTATTAAAACCTAAAAGAATAATATTTCTATTTTTACATGGTAATTTTAACAGCAATAAACAAACCATCCTATACTTAAAATTTAAAAAAATAACATTCTAAAAAAAGTGGAGGATAAGAAAGATATATATTATGTAGTAAACATTTGAATTCTAACAACTATATTTGCAAGTAGAATATAATATTAAAAACATGTACAAAAGTTTAAAAACAACACTACTAATACATAAAAAAATGAACTATTTAACATTTATTAGTAGCCATAATTGCACCACATTAATTGCTATTACAAAATAAAACTTATTTTGGTAAAACTTGTAAATGTATTTTACCTAACATTTCAAATATATAATATCAATAAATTATTTCTTTAAGTATTTAAATCTTTCTTAATATAAATTGCATAGATTTAAAACATAATCACAAGTAAGACTGGCAACTTAAAGTGAGGTATCTCATAAAGTGTGTAATTTCAAATTAAAACTATGTATTTTTATATTTCTATGGTCTATGTTCTCATCTATGAAAGTAATAGAACTAAAAAATATATAAATCTTCAATACATAAGTTTCATTATGCCTACAGAAGATAAACTATGATATATATTATACATAAAGTATGATATACTTTATATTTATGCATTAAATATTCCAATAATCCACTTATTAGCAAATAAACACATTTATGATTTAATTTATGTATCTTTTAAATATGTATAATAAACTAATTTATTCAATTAATTTGGTGCTTTCAAACTAATATGCAAGTCTAGGCTCAGCTGTTAGTCATGTCCAGTCTATGCACAACTTAGTACATAGGCCTTTAAGTTTTACACTGACAAATAACGAAAGTTGTGGTTATTGTGAAAGTGGTTTCATAAAACCAACTTCCTTAATTACTTTATAGTTAGATCTTATGTGTGCATTTCTAGTAGTACAATAATCATTATTTAGGAGTTTGTGTTAGTATCTCGTCGTCCGTGATTAATAATAATTAATTAATTGTATTTAATCTTATATGAGAAAATAGCAGACAAAAGATGTGATTGCAAATTTGATTTTTTACAGCAAATGAACATTAAAAAAAATTAACAACTTAAATACTGAGTAAATCTTCGTTGCATATTAGAACTCAAAATATGTGAGTGATAGAAATTTGTATTGACGTCTACGCTTTATCTATTTTAAATGAAAACTTCACTTCATTATTTTTAACATTTACATGATTTTTGGTTACAATAGATCTTGTCACTGTTTTATAAAGATTTTAATTTTAAATAAAATTTGCAATTACACCGTATTGGCCGCTATTCCCTCTTATTATAGCAGCGTGTCTTCGTCTCTCAGCTCGCTGCTCAGTAGGAGTGAGCGCTGGCTGGCCGCGCCCAGTAGAGCCGTACGTTCTGCCGACGACGTCGCTGATTCACAGCTTAGTGATGCTGACAAAACCATGCTATCGTTTACATCAGTTATTTTAACAATATTTTTATTTAAAAACACCCCTTTTTTTAAAAGTAAGTTTCATTTCTTTTACTATATATTTATTTTAAATATAGGTTCTTTCGGTAGAAAATATCTTATATTAATAATAACAGTATAGGTTATTATTAATAAATATTATTTGTAGAATTGTGTTTGATGTTTCTTGAGATTATTTCCTGCATACAGACAAATTTTATAATGGTATAAGATACACATATAATAATATACTAAATTTACACAGTATCTGGTAGAGTGAACAGAACTTGCTGTTAAGTTTGATAATAATGCTTTTCGTTCCCGACTGTATGGCCACAATAAATATTACTCTAGTGAGAGGATCGAACTCACGAATTCCAGTATATACAAATTTTTGTACATACATATCTTTTTTTGGCTTGTCATATTATTAAAAATATAATATTAAATTTAAATATATTAAAAGGACACAACGTGCGGTTGTTTATGTAGAAGTTATATAGCATGCATAGAAATGAAACAGAATACTCATACATACAAAATACAAATCGATGTTTGAGATTTAGGTTTTCGAAGAAGAAACCTACAGGAGCACAAATAAAAGATAGTCGTCAAATTACAATTAGTGCAAAATTAGGCAGGGATAGATAATGGAGTTAATAAATACATTAAGGGTTAAGTTGTATGGGTATAAATTAGTGGATATAGTATGTTAAAGACATACATTCGGCTTGGCATTTATTGTTGCATTTAAAAAATATATATATTGAAATAATTCTTGCCTTTTATAACTAACATTTGAATTTTTAGTTTTTATTAATGTTCATATTGTAGATATATTTACATGAAAATTTTCCAGATTTCTTTTTTACTAATGAAACAATACACTTCATTATAGTACTTTCTAGAATTTTATTTCAATCAAGCCGAATATACATCTGCTTGCATTATGATATGACATGAGCTTGAGATCAAAGGAGCACAAACAAAGTGATCGTCATACGAATAAAAATGAGTCAAATTTCGATCATAACGAAAGCAAAAAGCGAAAGCAAATAACAATTTTTATGTAATATTGTATATGGTAATATTGTAATACAAGAATGGGCTTATTTATTAGTCTAGACACTCTTGTTGACCGATTTTGAAAAAGGAGGCAGTACTCAAATCAGTTATCTTTTTTGTGATGATGTGACCACGACATATTTTGATGTCCTCCTGACCGACTTCGGCTACGTTACTGAGACTTTCTTGATTCAAGACTCAATAACTAAACTTGGCCCGACCTGGATTACAAAATCAGGATCTACAGCAGTACATGCTAGCTATTAAATCACCGAGGCAGTTATAATTAGACTAGCGACTCACCCTGGCTTCGCTCGGGTTCGTCCCTAGCTTGATTTCCAATACAAACTTTTATCCCCATTTTCACCCCCTTAAGGGACGATTTCCGGGATAAAAAGTATCCTATGTCCTTTCTAGGGTCTCAAACTATCTTCTAACCAAATTTCATCTAAATCGGTCCTGTAGATCCAGAGATTACCCTCTATAACGTCACAAACTACCTCTTTATAATATTAGGATAGATACACGGTTCGTATGTCGACCACCCACATTAGTTATGAAGTGACGGGGTGAGAGGGGGGAGGTGGTTGTGAGGGGCAGGTGTAGGGGAGAGCGGGGCAGCACGGTACATACTAGCGCGGTGCGGGATTACCGTCGGGGGAGACGTGCGGCGTGGCGGACTCGCTGCGCGCGCGCACCGACCCGCCCGGCGACTCCGACATGGACGCCTGCAGGCTGTAGCTCTCTCTATTGTGATAACAGTTTATATTTTAATAAAAATATATTTTTAGTTTCTAATAAAGTATATCTAAATTCTAAGCTTTAATTTATATGGTAAAAATGAAATCCTGTTGGTTTTCAGCGCATCAGTGGGGCGATTTGGCTTTTTTTATTTTTGTTTTTAGAGAAAAAGAAAGAACAAAGATACCGGGAAAATTAAAAAATTCGGAAGAAACTGTACGTAGGTGCTTATTTTCTATAGAATTCATGTATGACCTTAAAATTGGGATACATTTGCTGGGTCAGGTAGTATTACAATGACAGTATTTCATTATCTTAAAAAATAATGTTATTTTTGAAGTTATACTTCTTTTGGCACGTTTGGAAAAAAATATGAAAGTAAAATTTTTACGATGCGCGCGCATACCGACAGCCAAAAAGCGACATTACGAAATTAGTTGGAAGCGACATGATGAAGTTGCTATTGTTTGTTATTCCTTTTACAAACAGAGAGTTGTGATATACGGGATGAAATCTTTAGATATTTTAGTTCTGTTACGCCAAAGATATGTAACTTCTTACGTGTGTACATCAGTACATAAACAGTTCACACACACGTTTTTTTACGTGATCGATCTAAAAATTATTTTTGAACTAGAAAAAAATATGGAAAAACAAAAAAAAAACTATCTCACGGGAACCGTACATTTTTCCGGGATAAAAAATAACATATGTGTTATTCTGATGTATGAGCTCTATTATTGTTAAGTTGTATTAAAATCTAATCAGTAGTTTTTGTGTGAAAGATTAACAAACATCCATACATCCTCACAAACTTTCGCATATATAATATTGGTAGGATAGTAGAATGATATATGTATATGAGGCAATATGTGTATATGTATATATGTATGTGTATAAGTAGCAACTGGCCTGTATCCCGAAGTGGAGGACGTCTGCGATATCTCGCTGTCGTACGAGGTGTCGGTGAGCAGCGCGGGCGGGTGCAGCGAGCGCGCGCGCCGCGGCGTGCCCTCGCCGCCGGGCGACGAGCACTCGTCCGACTCCAGGCGTATGTGGGTTGCCTGGGGATATAGCGGAGGTTTTGTTAGAGTTATTGTTTCTTTTTTGAGTAAATATTATTCAATTGAACATATGCTTCTTTTATTAATTCACTTTTAAGTTTTTTGTAGATATAACGAAATTACGATATTAAACTATGAGTAATAGTTCACTATGAAATACATTCAATCTGCACATATTTATTAAAAATGATGCAATAAATAATCATCAAAAATCATAACCATGAACGGTACTACACTGTATCTGTTATTACTCTATATATAGCCATTAAAAATCAACAGTTAGAAATTAATAATCCATACCAATCATACAAAAAAAAACCCATAAGTGCCTTGAACTTTAATAGATATTATGCTGTCAAACGTTTGCAAGGTTATCACAACATTTTTCTTTTGCCATTTCCTTCTATCAGCCGTCAGACGGTCATCTCAGAGCTCAAATTCACATTTTCATAATATTTCTAAGCTTATTAATCTGAATTAATAACTTGATTTTTTCTCTATCATAATTTTATATTGATGTATGCTAGAACAATGTAACTTGTTCGGATAGCCGATTCAACGTTTATTTCCATTCCAAGTAACAATAAAGACTGTTCTGTCTGTACTAAGCAAAGTACGAATTTTTAAAGTAAAGTAAGCGTTTAACAAGACAGAAAGTAAAGTGTAAGTACGATCTATGAATCGCTTCTAGCGGTACACAAATACTAATAACATAATTAATAAAATACCTCAGGCTTAGCATTGCGACTGCGCCTAAACTTGGAAGCCTTCTTGGAAGGTCCTTGCGCGCGCTGCAGCCGCGGCCGCTCGTCCTCGGGCTCGTCCTCGGCCGACTGCGCCGACACCGGCGACAGCGGCGTCGCGGGCTCTCCTGGAACTGCTCGGTGTTTTTTTTACTAATACAAGGCATAGTAAAAACTTTCTGCTTAGTGCTTTTTTATTAATACAAGGCATAGTAAACACTTTTTAGTATTAAATATTAATTGATTCGCCTAGAACGGTTTATTGCTTTTTTTATTCATTTATGAGCCTAGATATAAAGAGTAACAACTTTTTCGTATTAAAAAGTTAAATAGACTCACCTGCAACTGTTTAGTGCTATAATTATTTTAGTGTGGTGACCAGTGGTGTCTTTTTAGGTTAACAATTTTTAAGTGTCAAAAAATTTAATGGACTCTCAAATAGTAGATATGTCGATAATATAACAGATGGCGAGAGCTAAAGTCGAAGTTTCGCTGTTTGATTTTTCGAAAATTCAGATAATTTTATATCCCTATTACCTATATGTTGTTTATGACAGTAAGTTAACGAAGAAACATTTAACAACTCCACGCTTATTTTGTTGTGATGACTGTGTTTGGTCAGTATTACTCAGTACAACATAACTGTCGACAGAAATATTTTAATATTTTACCTGTAGTGAGTTTGAACTCAACAGATGACATAAAGCGTAATTTAGTTTGGATATTTCCATATGGCGGTGTGCTGACTGTGGATTTCTGATCAACCCCGTAATTATTGTTGATTGTACCTTTTATATAAAAAATAAAGAAAAAATTAAACGACTGTTTGGTCTAGTAAATTATAGTAATAAGCAAATTAAACTCTACAAATGTATGATGTAAAATTAAAATTTATTTTTTTATGAGTTTTGTTAAGACTTTCTTCGTCAAATCAAATGGATTTCATACCGATATTTGCTTTTGTGTTAATATTCGTGTTGGCATTGTCACTGTAGCGGCCATTATTGTTGGAGAGTAAATCGAACACCGGCTGGCTTGTTGTAGAACTGCTCGACAGTGATTCTGTACAAAAAAATAGAAATAATCACTTAAAATATTGCTTGAAATTATTCTATTTAACGCCGTTGTCTATCATTCACTAAACATATAATATGAAACATTAAAATTTTAAAACTTGGATTTTTTATTATTAATATTGTCAATCTACTATTATATTATAAAAAGCTTGTTATTTACCAACTGGTTCCACGTTAAGCTACGAGGCTACCAGATAGTTGATATACTACACATATATATCTTTAAATACATACATATTATAAATATAAACACCCATGACTGGAGCACAAACATTAGTTTTTTTATTACAAAAATGAATGGCCTCAGCGGGACTCGAACCCGCGACTGCTGGCAGAGCAAGTAGAGTCACTACAAACTCAGCCAAACCTGTCTGTATTATATTTCAATAAATAAATCTATACTAATATTATAAGGAGGAAAGATTTGTTTCTTTGCATCGAATAGGCTCCGAAACTACTGAACCGATTTAGTTTAAATTTGGTAAAAAGATAATTTGAGACCCTGGAAAGGACATGGGGTAGTTTTTATCCTGGAAATCGTCTCTTAAGGGGATGAAAATGGAGATTAAAGTTTGTATGGGAAAGTAACCTATCGCTAGTATTTCAATAAATAAATAAAATATTTAAAAGAACAGTGCGCGTCACCCCTGGGCGCGGAGAGCGGCGCGGGGTGGTCGGGCGTGCGCGGCGCGCGCCCCACCAGCATGCTGATGAGCGAGGGCCGGTGCTGCTGCTTGTCGCGCGGCGCCGCCTCCGACGCGCGCTTGCCGCCGCCGCCGCCCAGGTTCTCCGCTATTTGCTCTGCTCACAGACCCGATAGTTGGGGATTAGTTTGGATTTATGGTGTGAAATATTATTATGCTATGGTAGAAGATTATGGTGATTTGTTTTGTGCTTTATATTTTGGTTATGATGACACTCTTTGAGGCTAATAGTTTTTATTAATAAGAAATTTTTTAACTGATGTAATATTTAAATAAAAAGTAAATAATTAGTTTTACTATTCTTCATCTGTTAAAACATGTTAAATAGCGCGATACAACAACAAGCGTTGTCTTATCAGACCTGGACGACCTTTTGTTTTAATTAGAAGTACATTTCTTACTTTATTTTGACTAGGGACTCGGCCCATTGCATTTATAATATTACTAGTAGCTTAATTTTGTAAAATGTTTATACATTACAGACAAAGATAACCTTCCTAGGTAACTCCTTTCCATTAGTGAAAACCGTATGAAAACCCATACAACGACGTTTAATATTACTCCGAACAAACACAAACTCGGCTGAAGACTACATATATGTAAGTAGTAATAACTGATAAGCTGGTGTAAAAATTTAAAACAAACGATCGAGTAAACTAACCAAACTTGTAAGTATCGTGCGCGTCCCGCATGTTGCGCAGCTCGCGCGCCAGCTCGGCCAGCAGCGCGCCGCGCGCGCGCGCCGCGGGCAGGCGCAGGCCGCGCACGCGCTCGCGCACCACGAACTGCATGTGGCGCTCGTGGTCGCCGATGGGCGGCTGCGACAGCTGCGCTCGCACCATAAAAACATCTCGTTGCGATAGTTTTGAATAATATTACAACTAGTAGGATTCTCAAAATGTTATTGCAGATTATATAGTACCTAGTTTTAAATTTTTATTTATTTTGGTAGAAAATGGTAGTAAGAGTTGGGTATTTTGATAGATATTTAGATTATTATACTAACTGAAGAAAAACATACGAAATCGAAAATATACATAATAAAATAAAAATACTTTTAAAAGTACTTTGTTACAATAAACTTATACTATGTACTGTATAGGTAGGTATATGAATGAGACCTTGTGCACAATAAACGGCTGCAGCAGCACGTAGAGCGGCGTGCGGTAGGTGACGACGTGCTCGAGGAAGTCCCACAGGTGGTGCGCGGCCTCGTTGCGGCGGCCCAGCTCGCGCATGGCGCGCGCGATGCGGCCCCACTCCGTGCACAGCTCGCTCGTGAAGCACGCGCACAGGACCTTCAGTGCTGGGGGTTGAAGCGGACTAGTATTAGAAATGCGAAAGGTTGCATGCATGTGCGGGTATGTTTGTTACATCATCACGCTGAAACAATTGGATGGATTTAGATGGAATATTATACACAGATAGACTATGACTTGGAGTAGCACATGACTACTATGTATACATTATTATTACCGGAGCGAAGCGTGGGTAAGTCGTTAGTTATTTATATAAAAACATATGCAAAATATGGCTAATATGGTGAGTATCTAAAATTATTATACAATTTGTATACATTACGTCTTATATCAAGACATCACAATATTTATTTTGTAACCAAAAAGGTACACCAATTTTATAATAAGTTTAGTTCGATAGATTTTTTGAATTTATATGAGGCTAACTTTGAGGCTGTGTTATACTTAAAAAAAGTTATCACAAAAATCTATTCACAAATGGTAAAAATATTGCGTAACATATACTTAAACTTTTTGAAGAGGGTCACAAATAAAAATATAAATGCGTGTAGGGACACACTACTACAGGTTTGCATACCATGCACTAGTTGTGATATAATATATAATGGCTTGGTATACTTCAACGGCTATTAGTAAAATAATTTTAAAAATCCATTATTTGAAAAGGCCTAAACTATTCTCTCTCTCTCTATCACCAGAAGCTTACAATTTAATAACTAACCATTTTTTTAATCCAAAACGCTCATACTAACCCAAAAACGCGATCCTATACAAATGGTTCGATAGGCGCGTAGTGTTCCTGGTGTCGCGGCTGCCGGTGAAGGTGAGGGAGTTGACGCGCGCGTCGCCCGTGAGCTTGGCGTTGGCGGCGGCGGCCTGGCCGGCGGGCGCGGGCGGGCACAGCGCGCCCACCACCGCCGACACCAGGTACGACACGTCCGACTGCCGCAGCGGCGGCACGTCTGTGCCGCACACCACCACGTATCATTACATAGTATACAACAAACTCGCTTCCCGCTGTCTGTCTGTCCCTATGTATATGCTTACATCTTTGAAACTACGCAACGGATTTGGATGCGGTTTTTTTAATAGGTAGAATGATTTAAGAGGAAGGTTTATATGTATAATACATGCATATTATAGTACAGAAAAGCCGAGAAATTCAAAGATTTGTATTTCATACTAACCGTTAAGACATACCTAGAAACGAACCCGAGCAAAGCGAGGGTGAGTCCCTAGTTGTGTTTATATTATAAGATTAAACTATTAATACATTTATTATATAAGTTTAGTAATAAATTTTAGATTTAAGTATAAAAATTTCTTGCAGCATTTCTTGGGTTTAAACTTGTATTTACCGTTTACGACTTTAGAAGCATATAATTTTGTAACTACACACGTTTATGTGCAGACATTTTTTGACACCGCAATTATATTTGTAATTTAACTACAGAAATTTCTAGCGGTTCAGATAAGGGTTTGACTTAGAACACTTACCACCAAAACAAAGCAACGTAGCCCCAATAGTCTTTAATTAAATTGGCTTTGAAACACGGATAAGATGAAATAATAATGGTTCCGTTTTTGCCTATGGTTATGGAACCTTACAAATTAGTACACTTGCATTAATAATATTTTATAAAGTAGAATACCTTTCCTGCCGCTACCGACTCGCAAACATAGTGGCATAAACAAATTCATAAGCATATTTTCTGTTTTTTCAGCCGTAGGAAATATGGCACTTCCACCACACATTTGCTCAAGGGAATAGCTATCCTGGAATCAAAATATGAATTACTTTTTATATTTGCCTATAAGAATGAAATTCAATGAACTTTTCCTTAATAAAAACTCTTCAATTTTCTACCATACATAGACTGACATAAAAAAAACCTAACACACATACTCCAGTATTAATGACTTGTAAGGCAATGAGCCTGACGACGGTGCTGCAGAAGTGAGGCGGGGGCGGTTGCGACATCAACGCTGCCGTTGCCGACGACAAGTTCTCACCTACACTGCAATCCGACACTATCAACGCCTGTAAAATAGTGAATATTATTAATATTAACATTTATTAAATACACACTATTGCAGTACTTTAAGTAATATGTGGTTTTAGAACGAAAATAAAAATATTACCTGTACAGTATTTAAAACTGTTTTCACTTGTTGCCAGTGCATGATGTAGGGGCACCGGATCATTGTTTCATACACACCCTTTAATAAAACTGCAGCGGAATCCCAATCTGTATTTCTCTAAAAGATAATAATCATATTAAGATGACTTTTATCATTTACATTTAGTATAGATTTTAAATGATATATTATATAAATATTAATATTTACCCGTATACTAGGTTTCTTAGCGATTTTCAAGAATACTTTGTCCAGTCTTCTTAATATCATATTCAAAGCCGGTCTCAAGGCATCGTCAGCCCAATCAGCTGCCGGCAGCACTAGCGTCATGTACCTCTGGAGGCCGCGGCATCCCATCGACTCCGGGTCGTAGGGCGATACTTTTAATAGGGAGTGGGCTATTTCGGCTAAACGCTGTGCAATAGAGTATGAAATGTTTATTAAAATACTTCTTTAGCTTATATCTTATATTCAAACAAAAGACGAGAAGAACGCTCTAAAAAGCTTAAAGTGATTTGTTAAAGCTAAAAAGCTTATAAAAACTTTCCTACAATTTTTTGATTACTTAAAGAAAGAGCACGTGTGTTAATTATCGCATATTTGAAGTCTAATATAAACATTGTAAATATATAAATAAATTACAATAAAATATGTTTACCGCATGGGACTTAGAATCCAACAGTTCGACCGGCTTGCCTTCAGACCCGCCGCTGCCCTTCGACCCGTTGAGCTCCAGAAGGCGCGTGGTGGCGCGCCCGATGAACTCCCCCACTAGCGACAGCAGCACATCGCGCGGACGCCGGTACTCCGCGCGTACCAGCTGAATTAAACGAAATTAATGTAAAAAGTTAAAAATTCTATAAAAATCATTTTAGTTTGTTGTTTTAATTCTCAAGTTATATTGACTTGTTTTTTGCGTATGATGTATTGAGTGTGTAAATTTGTACTGAATTTAGCTCGCGAGAGAATTTAGCTATTTCTGTTATAAGTGTAAAATATTAACCATTTTTAATGGCCGACATTATTTATTTTCAATTCAATTAACATTTCCATTTCTTAATTATAAATCCCATTCGAAGTTAAGCAAAAGGAAAATAATGAGTGGCTAAAAAAGATTTTTTATATTGCAAACCTATCACTCAAAAATGAACTAAATAAATCTTTCAAACCGTCAAAAGTTTAAGAATGTAAACTTACTTTTATTATGAATATTTTATTACACAAATCAAAATTAGCTGTATTCCTTACCTCCGAGTCCTCCGTGTCGGCGGCGTCGGGCGCGGGCGGCAGGCGCGAGTGGTCGCTGACGTAGCGCGAGTGCGACTCGTCGTCCAGCAGGTCGAGCGCGAGGAAGGGCGCGGCGCGCGCGCAGCCGCGCTGCGACGACCCCTTGTGCTCCGGCGTCGTGCGGTACGGCCCGTTGTACGACCTGCGCACACCGGTCACATTAAGATGTAAATCCATGTTTATTCACACGAATTCAATTCAATTCATATATTTTAGAATATATCAGGTATATGAGATTTCTTTATTCAAAAGATTTGAAAAAAGATATTACTTTTTTTTATATATTTTTTTTAAATATATTGAATATATGATTTTCCATTAATAAAAATGAAAAGTAAAATATGACAAAGATAAATACAAACAAAATTATTGATGGTGATGTTAAAAATACAAAACATACCTTAGCCTTTGTACAGTGAATTTAAATAGCAAAATAAATGCTGACTTACTTTGATAAACCTTCACAATTGTTAACCAAAGTCTTGATAGCTATAGCTAGTTGTTGAATTATTTCCTTCTCCGTTTTCCCTTCTCTATTGTACGTGGGTAGTTGTATTTGTTTAACGTAGCATGGTAATATAGCCTCCAATATAATCTGTTTGAAAAATAATAATTAATAAACAGAGAAAACAAAAAAAAAACAAAACACCTGAAAGTTATATTAAATAAATACTTAAAAAAGAATTATGTATTTCTACTGAACAACTCAGTATTTATACATTAGAATATGAATGCAAACTAGGTATATAAAAATGTATGTAAAAATCTAACTAACCAGCATTTGATATCCTCGCATACTCTCCGCAGAATATGACACCACCATCACACACAAACTGATACAATCCAATACATTCACCATCTCATCCTCGTCTCTATAGCAAAAATCTATAGGTTTCAATGGCTTTTCCTCCTTTATGAGTTCTGCTATGTGGAGAGGATCGGGGGAGGGCGTCTCGAGACTTAGTAACAGATTGAATAAGCAGCTAGATTGCACCTGTTCAAATATTTTTGATTTGATAATTATTTTATATATACATACATATATTCAAACTCCAATTTCTCTCTTTATTACATTTATTGATAAATTATTAGCAGCATTTTTACGTCCCACTCACTACCCACGGGCCAGCCGTCAATGCGAGGGGGATTGTACTAAGTACGATGTGCCTATGTGAGTGCGTTACCACGGCTTTCTTATTACATTATTAACGTGTCTATATAATATCTGATTTTAAAAACGTTACCTTGCTGGCATCTCCAAATGCAGCTTCTTCGTCAGTATCCAGAATGGCGGATACGGAACCAAACATTTGTAATATGAAAGGTTTCCTATTGAGCAAGTAGAACTGTTTCACAGCATACTCTATTGTGGTCGTAACTAGTTTGTTTGTTTGGAAATTTGAATATATTTGTAGAAGTGTTGGCATTATAAGAAGATATCTAAAAGTACAAAAATATTAAAGATTTAGTCATTGGCAATGGCTACAATAATTGAAATGAGATGAAATTTATTTATTTAGTATCAAATTCCTATAAGTATACAGTAAACAACAATGGCTACGATGATACTGCAAAAGTATAAACTGCGTTACAGATATCAACGCCCGCCTCCGTACAATATTTAAACTATTTTATAAAAACTAAAAAACAATAGATGATGAAAATTATAATTTTAGAAAACATATAGTTGAAATTTTATACACTGTTTTCTATCTTAAATTAATTATAAATAAAAAGCAAATATAACACAAAGACAAGAAACAAACTTACCCATTAGTAGAAAATATATTTTTAAAGTTAAAAGCGGCGTTAACATATGTGGCTATAACGTATCGCAGGATGAGGGAGTCCTCGCTGTGCAGCATGAGCGCGCCGTTCAGCACGTTGAGGAACAGGTGTATGTCGCGCGACGACGTGAAGTTGCCCGCCATCGCCTCGAACATGCGCGCTATTAGACGCACCCACCTGTACGTACATATTACTTTACGTTCATTTATCCGGGATAAAAAATAACCTGTTGTTTGACCGGTATTATAAGGTGCTGTTAGCCTACCAAATTTTAATAAGCTGTTGTGTACTAAGCTATATAAATTACTATAGTTTTTCAACTATTCCACGGGAACTCTTTAATTTTCCGGGATGAAAAGTATCTAAAATGTCGACCGGGGATATAAGGTACCACCATGCAAAATTTTATTTAAATTGGTCCAACAGTTTCGGAGATTAGCCCGTACAAACAGACAAACAAACAGATAAACAAAAAAAATTGAAAAAAATCTGGATTAGTTCTATTTCTCTTCTTACTCGGTTATCTCCCTGACTCGGTTTTTAGCATTTTTTTTCTATGTACAGACATTCAACCTCAACAGTTTTATTACATGTATAGATTATATTATTAGTTTCTATAATGTGTATCTTAATAATTTGATGCTAGAATTTTTTGGTAAGTTACTTAGAATAAAGTGTATGCGAGATTAATAAATTAAAGTCTGTATTATAATACTTACTACTTATGATGAAATTACATTTAAATATTTACAATTAATAGTTGTTTCAATTAATAATCGTTTCCAAAGAATATCATAACTATAGAACCATAAATAAAAATGTAATGCTGTTCGTTGGTTAGTTTATAATTTCAAAACCGCCGGATCGATTTGGCTAATTTTTTGATCTTCGTAAGAGTTAGAATAGGGTTTGTTAAATAGTATATTATTTTGGAAATTTGGTATACTTAGGGAAAAATTGAAAGTAATTTTTTCTGTAGTATTTTTGTATAAACTCAAAGGTCATAACTTATTGTTTGGATAGGACAACATTAGTCGGGTCTTTAGACTTCTATATTTTGTAAGGTTTACTTTATTGACTATGTAAAATAAAATAAAATATATTTATTGGATATAAAAATACATACATAAACTTATGCAAAACATCCAATCCAAGTAATGTAGAGCCTAGCGGTCCCCGGCTGTACAAAGCCAAGTCGGCTTCTAAAGCTTTCCGCGGGAAAGATGGGAGTTTCATCAGCTCGTCGTGCAGAAACACTACACGCTGGACAACCTGAAATATTTAAATAATGATTAAATTTGCAATTTAATTTCCCACGGGGATAATATATTTTCCCGCTTCCAGTACAGTTCCTAGTTTTCCAAATATGTCCATACAAAAAATTATATTTTCGTCATTTCGTTTCCACGTGAAAGTAGGACAAGCAAATTCACTCTTACATTTAAATTATTTATATTGATTTATTTATACTTTTTACCGACTAAATAAATAAGCGTATAAATACGTTATAGATTCGTTATTATATTTTACAGAGAATATAATGCATTATTTACATTATTAAAATGTATATATTGAATATTGACAAAAATGCAAGTGTCATAAAATTTGTCGCATTTTCTCTTACTACTCATTTTATTTAAGTTCCATAAAACAAAAGCTTGTTCGAATACACAATGTTACTACAAACAACTCACCATATCAACATTTTTCAGAATAGCCCATGTAAGTAAAACTTTTCCTATTTCAACGAACTTCTGTAATAATTCCTGTTGTTGTAACTTTTCGAAGGCTTCCTCTGGCTCCATATGAACGAGACCAAGTTGCGGGTATTGAGAGCGTTTGAAGAAGTAGTGGTCACGTACGTAGCTTTGTGGGTTGTGAATTTGTCCTGTTATTAATGTTACCAATGTTTATATAATCAAATCTTGCAAACACCAGCTTTTCAGAATGTATTGTATGCTTGAAAATTGAAACCAATAATCATAGAGTTCATCTAGAAATCTATTTCACAAGTTTGCTGGATACATACATAAATTTATCTTTATTTTTTATATTATTACAGAGAAAATTGTCATAATAAGATAACTAATATCAAAGAAAAAGAAAAGTATATACGTACTTGTTTTGAAATCAACTAGAAAATATTCGTTATGTAAACGTTCTGGAATTCCAAAATAATCTAATGACTCTCTTAGAATTTGACAAAACTGAGTATCTTCTTGTACAGGAAATTGCGACGGTATGCTGCCTTCGTTATCAGCTAAAATAATGAAACAAACACACTTTAATTAATCTATACTAATATTATAAAGAGATAAAGTTTGTGAATTTGTGGGTTTGCGAGATTGTGAGTTTGTGACGTTGTAAGGAGTAATCTCTGGATCTACTTAACCGATTTAGATGAAATTTAGTAAGAAGATAGTTTGAGACTCTGGGAAGGACATAGGGTACTTTTTATCCCAGAAATCATCCTTTAAGGGGGTGAAAATGGGGATGAAAGTTTGTATTGGGAACCAAGGTAGGGAGACGAACCCGAGCGAAGCGAGGGTGAGTCGCTGGAGACATATATAGCTTGAAACTACAAAGTTTTTTTTAGCAAACATGGTTGCTGCTATTCAAAACGTCGGGAGCCAAGAATCTAAAGAATATTATTTATTTAAAATATCAAATATTGGCGTAAATTTAAAAAAGTATTATACTTTCCATAACTTACAAAATTATTTTTAAGGATTAAAATATAAATATATACGAGTAAAATTAGAATTACTCACAAGGTCCGTGTACAATAATCTTCTTAGCAGCGGGAACGTTGGCCGTCAACAAAATGGACGCGTCACATTGTTCTTTGCGCAGTATTTGCTTCAAATCTTTGAACATAATTCCATGAACGCTGTGTACGACCTATAACAATTTATGTAATTAATAAATGTTTATACCAGTTAAGGATTTAGCCTATAGGCTATTTAAGCGCGCGTAACTCAGAAAGTGGTTTGATTTCAGTAACAAATCATAAACTAGAGGGAACCCAAAGTATAAAGTAAAAACTTCCCTCTAAGCGTTGGTGTACAAAGTGGAGTTTCATATATTTTGTTAAACATTGTCAATGCCAACATCATAAGAAATATACGCGGAACATATTCCAATACCTTATTTTACGCAAATTATCAATTTATGTTATATAAATGATCATATAAAAGTATTATAAGTGATTTAAATGAATAAAAAGCTTTATTATAAAACAAATATTTCACCGCAGCTTGCTCGCATGGCAGTTATACCTGTAAAAGTAAGTTTACATTTCACTCTACATTTAATCCACAAGTATAAGCATTAAACAAACCCTACAAATTTATAAGATTAGTATCCTCAACAGATTTGAGGCTTCTTCTTTCCAAATTGGTCGTAGACTCATGACGTTCGGTAAAAAAATGTAATCATTTAATGTCGAATAAAACATTTTGAATTTGAACATACCATCCACAAGATAGACAGGGCAGCCCCAATCAGCCGCTGTCCGTCCTCGTGCGGCGTGCGCACGTAGAACATGACGTAGCCGATGATGTAGTTGTAGAGCGCGAAGGCGGCCTGCTGCGGCAGGCGCGGGATGAAGCGGATGAGGTGGCGCAGCAGCTTGAACATCTCGTCCTGGTGGTCGCGCGTCAACCGCTCCAGCACGTGACGGAGGAACAGCGCAGAGTCTTCTACCAGGCACCCCCATATTACCTGACAGTTTAAAAGTGTATTAGAAAATAGTCATTACTAAGATTATTATTTTTCTTTAATTGTAATCTATATATTAATACGTGAAACAAAAACTTTATACCCCTTATTACAAAAATTGCGCGGAAGGAGGAGTATGAAATTTCCAACACTTATAGTTTATTATAGAGAGGGAGTGCAGAATGCTAATATTTTTTTTATTATGCATAAAAATACATTAAATCAATAAAAAAACATTACACACACTACCATGTATTTAATACACACGCATATATACTGTTTTGTTTATTGTTAAAGTCTGTGGTCAAATTGAGGATAGAGTAATATTGTTTGTCTTTAATATTATTTGTCTATAGTCTGAAAGTCAAACATAATTATAATAAATTATACCTATAGATAGGTAATTGCTATTCATATAATATTATGTTTTCCTCTACAATAATGATTATGGTCAAATTTCGGCCACTCAGCGAAACTAGTCTCAATAAAAGCCTGATGATTGCTTGAATTGATGTTTTATTTGTAAGAGAACAATACGGTACTATCTGAGTAACAATATATTTTATAAATTAACAACGGGACCATTAATTTCTCTAAAGTGACAAGACAAGACTTTTTTTAATATAAACGTAATGTTTTAAATAAAACTATCTTTTCGGATTATTTCGCAGTTTTATTTAAAATGTTAAATATTCGCATAAATCGAAGAAAATATACCGAAAAACTTAAATAAAAACCGACTTCCAGGCACTAAAATATAAAAAATAACTAAACGGGGATTTTAATTTAGAAAAGATACCTTATCAGATATTTTCGAAGTCGGCGTCGGAATAGTCTTTATTAATCTATTGAAAACTAATTAGGATAGTTGAAAATCACCTGATAAGCAACTTCATACACGGAGCATCCCTCCCTTGAGACGGCCACGTCGTCTAACATAGATATGATCTCTGCCACGGCGGAGCACAGCACGGACGGGAACAGAGCAGACGCCACTTGTGTGTGATGCGAGCCGCGGACGCCTTCTGCCATTTCCTCATCTGCTGGTGCTGGACGTATATGCAAATGGATTTAAGATATGTGCGATTTATATTTTCTCATTTGATGACACGTTTGGCTCTGTTTGTAGTGACCCCACCTGCTGTGCCAGCGGTCGCAGATTCGAGTCCCGCTGGGGGCATACATTTGTGTGATGAGCACGAATGTTTATACTCCAGTCATGGGTGTTTACAAGTATAATATGTATTTAAAGTTATATTTGTGTAATGTATCAACTATCTGGTATCCATAACAAAAGCCTCGTAGCTTACCATGGACTAGATGGTGCTGTGCGTTAATGTACCAACATATTTATTTATATAGTTAAAAGTTTAAAAATTATGATTGTAGATAAAGATTGCATAAATTAGGAATAATAATTATATTATCATTTCGCAATCGTCTCTAATATATGGGACCTAAATGAATCAAACAAATTCAAATGAAACGAAAATAATAAAAGCTAATAAAATAAAAGGTCACATACTTCTAAACTATTCATGCTCCAACACTATTTAGCTGAAGATAAGTATGAAAAAATCTCCATCTCTACTTAAATTATTACATTAGATTATTTTATTTATATTAATAAAATAATCTAATCAACAATAATATCCACAAGTTATAGCTAATGATGCAAATATATGTACACTCACGTTCAACATGGTCGTCTGCCGCGTGATCTAACGCGGGCTCCCTCGCGGCCTGGCGCGTTATCGGTATTGTGGTTATGAGGAAACTCTCGCGCTCAGCTTTCTTCTTGTCGTCTCGTTGCTGGAGCGCTTTCTTGATGGCTTCTGTTTGTTGCTTTTTACGTGTCTTTGTTGCTGTTACCAGTGACCGCTGAAATTATTGTAAAAAAATCGTTTGTAAAGGTTTTTGGGTGTAAATGGGTCAATAGTCATAGTATAAACTCGTTTACGTGCTATATATATAAGAAACTTCTTTGAAAGTTTATCAACTTGCTTTCTGGAAACATTTTGGGTCTAACTTGATTTCTTAGGCTAATTCTAAAATAGATACAAGTAGTTTTCTTTATAAATCATACGCAGATTTCTAAGGGATCACAAGAGTGTAATACGATATTTTAATATTTAATTTATTACTATTACGTTACAGAATAACATGAGGTTTAACTACTATTAAATTGATATATAATAGTAACTCACATGTCTTTCCTGATTTAGAGTCATCTCCATATCTTTATCTTTAACTTGTGGGCTCCATGGCGGGTCTACAACAGCTAACGATTCAATTCCAATTTTGGGCGAAGGTAGAGTGAATTCGATTCCAGGTGGAGGTACTTTAAATGTGACAGATGCGCCTTCCTCCATCCGCGGCCAAACTTGGTATCTGAGCTTCCACATTACTTGAAATCGTAGTATAGCGTTTATTCTGAAAAAATAATAATAATATATTTATATCACAAATTATATTTTCATTGCATTAAGATTTTAAATATACGAATGAAATTGTTTACCATAAACATATCATATTTTAATCATTAAGTTGTTACATATCTTGCACGGCGTGCCGGAGAAGACGCGGGTGAGGCGCACCCGACTATCATAAATATTTTTATATGAGTCGGGAAAGAGTTTTTAGAGTAGACAGGTATAACTACACAGTGTTTTATTTTCAAAACTTTCGCCATTAAAAATATATTTTACAACACTTGCGTTGTACTGTAGTACTAGTATCATACCGCTGTGCAGGATCAGTGCTCTTCAATGCGCGCTGCATGACGTGCGCGGCTTGCGGCGGCGCGCGCACGGCGGCCAGCGCGAACAGCGCCGCGGCGCAGGCGCTGAGCTCGCGCTCGGGCTCCAGCAGCAGCTGCCACGCCGCGCCCGCCGCCTCCGCGAACGTGTCCGACGGCAGCGTCGTCGCGCCCTTCACCAGCGCCGCCACCGGCGCGTGGTACGCGTCGCGCACCTACACACACATAAATAATATAGGCTTTTTTTATATGATATCTCGAAAAAAATTCATTTCAATCAAAAAAGTCTAATAAATAAACTGTACGATCAGTGTTTACGCTAATTTTGCTTTTTGCTAAGGCAAATATAAAAATAGTGACTCTCTCCCTTTGTTGTATTCCTTTCCCTTATACTCGCTAAACGCATTGAATTGTTTTCCAATAAATGTATAATTATACTTCTCATTTCTGTACAGTAGTTAAGTCATGAATAAAATGTATACAAATTTTACTGTACTGCATTAGCTCAATAAAAAGGGAGACTCCAATACTAACACTAGCCGTACATGTTGAGTTTTGCAAATACGAATCTCATTTTCAACATTACATATAAGCTAAAACGGTAAAGAAAAATACCTGCAGTCTGATAGAACCTAATTTAATGAAGCTGAAATGTTTTTAGTTGACTTGAAGAGTAATTATAAGTTTACCTGAGTCTTAATATATTTGAGTATGGGCGGCGGCTCAGTGGGCGGGTAGGGCAGGGCGCCGGGCGCGGGCGGCGGCGCCTCCGCCGGCGGCGCGCAGGGCTCGCCGGCCGCCGCGCGGAACGCGAGCCCCGCGCTCTCTATTACTGATCGGTCGATTCTGGAAACAATGTATTGTTATTAGTGTTGCAAAAATACTCGAGTGTACAGTGGCTTAAGCGTTTTATTAAAAACGCTTACCGGGAGCACAGAGCTTGACGCTCGACTCGAGCTTGAGCATCAAGCATGTTATGTGCAAATAATTCGAAAATAAGATTTTATTTGTCTATTTATAATATAATATATAAAAATTGTTGTAAGGAACTCTATTAAATTACTTTATCCCCCTTATCATTTCGTTCACTCTCACTGCCACTAATATCGCAATCATTTTCCATTTTATAAACACTTGACATGATGAACATAAAACTAGAAACAAAATTATAACTAATAGGAAATACGCGACACGGTAATAACTGTATCCAATCGGAATGGAGTCGGATCGAGCGTTTAACGCTCGAGTCTAAAAGGCTCATGAGCGTCAACTCAGCAGCTTAACGCTTGACGCTCAGCGCTTATTTTTACATCACTAATTGTTAATATACATTGTAATTAGTTTATTTAGGTTATAGCTGGTTGGTCTAGTAGCTGCAGATCTGGAGATTCTGGGTTTGAGTTCTGGGCCGGGCCAAATAGTTTAGTATTGTTGTTATTGTTGAAGTTGGAAGAACCTCCGTACCTCGTAGAGTAAGGGAAACTGTTGATCTTGCGTGTGATCTTTCACTGCAAATATCGAATAATCATCCCACCAGAATGAGAGTTAATAAAGGGTATAAGAATTAAGAAGAGAGAGTGCACTTTTGGGTACTATGTAATGCAATATTTAAAAGGCGATTTTTACCTTTTAAATTGTCGTATTGATTTAAAAAAAATGTGTATGTGGAGTGCTAATGTCTTCGATCAACAATACTACTAGATAACGTGTCACATACAAAATCAAAGCTAAATTCTGTCCGCGCGAATATGCACTTATACAGCTTCATTTATATATTAACGGACCAAGACAAAGTCTTATAATTGTTTTATTTTCAACAAAATCAACCTTATAACAAAAAAATAAAGCACTTTTTCTCGTTCTTGCTTTGTGAGCTAAATCGTTATGTTTTGTTTCCGTTTGCATTTTTGTATTGACGCGTATATTGACCTGGGCCAACGTTCTTAGCGGTTCTAACATTTTTCAAAATTTCATTTTTATATTATAGCGTAGGTTAAATCTTAAAATATTGCTTTATCTACATGTATTTACCGAAAATAAGACACTCAGTCTGAAAAATTTCTTCTTTGCGCATTATTTTTGCAACTTTTAGTACCCGGCCCGATATCTAGTAGTACTGTTGATCGAAGGCCGCTCAGTCAATGCTGCATGCATTGCGCACGTGGATAATGGAACTCTTTAATGAGTACTTGGATTCACTTTAATTATTCATTTATTCATTAGTCCTATTTTTTTTACAGTTGAACAAAATTAATTACGTGCTTTACTACAACTAACGTCTTTAATAGAGACCTATAGCATTACCTATCGCTAGCATGTTCGGAAGGCTTACGAGCTCGCCTGCCTCTTCTCACACCTCCTACACCTTCCTCATTGTTTGTAGTATTTATTTCTGGACCGAATTTTTCGCCGTAGATCTACAAAAAGATTAGGATTCTAATAACTTTTGCCAGTAAAACGGTAAAATACTGAAGTTTAATTTTATTTTTCTTAGCTTTCGAAAAAAGCTGGTAATGGCTTTATGGTGATTTTTCCATTTTCTCGCATACTTTCTCTTGGGACTAAAAGATGGTTCTACGCAACAACAGCTTTATATTTTTTTTAAGCGATATATAAATCTATTGGCAATTATATCCATCTTTAAATAATATAACTTTGGTTCACAATTACCTTCTGTACAGATTTCATAAGCCTGACGGTAGCTCGCATGTTGCGCCGGAAGCAGTACGGATGACAGAAGTTTTGATGGCAGCACACGTAGTTGAAAGAGTTCAGGTATTTTACAATCACCTGGAAATTGATGGGATGAAATCTTTAGCTATTTTTGTTCTGTTACGCCAAAGAACTATGACTTCTTAAGTGCATACATAAATACAGTCACAGGTTTTTTTACACAATTGAGAAAGCCAAAAAAGACAAAGAAAGTTTTGGCTTTCTCAATTGTGTAAAAAAACCTGTGACTGTATTTATGTACGCACTTAAGAAGTCATACTTCTTTGGCGTAACAGAACAAAAATAGCTAAAGATTTCATCCCATATGTCACAAGTCTCTGTTTGTAAAAGGAATGCAACTAACTTCATCATGTCGCTTGTTGACTGTTGGTGCGCGCGCGCATCTCTACATATTACTCTCATTATTTTTCCAAACGTGCCAAAAGTATAACTTCAAAAATGTTTTAGTTTTCTGTGTTAATTCTAATAGATTTTTTAATTAATTTGATTTAATTATTATCTACTTTAATAATTATATTTAAACAGTTTACAATCAAACAAAAGAGAGTCTGAAATTATAAAAATATATATTATGTATGTATGTAATAACAGCCAAAATATTACCATTTGATATCAATCTAAAGGCATATATTTATATTCTAATAGTAACCTTAAGCCAAGGAAAGCTCTTGCTAGTATCGGGAAGATCCGTAGAATTGCTATCGGGACTATCCGGCGGGTGGTCGTGGTCGTCGGACAGCACTCCCGGACTCTCTTCACCGCCACTATCCACTTCATTTGGCATTATCACTGTACCTCCTGGCATGACAGAAAGAATGAGTTTTATCTCGTAAATTAAACTATAAATGTTTTTATATTTTACTTACCTGTTCCTGGATAAACTTCTGATGTGTCACTTCTGTCCGATAAAGATGAAACCTTTCTTCTACTTTGTATAGAATCAGATCTTCGATTCACAACTGCAATTAATTTGAGAGTATTATTATTAGTATTACCATATTTGAAATTATTAAATGTTTTTACTTATATTGTGCAAACCTTAATCGAAATGCTTAAAGGGGACGTCTGACAGCTATATAGATGAACAACTATCAATGTGAAGACAAATGTGCAAAAGTAATTATTCAACTATTTATATATTAAATTTTAAAATAAAAATGTATATATTAAATAGTTGAATAATTGCTTTTACATATGAAATCAAAAGAAATCTTACATTCATCGACTTCTCGTGCATCTTTCTGCCGCAATTTAATAGAGCGTCGTTTAAAAGACCCATATGCGGCATGTTGCTGTGTGTTTCTGCGAGCTATACCTTTGCCACGCGATCCTAGACGGGATTTCTTGTCGTCGCCACTTGGAAGAGCTTCTGGAAGCTGGATAGTAAAATAGTTAGTTTAAAAAGTAAATTACGTTGTACGTAGATACATAATTATTTATATTTTTAATTGCTCAATGTTTTAATATAAAAATGAGCATTACCGTAACACTGCTCCCTCCAGAAACATTTTCCGGTTCGTGAAGAACAAATGATATTTTCCTCTCAGTCTCCGCACCAGCAATAGATTGCAAGCTTTGTGCCGACGCCTGAGAGTGTCCCATACTAGATAATGCCATACTCCATCTTCTATTTGCCTCTCTACAATAAGCGGAATTTTGTATTAGTATATTGTACTTTTGCTTTCGCGGCATCTAATCAACTAATTATATCACTGGACTCTTGGTTTTTGAACCTTTTTGCATGCCAATGTAGCAAAGCATTTTTACTACCTTCATCTAAACTATATTATCCTTGTACCTAAGTACGCAAGTTTTTGAAATGAGCAATGTTTCGTGTATATATTTTAATTACCTACCTTTTAGTTTTGTTTCTTAGAATTATATCATGCAAGTGGTTAATCACTTTTATATTTTAAACATTTTATTTAATAGATCCGTGGAACAATGTAGACTTTTTCAGCGGTGATAATGATGCATACAATATGTATATAATTTTAACATACATATAAAAAATTGTAGTAAATAAATACAATTAAAAATATAATATAATAATTTGAAATATAATAAAAATAAACACAATAATCACTATATAATAAAAATAAACACAATAAACATATATATACGAACCAATATTGCTAGATAATATTTATTAACTTATATGTATTATTTAACTGAATAAGTCTGCATCATCTGAAAGATCCCGTGCCCAAAATGTATAAGTGAAACCTAAGTCATACTAATTCATTTATGTCTAACAGTGTTTATTAATTAACATATCGAGTATTTATGCCGTGTTTAGACCAATCAATAGTATTTACAAACTATGTGCATGCACATATTGTGCCGTTAAACATGCATTATTCCCAAAACACATACTCGACTGGCATTAATGTGTGTTGACTGCTAAGAGCCCTGTTAAAATGAAAAGTTCGATCATAAGTGTGAACTCGTCAAACGTAACTAATGTAAACATAATCGACTCACTTATTATTACACAATAAACGTCTCCGCTTTTGCATCCACCTTAGCGAGTAGTAATAACAGAAAATAATCATTGAATCACATTTATCTATACGCGTACTTACCAAAGCAATGTGGAGATTTGGGTTCAGTACCTGTAGACGCGGTCCCAGGGGCCGCGCTCCTTGAGCGAGGAGCGGCAGGACTTGGGGAGCGCGGGGTAGGTCTCGCGCAGGAAGGCCGTGATCTCGCACAGCAGCACGCACGCCACGCTGCGCAGCGCGCGCGGGCACTCCGCGCCCAGCGTCTTGCCCGGCAGCCGGATGCTCGCTGATCAGTTAGATAGGACACACTTTGGTACAGTAACTTACAATTACTATGTTTGGTACATAAATAATACTGCCTTCAATTTTTTTTAATAACAGGACAATGCACTTATTGTAGAATAATGATATAGGACTATTAATACTAATGTTAAATTAGTCAAGAATAGAAATTAATAATAATGACCTCTTTGACCGATTTCGCTTAAGGCGGTTAAACTCAGTGGCTTAAACTAGTCTCTACTGATAGGTGTATTAGAAGTATGCGCTCAAATACAAGTGCGCTCATTATTTTTGTCATATCACTCTCATTCTACGATGGGATGACAAATCGACTCGACCGGTGACAGATCAGATGCAGAATTAACCGGCTGTATATGCTAAGCAACTAGACCGATGAGGGACTTAACATTTAGTTAAACAGGGAAAATAATTAATTAATAACCTTCGTCTAGGAAGTCTTCCTCCTCGTCTTGCTGCAGAAGTTCTCGCTGACCATCAGGGTCATTAACTAAATTAACAACTGTATCTATATGCTTTCTATCTTCGTTAAGCATTTCTTCTAATCTATTCCCTATTGCCTAAAAATAAAAATATTTTAAATATAATTATTTTTTTTTGTTATTTTTATATAAACGATTAATTAACTCTTTCACTCACTTCAGCCCATTGATAGAAAAGCTTTCCCGCTAATCGTTGCCTCCTCAACTGTAGGGGACCTGAAGACACTAAAAGCAAAATACTAGGTAGATGTCTGTGCTAAATAATAACATAAATTGTAATAAATGGTAAATAAACTATTACTACTTACAAGGGTTTTTGGCCATGTTAGATTTAAGCCAATATGGCCATTGTCCTTTGTTACAGTTATGTACTAAATGTGCACATTCCAGCAGCATGGCTGCCCTTGCTACGACTACCGTATGCGGCTGTAAAGTATTAATTTAACAGGATCATTTAAGATATTATTTAAGAAGCTACGGTAACCTACGATATTACTTTTGAGATCAAGAATAATTGTTTAGGGCTTTATAATATGTATTATATATCGATACTATTATAGTTATCATAATTTAAAACTTAGTTCAAGGTGTAGCCGTCCCTAAAAACAAGTTCCTAGCCTAAATTAAATCTTACAAAATTGCCAGCAATATGGTCTCTCTAATATCTACCTTTTGGAAGTTGTTAAATAAATAAATTAAAATTGAAATATATAACAAAAGCATCCACTCACTAAATCTAACAAAGCAGCCATGAACAGAGCATCAGGTGTAGCACCGGGTTGCGTAGCGTCTAGTATAAAGCTAAACCGTGCGAGTCCAGCGTATAACGGCGCGGCAGCTACTAGTCTTCGACGTTTTAGTACTACTACTTCTGATTCCCCTCCGCCAGAACCACCTTCTGCTGACCCTCGTCGTGACATATCTATAATAATAAAAAGTAATGAGTATAATTTCATTTTAAAAATCATTATGTAAATATTTAGGATTTTTCATTATAAGCTTACATCCTCCAGTTGTCTCTTCTATACTTCCATCACGCTTTTTGCCCATTTTCCTCAAACCAAATCTATTTAGCCTATCTTCCACTCGTTTTCTTGCCCTGAAATATATAAAAAATATAATTTAACTATATGAAGGAAAAGTAATTAAAATAATAATGTTTTAAAAATATTTATTTATTCTCTTTTCCTCAGTTATCTTTTAAATTAGTAAGCCCTATTTAAAAGTAATTTGTACTATTAAATGATAACCAATAAGAATCTCATGTTAAGGTATCATCGCACACCACACTACCTATTCAAAGTGTACCCGACACGTCGTTTAACGTGCACGGGGCGCGACACGTGCACGTGCTGCGCGTGGAAGGGCCGCGCCAGGGACGCCATGCTGCCGGATATGGGCAGGGACTCGCCGGAACCACCGCCGTTACGGATTAGCGAATGCGACTGCGGCTTTTGTCGGAACCAATTCACTGTTAAAATTAGTATGTTTTATAGTTCGTCCGTAGTGAAAAACAAAAGCAAATCTATCGCACGGGAACCGTAAATTTTTTCCGGGATAAAAAGTAACCTATAATCTATTCTGTGTCAAATTTCATTCAGATCCGTTCAACCGTTCGACGTGATTGAGTAACAAACATCCATCTAAGCTTTCCCATTTATAATATTTATTATGGGATTGACGGCATACGCGCATATCTCAACTTTCGAGTTGCAATAATGACTACATTTGATATATAACTCCATGGTTTTCTTCAGTTAATAAACTATTGCACAACAAATCTTCATGAAAAAATTATGTTCCTTTGCTGTATGAAAAAAGGATAAACCAACTCATTTTCACCCTCTTAATAAAACCTTAATACTAAATTAAGGACTTTGATATTGATAGAACATATAAAATGATAGTATCAGATGAAAAAAAATCCATTTACCTTAGGGATTATATTTTTAGGATTGTATAAGTTATAATCTAAAATAATTAACATGTAACATACCTATACCGCTTATATAAAACTTGGAAGGTATAGACTTGGAATGTGCGATCTTGTGGTGTGGCGTGATATCGGTAGAGGAAGCAGATGGGATAGTACGCTCAGACTGTCTCGGCGTTAGTTGATATCTTCTAGTGCGCACTGATAGTGGGGATTGACTCGCTGATTCGTCGCCGCCTTCTGTTTCTAGCAGGCTCTAAAACCAAAGTTTTAGATTTATTTACAAATGCTTACGTTTTAACGTTTAGTATAGATTTCTCAGAGATGAGATATTTTCTCTTTCTTCTTAAAATGTATTCTATATATTGACCCGGATAACCAGCTATCATCATACCAAATTTCATCAAAATCCCTCTAGTGGTTTTTCCGTGATGCGGTAACAGACAGACAAAAATTCTAAAAACTGTAGATTCGGACTCTGTATCGATAATAATGTCTATTTCAATAAGATTTTCCAAAAAATATTTAATGTACACATTCGCCTTAGTTACAATTTTATTATAGGTATGTATAGATGAGAAGAGTATCCTGACATGTTAGGTAAATACCCAGTATTTGTTAATGTACCAAACTGTTTCCTCTGAAATATGAATAGTACGCTGCTACTCAATAATAATAAATTAATATTTAAAAAAACATAATAATTTGATCTTGTTTTAAAACTTACATGAGCTCCAGTTGAAGAAGTACTTCGTTTTTTAAAGAACTTTTTATGGCTCCTGTCATCTGCTGCACACCCGGAGTCCGCCCCTGTATCGGAGCCACGTTCATCATCTTGTACTCTTGGAATATGCCTGTGAATATTCGATAACTCAATTCATCGTTTTAATGTTAAATTAACATTAATTTACTTATTTTGTAATGTATATTAGTATAATACAGTTGAAGGGTAAGTTTGATCACCCAAATCACTGTATCTATCAATAATATTTGTTTTTTGGCATATATTAAAAAGGCAAAATTACGCCACTCTACCTTATTAATACTGTTTTGCTCGTATGACGACGTATACGAGCAATAATTATTTATAATATTAAATTATTATTAATTATATATAAAGTATGCGAGCGAAAGTTAAGCGTAACATTATATTTATTACAGTGGATATTACTGAATGTTTCAGTATAAAGTTCATGGTGAGATTAGTAGACTTTAAAACATAAAACCGAAACTAAAGTAATACTTTTATATGTATAATTTTAATTTTATTTCAAGTCAGCAAGAAGGTTAATTCTTGAGCTATCCCCATTTAAAGTGGGGCTTATATTTAATGAAAAAATTTGCACTTGAAGTTGTAATTTTCGACAAACTCACCGTATAACCCTCGTCGTCTGCATACTGGACTCTTTCGGCTGCGAGCCGGGTCTCTCCGCGGTGTCCATGAGTGCGCTGAACGCGACCACCCGGAACTCTCCGCCGTGGGCTTCCCGCACGTAGCATAAGAGGAGACGAATCTCCGCGTACAGAGCCTATATCACAGTTGAAGGCAATGGGTTACTGGGCAGATTGGAACGATCTGGTCGTCCTAATATGGAACTCTTACTGTCTAAGTTTTATTACAGCATCCTTAGTTAGGGTAAGGGTCCCTTCCCCCCCAACGTGCGTTCACCTTGTCGTGGTGGGGGGGCTCAGTAGTGCCCGGCAATCCAACCGGGCGCGAAGCTAAGAAACGCACAGGGAGGTTGCCCACTTCGGTGGGCGGTGGGAGGTGGCCCTCTTCGGGGGGCGGTGTACCATGCGGGTTGCTCCTGGTACTTCTCTGATAGCAGAGTGGACCTTGGAGCAACCCCATGGTTGTGGAGGTCTGCTTTGGCAGACCTGCCGTCGGGGCGTCGTAGTTGAATGCGTAAGCGATCCTGCGACGCCCCATTAAGACGGGGGAAGGTTTTGTTGGGTTTTAGTGGGTAGTACTGGCTGTATTACGCCGGTGAGTCCCACACGTCGTGCGTAAATGCATTTCCCAACGTTAAAAAAAAAAGGGTCCCTTGAACTTGAGTATTGTAATAGGGGTTTAAGACTGAATCATTTGTGTAAATTGGATTACTATAATAAATGGAAAGTTTGTATGTGTGCCTGTGTATATGTTTCTAGAAGTACCTTCATGTAGAAAGAACTGGACACTTTTAATATTTAGTACACAGATACACTATGACTTGGAATGAACACGACCACCCGGAATTTTCCGCCGTCGACTTTCTGCACGTAACTTAGGAGAATGCGAATGATAAGATTCTGTTTTTATAAATCTTCTACTATGTATCAATCATGGCCTAATAATTATAATGCATGTAAATTTTAAGAAAAAAACAATATTAAAATGTATAGTTTAGAAAAATATTAAATGTCACTCACTTACCGAGTTATCAAGCAGTTTTAATTCCTTATGCATTAGCGCAAATCTAGTAACCAAAACTCGGAATGTAGATTCCACTATAAAGTTTTCGAGAGCTCTATTCGCATTGGACCCTTGTCCCGCCCCGAAGTTTGTTGCATATCCGGTTTGCAAATTACTTATATCTGGTGATTTTGCGAAGTTTCTTTTTTGCTGATCTAAAAACCCATACTTAATATTATAAATGTGAAAGTAACTCTGGTTGTTTGTTTGTCTATACTTTTTCACCATTAAATGGCTGAACCACTTAAAATGAAAATTTGCATAAAGACAGTTTGAGATCCTGAGAAGGATATAGGACATTTTACCCCGGAAATCAATAAGAAGATGAAAAGGGGGTTGGAAATTTCTATGGGGAATCAATAATTTCTCAAGTAATGGATGTAAAAAAACTCATCATACCTATGTATATATAGTCAAAATGTACCTAGGTACAAACTCGCTGGAGTTCGTTCCTATGTACATTTTACAGCGAGGGTGAGTCGCTAGTATTTTTATCATAGTTAAGAATGTATCATTTATTATAGATATCTGTTAATATGTTCCGATAACAAAACGTAACTCACTCATAGGAGACACCATAGATGCCGGCTCAGTACAATAGCCCAACGTAGCATGGAGATTATCAAGCACTTCCCTAATTGGAGCAAACTTAGTCATTTCTTTGAGACGTAAAGTGAATTTAGTAACAGAGGCTGAGCGCAACAACTTAAGGGAGTTTTTCGCTTGCACTCGAAGGCATTCGGCTTGAGGCCCTCGCAGAGCCGTAGTACAGCCGTGAGAACAGCCTAATTGACGGAGTAATCTGAAAAGTTAATAATTCGGTAATTATCATTAAATGTAATTTTGGTTTACAAAAACACTCCATCGAAAATTATGCTTTCAATATACAATCAAAGTGAAGTATTGTATTGGTCATAATAAAATTGATGAGGTATTATCTATGCTCAGACTATTTATGGACTTTTCTATCATTTGATTTGATAAATCTGTTTATGTTTTAATTTTCTAATTTAGATTTAAAAGAATGTTGGTCAACTGAACATGACAGACGAATTTAATTTTTTAATTGGAAACGATTTTCTATTTTACCTTACATTTTAATTCTAACATACCTTAGAACTATGTACATTAGCATATAATAGGGACAGTCGAAATTCCCTTCATCTTTTAAATTTTCTTTTGTTTCACCGCCTTCCACGTTTGTTGAATCTTGACTTTGCGCACACGGTATACCTGAATCTCTTTCCTGAAAAACGTAAATTAACAGGTAGGAGTTAATTTACATAATTTATTCAGTTCAAGGAGCTTTTGCTAATTTTTAGTTATATAATATAAACAACAGTACCTGGGCGATCGAGCTTCGCTTGGCGTTTTTTTGTAGAAACGTGTTTTTTCGGAAAAGACACCTGTACAATTAAACTTAAAAAACAAAATCTTATCTATATACAAAATTTGATCCACATCGTATCCTATTGTTAGAGCCGTTTTCGAGATACACGAAATAAATTTATATGTACCCATATAAGAATTACTCATTTAATATTATAAGATTATTAATGTAATACCTTGCTATCTTTGTCTTTCTGAAAGTCTGCCAGTGGATCAACAGTTTCTGGTTGAGGGTCCTGGTTTTCATCAGATTGCCAGTTTTTGTGAACCCCAATTTCCATTAAAGTATCAACTAAATTTAACATGACTTCCATTACTCTTATCGTTATGTAGAAACTATCCATTGTTGAGACAGAATATACTGCCTGTAAAAATAGGAGTATAGAACAAATCAACTTAGAAATTAAAAAAAACAGCTATTCTCATAAAACAATAAAATACTAAAATTTATTAAAAGTTGGAACTGCTTCAACATACAGGTTGTTGACAACAGTGTAGCTTGCTTCCCAATTTTACCAAATTATTAAATGTTACCATATACTACTAGTTCTAGGACGACATATAAGCCACGCCTTTTACAAGAGGAAAATTAATACGAAGAGATGATATGCGTAAAAGTAAATTGTAAATCACGTCAGAAATCAAATCAAATATATCAGATCCTTTAACCAATAAATCTTAATAAAGGTAGTATTTGTTAGGAACTATTAGTATATTACCTTAAGAACGACTTGAAAATCAATATCTCCATCTTTAGTGATATAGTGTATGGATCCAGGCGCTTCCTGTATTTCTTCCACCACATACGTGATGTTTGAATCTGTTTGAGAACGCGTTAGGCTCGGCTTACGTTCCGGAGAAGGGATGTGTTGAGATCCTTGCATACTAACTGAATCCATTTGGGACTCTAGTGAACCCTATAACAAGTTTGGGAAAATGGAATAATTACTAGTTCACTGAAAAAATATATTTTAAAGTCTAAGCTAATTGCAGATTTTATTAGAGTTTTGTAATTTTTTAAAGAATTTTATTAATATACAGCTTGTTTCTATTATTAAATAATATATAATTAATTATAGGCAGTTCATGATTTTTCGATGAACAATATAACTACTCTAAGTATTTACTTGTCTTGTTTTTGAAAGATAATCAGGCGATGGGGTGGGAGTATGCTCCGTCACAGTAATTATTGGGTTTTTCTTCTTTTGTGCATTCGAAGGTTTTACGTTAGTAATACCTTGTGCCCTCTCAGTTTTAATTTCGCCGATATACCTGGAAAAATATATCAATTTAGTCTAATAGGAAAAAACTAATTGTGCAAGATTCTGCCCTGATATTTGGTCACTACATCGTGATTGTGCATTAAAAACCCGTTTATTGAAGTATTTGGTTTATTTACAACCTAATGAGACAACTTTAAGTGCAGATGGAGTGCATGTTACTCCTACTGGTTCTTTTCAAATTAATTTACAAAGCGATCGTTGATTCTAATCATGCAAGAATATGCAATGCAATTTGTTTTTATGTAATGATTACATGCTAGTATGACGTTTTCGTTACTTTATTTTTATTTAATGGATTATTTTATCTTGATATTTGCTTTAAGCATTAGAATTCTTTTTATAGGCGATATAAAAATATTTTTATATTATGTACTTTTAAGCTAAGCTTTATTTTTAATAAAAAACTGTTTTTCAACTGACTAAAACTAATCTACGCTTTCAACGAGATAATAATTTAAATATATCTGTTAAACTTCACTAAAACCATACAAAATTACTGAAGCTTCTACGATTCTTTGACGATGTCTCACAACTTACCCATTAGATGCTAACTCGTCTATCAGACAGCTAGTCATTGTTCGTCCGTTATAATATACAGGATTAAGCGTAAACAACACGGGAGAAAGAGAAAAACACATTTTAAATAGAAATTCATTAAAGTAACGTTCGAATATAGATATGTGTGGAAACGAAACATGCTGTGCGATGATTGCGAGAGACAGTTAAATCAAAGTTTTTGTAAAAATAATGTTATAATAGTCGATGCAATCTAGGATATTAGTTAGTAAAGCTAGTTTTTTGAAAATTCTAATTCTATGATCATGAAGAAAATAAAAAGATTTTCTAACATTCTTTTAAAAAATAATATACAGGTGTCCGTACACTATCGATTGAGTAAATATATATAATACTTTCAAAATTGACCATGACACAGAACATAATAAATAAAATGCAGCAATTTCATATATAATGTACTTTACGGTTTGATGTAACTATAAAAAAAAGACTCAGCGAGCTTCAGTATAACGAATGTCATTTAATGATGCTTCACATACAAAAACAATTTGAAATATTTTACAATTTTAAGTTTCGTATGCATGTAAAACTTTCAATAAAATGAAAAAATACAATAAGACACTTTATACAAAGGTAAGGTTTTAAACATTTTTTTCAGTATGAACACCTGCATCGTATATAATTTAGTGAGATAAATAAAAAATAAATAATAACTAAAACTACAAAAATGTAAAATGTGAAGAGATGATATAAGCCTTAGAGCACAGCTTACCTGAGACTCGGCATACTTTTCCCTTTGATAAGATTACAAGGCAGCAGTTCGCCGGTAAGGCGCGGTGCTAAAGGCGGGAAATTACTTGCTAAAGCTGAATTCGGCCTATCATCGTTATTATCTAAGCTTCTATGATATTCCTGGAAAATAAAATAATATTTTAAATACGGTTCTAGATTTTACAAGAAATTTCATAAGCCAGCTAATAAAAAATATATCTACAGATATCATTCTTACGGCAGTATGAAAACTGAATTTATGGTCGTCATGCCCGATTTTCTCTAACGCTTTCTCGGACTTAGACAGTAATTTGGTTTCGACAAAGGCTTTCAAGTCGGCCATTTTCATTTTGCGCTTCACTTTTTCGCTTGCTCTCCTAGACATTATGTTGTCTTCGTCTGACTTCGGAGTGCTGGCGAAAGGCACTTCAGCTAGAGGCGATATATCTATTGTTTCTGGTACTTCAATAAAGTTCTTTAAGGAATCTCTCTCTTTTATTTCGGGACTTTGGTAAATGGACACTTCAATTTTTGGTATAGGCAAGGAGTTGCTCCTTTTTCTCGGCTGAGTTTGTTTGGATATATCATCGCAAATATCACGTATTCTAAAAGGAAAATACACAATAAAATTTAGAACAAAAAAAGCATTTTGATATTATTCCATAAATAATCACAATAAATAAGATTTCTTTCACAAGTACTGCAGATAATAATATCCTCCCGTCCGATACCGGCCATGGCGGCCAATCTCATTGAGACTAGCCATCTGTGTGGGAGATATTATAGTGCACAAGTATGCGCGCAAATACAAGTGCAATCTATACTCCTATCACTCTTTTATACTCCGATTGGAGGACTGCTCGACACGACCAGTGAGAATTAAGGCACAGGATCGACGGCATTACATGATCTCCGAGGCATGGCACTGAAAATTTCTTGACAGAAATTCTCAGCAGCTGAACTTGGCCCGACCCGGGATTTGAACTTGCGACCTCCAGATCTGCGGCCGAACAGCTAGCCACTGGACGACAGAGGCAGTCTTTACATATACTAACCGATTGTATAAGTAATGCAAAGCCCAATAAACTCCTTCTTCTTGCCACTGAGATGCAAATAAGCACCGCATTGTTGCCACGTCGAGGAACGTTGCCGCGGACACCTGAAATCATTAGTTCTAGGATGATTCTAATTTTTATTTTTATTTTAACCACATGTACGATCTAATTGTTTACAGTGTTAATTTGATGGCTATCGCGAGTCTTGTCAAAAACAGACGATAATGTTGGGATTCATTTCAGTTATGGGTAAAATGAAGGATTGTATATATTCTCCTATTATAACAAGTACATTATATGTATTGAGCGTTTCCAATAATATATGTTGTTATATTTTCAATATCGAGTAGGCTATCACTAGTTGAAGTATAAAATATGACAACACCAAATAAAAATATACTCGCATGTTGTATTTGTTTGGTGCAAGTGCCTTTTTCGGTAGAAGTGGGAGTGCCTTTCAAGCCGGGCGCTCCTCCGCTGTCTGTTAAAGACTCTTTATCTGATGAACTGCAAATATTAAATGTTAAAATATTAATACTTTTAATTAAAATATTAGCAAAAAATATGGATGTTCAATTGAACAAATGTATAATTTATTGAAGAATCATAGATTATTATGTGTGTGAAAGTTTAAACAGTTTGTCACTTTTAAAAGAATTACCTCATTTTTGTAATTTGTGGTAAAGGTTTGATGCCAGGTAAAGTAGGCTTCACACTGTCAGTTCTGCGCACTTGAAATATACTTGGATCAGCTGCGTATATTGTATAAGCCCCTTTATTGCCGCCACTAAAGTTTTGCTCAGATGGTAGACGGTAAATAAACTAAAAAAAATCTTTACTTACTTAAAGTACTTTATTATTAGAAATTGTTAAAGATAATATTATATATTATGTATGTTTATATCTAGAATATTTAATATTGTGTATATCTTTTTATTAATACTTATTTACTACAAAATACTTTACCACATGTTCTTCTTCAGTACTAGAGCTTTCTTCTGGAATTGTTTCTGGGAAAATAGTGTCTTTAGGTGAGGAGAGCCAAGGCTCTTCCTCTGTACTAGCTTGTTTGGAGGGAGCCTCAGATTGTGATACAGATACATTTTGACTTGGTGGGCTTCCATTAACTGCACTTTCCTCTTTTGAAAACTTGCCTGCAAAATGTATTGAATTATAGCATGAATAATCTATTTAATTTTTTTAACCAATTATAAATGATACAACAGCACTGGTAGATGATGTTTGTAATAGGCTTTTGATAGTGTTATCTGCAGTAATTTTTTATTTTTGACTTACATGAATTGTTGACACCAATAGTCTGTTGTTTGACTATACCTAAAGACAAGTTCAACTGAGTCAAAAATATTATTGTGGTATTATTTTATATATATAATACAATTTTACCACATGTTAATTAAATAATGACAATTTCAAAGTTTTACTGTTATATATATTTTCAAACTTGTCATATCATTAACTACACAGCATATACTAACGGCCCATAAACACATCTCCATGTTGGTGCCTCTTAGAATACTTGCCTCCCAGAGGCTTTGGTTTCGGTTTAACGAGTGTTGTAAAACAAGCTGCATCAGGATGTCGAAATTCCCACATAGCTTGCCACAATTTTAATCCATTCTCTAGCCTATAGTTGTTTGTGAAGTCCGATTCCTTTAGATGGTGCGAAATTGGTGCAAAAAGGAAGACAAAAAGCTGAAAACATTTAATTTTGTAAGTTTTATAGGCTAGAAAATAATGTTTTATGTTAATATCTATTTTATACTTACAGTCATAGCAGGTATAGAGAAAAGGTAGTGAAATGGATTTGAATAATATTTTCCATTTTCATAGTCATTATCAGCACACTCATCTGATGCATCAAGTATGATCCAATGCAATGTATATAGGAGTTTTGTTTCTACATTTCCTAAAGTTTGCATGTTGTCCTTTACTCTAAAATATAAATCAATCTGAAGATCTAATAGAAACCTTAACAAGAAGTTATTAAATTTTACAGGAAAATTTATGATACAGTGAATCATGAAGTTTGAATAAAAGATCGGAGAAGGTACATTTTAATATTAACAACCTATTAAATAAAATATGAAAAATTCACAATTGGCGAAGATATCAAGTAGGTAATACATGTTTGTATAAAAATAAAATACACTCTTTTTTAAGTTAGTCAAAAAGAACTTATTACCTGTTGTGTAAAAGTCCTGCAAGTGCATGCATCACATGAGGTAATGCAGCCTGTATAAGTCTCCATCGTGGGATTGCTTCTATAGCTTCTGTAAGATTGTTTGTCAGGCCAAAACGCAGATTCTGAACCAGAACTTTTTCAAACGACTAAAAATATTAATAATTACACGTTTGTATTGTTTATTATTGTTATATAATATTTATTTTTAAATGATCCAGAAGTAGATAATTTTAGATATACCTTGCATGCTTCTTTCAGTTCCTTTATGTTACAATTGCAGCGTGTGAAACATAAACATAAGACGTAGTTTATTACATTTTATAATTTATACCTTATACTTAAATAATATCCCATAACTCATATGTGTATTTTGTATTTTTCACATTTAAATTTTACGTTTTCAATTTATTTATTTATTATTTACTCAGCAAACATCTGATTCTGTCAATGTCATAGTCATTACTAATTTAAAATTGAATTTCCCGGCAGCAATTTAGTGTTGCCAGGATCCACAGCGGACAATATATTTTAACATAATATTCGTAACAGTACATAGGTCTAATGTATCTATAATCTATATACATATAAATTTTACATTAAATATAAACAAAATTATTATCTTATCAAATATTATATATTCTCAAATTGTTTTTGTCTATTTCGGTCGATCTGTTACAGTACTACTGCATACTAAATATTTTGATATAATATTTGAGGTATTGTTATAGATATCGTTTGTCCTGATTGATTAATGGCTTATGGCCTAACCACTAATTGTGACTTAGGTAATAATAGTTAAGAAAGCCTCTAAAGAGTTGATAAGTTGAGGCAAAGTTTATATAGAGTATAATATAAATATTTTTCGGATGATATCTTAAAAAATATCGGCTAAGTATATACTAATTCTGGTCTGATAATTCTGTTTGAATTATAAACGGAAAATATATTGTATAAAATACAATTCACAAAACAGGACATTCCAATTTCAGTGGGTACTTGAAGTTCCGTAAATCATGGAAAGGAAATATCGTGGAAGATAAAATAATACATACCTTATATACATATTTTAAGAGGATATACGATAATGATGAAAAATACTTATATAAACCGTAGCTTATAACAAAATGTAAAATAGGAAAAATATTATTTTGTTAAACTATTTTTAACTATCGAAGGAAAATATCGATTATAACAAAAAAAACAATATCAAAGCATTATATTTTTGCTTATGCATATTATGATTATAAAATAAAACAAAGATTATAATGTTATATCTCCAATTATGTACGTAGTAGGTACATAGGTATAACTTTATATTTTTGATTTGTTTAATTTGAAGGGAAGAGTTCTAAAGTGATTGTATCTACTGTTAAATATTTAAATCATAAATAAGCCTTATAAAACAAAACGAGAAAAACTCTACAGTATTGTTTCCAAACTTACGTGATGTCCCGGAGCTCGTTGGCAAAACTGCAAAATTACAACAAATATACAATAATAAAAACATACAATAATAACATTTTCTACTCGATGCGATTGCTATTTGCAAATATAAAATAAATGAAGATATAAAAGGAATAGATAAACATGTTGTATAATTAAACGCGACACATGTACTATAAGGTAATTTTTTTATAGTAGGTATTTAGGCAATAATGAACAGTCCATATTATTAATAATAAAATCTGACTGAACTTTAAATATTATTATATATTTTATAATATGTTCTCACATAATATACTTACATAAAAAAATGAAGTCATCTGAATCCATTAAATTTTCTAAATAATTTACAATGATCTTCGTTTATCACAACACATTTAAATATATTGTAGATAACAAAATAATTACTAACCGTACATGTGGACTCGTGAACTTTACCAAACCTCGGTCGCATAAATGGTGTTGTTTGCCTCCATAAAAATATTTGTACAGCAATGGGCACGTTATCCTCATTAGAAGGATCATCTTCGGACATGTCTTTAACTTTCATTATTATTCGATTGTATGATGAGGCTGAAGACGTATTTAGCAAAATATTTTATGTAGGAAATTAGGAAATAAGGAAAAGTATTAGATTGTTACCTACATGCAGTTAAATAAAAGTAGTAATAATGAATGACTATATTTTTTTATTGAAAAAAAGATATTTGATACACTTATGTAATCGTACTTTATTATACTTACTCATGAAAAATATTATGCATCTATTGTGGGTAAACAACAAGCAGGGATAAGTGTGAAATATTGCGCAAACAAAAATATAGGTCACATTGTTCAAAGGTTGACGAACACTGTTTACATTTCAGGGTGAGACGGTTAGGTACCTCGTAATGACACAAGGATGACTGCCGCGAACAACCCGTGGGAGGTTTGCCTGAGAGTGAGGCTTTGCGCACTCGCTACGAGACGAAAACTTAGGGTTCACACTTACTTATAGAAGAATAAAATTGGATAAGATTTCCAATTATAATTTTTCAGTTTTTTATATAAAATAAAAGTATTATATATGCATATAATAAATAATTTTAAAAATTATTTGAAAAAGAATGTTGTAAATTTAAACTTGATTTTTAACATTATCTATTTATTAATTAGTTAACTTTTTATAAATAAGATCTACCAAAGAGTGGATTGAGCAGTGATAATGGTATTTTCACATATTTTTATGATATCCACTCGCTACACTGAACTTAGTCCAGTATATACATCTAACATTTAAGACAAAAAAAACATACAGCCGGATCGGAACGATCCTCCTTTTTGAAGAAGTTGATTGACAAGGAAAGTAATCAGAAGCAACCCTACAAAGATTCCATTGATTTGTGCGCGCAGATAGTCGCGGAACAGTAATACAGCAGCCTCCGGTTGTCATAGAAACCAGCAATATGGCAGCTGATCTGGACCATCAGAGATACTAAGCTTACTGGGATATTAAGCTTAAACCCCACCATTCATATTATATTAAATAAGGCACTCGAGAAATTTAATTTGTATTTATGAAGTATTACAGATTTTTTATTTTAATTGTTTTTTAATGTTTCTTACGTTTCATATAGTAAAATAGTTAGAAATAATTAACTTAAATGGGCATAAATAAACAGACGAGGCAATGGAATTAACAGTGTCTCTTTATGTTCACACGTCGGAAGGTAATTTATAAAAAGTGCCTAACTGGGAGCGCCGGCAGTAACTTCTATCCTACTTTACAGATAGTTTTCCAATATTGTCTCTTTGTATGGATTTATGTTGTCCCTTTTATTTTAATTACATTGATTGCGTAAGCGTTTATTTTTGTCATAACTACTAATGCTTAAAAAAATATTAGCCGGAATCTAATATTCATGAATATTATATAGGTAACACAATAACGCTTATGATAAAAAACTGAAAAATATATTTTACTAGATAAACACATTTTATTTCTAAGTTTAAATAAAATAACACGTTTACTTGAAATATATAGGTATGCATAATTATTTATGAAATTTTATTACAGAGACTATTTCATTTCCACAGTAAAATCGAGAAACATGCTAAAATAGTCCGAGGCTAAAGAATACTATAGCGATTGGCTGGGCGGTACAGAAATAGCAGAGGTGTTTTTGAATGAATAATGCTTTTTATGCAAGCTGTTCTTCTTACAATTAATTATGAACGAAATGATTTTCGTAATAATTGTAATATTAAAATCGACATAAAGAATGTTTACTTAATTGAGTGTACAAATGTTACGCGATATCTTTGCCAAATGTGAACCGACTCATGAAATTCTCATTTGCATTTTAAGAAAATTAATTTAAAAATGATGATGAAATATTAAGGGTATGTTTTTAGTTCAGCAGTTTGTCATGAACATAAAAAAAAACAGTCTTTATTAAACAACACAATGGTAACAAATACACACAGCCCTAACTCCTGAACTAGAAAACTGTGTTTCAGGAGCTAGTACCTTCCCATATCAGGCGTACATATTCATTGCATGAAATTACGTTATAATAAGGTAAGTTAATGTAAACAAAAAAGGAAAAAAGAAAAAAAAATATTAAAAATTAAATAAATTACATCTAACTTACAAGACACAGAGAGAAAAAAAAAGTGTGTATATGAGTGTGTGTGTGTGTGTGCGTGTATGTGTGCGTGAGTGTGTGTGTGTGTGTGTGTGTGCGTTTGTGTGAGTGGGTTTGGTTGTATGCTTGTGTGTGTTATGTTACTATTACAATTTGTATATATTAGCATTTATTTTATTTAATCATTTTTTTTTATACTAGCACAATGTTTTCAGTTTGTTCATACGTTAGATTAATTAGCCATTCTTTTAAAATTTCTTTTATTCTATAGTTGCTTAGATTTTTCACAGTATAATGGTCATTGAATTTATTATAGATAAATGGAGCAATAGTATCATAGTGCATTTGGGCGAAGACACTTCTTGTTCGTGGAAGCGGACAGCGGTCATGTCTTTTATTATTTTTAGGTAAAAGTGGAACAGTAACCTTATGATATCTACGTATACACTGATATATAAATAGTTTTCTTATCGTAAGAACATTTGCTCTCTTATATAATTCAGATGTTCCGAATCGGTAAGGCAGGAAAAGAGCTACTTTCAAGAGTGATCGTTGAGCGCGTTCGAGGTTGAGAAGTTTAGTTTTGGAAGCTCCACCCCATGCACATATACAATAACTTAGAATTGATTCAGCTAAAGCCTTGTATGTCTGTATTATAATTCTAGTATCTGATAAAATCCTAATATTTTTAAAAATGAACATGAGTTTTCTTACACGCCTAGCCAATAAAGATATATGCACTGCCCACGATAGTTTATCATCAATACGCGACGCCCAAATATTTTATATTATTTATTCTTGTAAGGACTTTACAACTACAATTGAACATATAAATAATAAATAAATATGTTGGGACATTAACACACAGCACCATCTAGTTCCATGGTAAGCTACGAGATCATCATCAGATAATTGATACACTACACTTTAGCTTTAAATACTATATATTATAAATATACAAACCCATGGCTGGAGTACAAAACTCGTGCTCATCACACAAATTAATGCCCCCAGCGGGACTCGAACCCGCGACCGCTGAGACAGCAAGTAGGGTCACTACAAACTGAGCGAAATATAATAAATATCATATGGACATATTTAAAACACAAATTTATTAAGTTATAAATTAAGTTGAGTTCGTGCTGATCTCAAAAGTAGTACGGATTTTCATAAGGTTTTCACCAATAGAAAGTAAGATTGTCTGAAAGGTGCTTATAAATATTATATATACAAAATAATGTATCGGTATGATAAAATTTTGAATGAAGTCATTAGTTTAAATAAAATAAAATAATATCACAAATTAAAAATCAAAAACTAGCTTGATGCGTTATGCGTGTTTAATAGGTACCATAAGTATAAAATTAATGTTTATAAATCATTCAGTTTTATTCTAAATAGTAAATATTGATGTGCACAAAAATATTTTTGTTATAATTATGTATTCTTATTTTATAAGACTGGCATTAACATGCCACATGTATAACTACATAAACGACATTACATTATTATTGTGTCAAAATACAAAATAGTTGAAATGACTAACAAAGATGGTACGTGGTTTTTATTTTTATATATAATATAGATGTTGGTAATTGTTTTATTTTATTGAAAGGTTTTAATATTGTTATTTATATTTGTAAAGAAATATTTCATATTTCTACAAAGAAATTTTTGAATGAACATGGGATATAGTAGATTCTCTACATATTCATACTTAATTTATTAATGTAACGCTGATTAGAAAAAATAAGCTTATTTTAATCGTGGATCTTTCATCTTTAGAGAAGCTTAATTCCAGATAGATTCACTGTAAAAAATGTAAAAAAAATGATATTTAGATTTAATATTTAATTGTATAGATGATGAAGACTCCACATGTAATCCTCGCGTGGCTGCGTTGTTAGCTGTTCATCTTGTAAGTCAAGTGTTAGACGAGGCTTTCATTATAGTAAATGCAGCAAAAGAATCAGGTTCGTAAGTTTTTTATATAAAGTATATTATAATCAGAGCCGAATTTAACATTAGCGCCGCCCTTGGGCACAGTAAAAAATGCCGCCCTATTCGCGGATTTATTTTGATTTTTGATTCCCGATGTTTCGAATGCTTTACAGCAATCATGTTCACGGGAGAAACTAAGGTTTTAGACGTCTCAAAGGAGTTATATACTTGTTACAGACAGTGCCTACCCACAATTTTACTAAAATGATTTAAAAAATCAAAAATGGCACCATACTAGTCAATCTTTTTTCATTTTTTGTAATATAAAAAAAGCATTTTCGATAACACGAAGATTTTTTTTTCCCGCCGTCCGAATTTTGCTGCCCCTAAAAATTTGCTGCCTTGGGCACTAGCCCCGAGTGCCCCTAGTGTAAATCCAGGGCTGATTATAATACTAAACAAAAACAAATCTATCCCACGGGGAGTAACCAACATCCAAAGATCCAAACATCTAAACTTTCACAGTTATACTATTAGTAAGATCAAATAAAATAGAATATTTTTTCGAATTAACTTCAACATCTAAAAAGATTTTCCAAAAAGGATGCTCGCCTTTCTCAAGTATATACCTAGTGCATACGCTCATGATGATGATGGCTTTGGAAATTATAATGATTAATTTTAACAATAGCGAAATGAAACGGATAATCCGCAAAAAAATCACGCACTTCAGAAACTCAACTTCAAACAATCATTGAGATTCAAATTATGTTTTTGAATGCTTCTTTTTATCCAGCGTAATTAATAGCTACATGAATAACTACGAGATATATATATATTATATCGATGCCATAAAATCCGCCTGCTTTATATGGTTGAGGACTCGAGTCATTAAAAATAAGACCACTCGGATAAATATTGTGTAGCAAAACCACTGTAATCATTTGATAGATTTTATATTGCATAAAAAATATAATAGATTACCCGTTTATATATAAAAAATTAACAAATGAAATATTTAACGCCCATAACCAATTCATTAAATTAATTACAGGTGAACCATGGAAATACTCATCAAGCTTAAAAAAATTACGAAATCAATATTTGTGTGACGAATCACATGATACTAACTTGACTTTTACAGTGTCTCGTGGCGACAATCGTTACATTTATGAAAATGTAAAAAATATTACGTCAAGTACAGTTGCTACTTCTACACCTCAGAAGATGGATAGTAAGTTAAACGTGTAATTCATCTTTAAAAATGTCTCATTAAGAATTAAAAATTGACTTTTAAGCTTAACCATAGATACCAACACCAAACGCAAAAATGAAGCCAGTATTATAGGTCAAGGGGATGAAGAATTTGAAGTGGTAAGTGATAAGATATTATGTTTTTGTTGGCTCACATTCAACAAAAATAATATTCTCTTCTTTATCTCCATTTGAATACATTCCTATTTAGAAAAGCATTTTCACTGCATTTTCACACCAAAAAATGACACATTTTTTATGACTTTATTATTTTAATTAATAATTAAGTATAATAGTCAATTAAATTTTAAATTTAAAAATTAAATAACTTAATATGTGTTCCTTAGAATACGTATACTTATTTCATGTATTTTGATTGCATGTTCTTTGACAGATTTTTTTAAATATAAGTATGAAAGCGTAATAAATTAATAATATTAAGAGTTACTTTATTTTCAGAAAAACCATGAGTTACGAAAGTCCACTTCTATGTTTATAAATCATCTTTTCGACATGAGCGATGTAGAGCGGGTGATAATTTGTGAAGAGCCATGTGTACAAGATACTATAATGTCAGATGAAAACCTACCTGGAATCTTAAAAAAAATTGTTGAATCTTATGTTGAATCCGCTGTTGATATTGCTTTTGCAAGACAAATTGATGAATTGGGCAAAAACGCCGAGAAATCTTTACAAATATCTGAGCATTCAAGCTATTCCTTTTTGGAAGATGCCTATTTTGCAGAAATTAATAAGGATTTTATGATTTATGAGTATCCGCAAAATCAAGGGCATAAAGAAAGCATTAAGTGGAAAACCGAAAACATCAATTGTGAAGTAGAAGAGGTAGATAGTTATATATTCTTTATTGAAAAAACAATCCCTAAAACAATACATATAAATACATTTTATTTATTTATTTACAGTATTCTGAAATTCGTTACAACGAAAGAAACGACATTGAACCTGTTAAAATGTATGAAGACGCGTATTTGACATTAAATCGTAAGTTTTAATTAGCTCCATAGTTTGTGATACATTTTAAAATATTATAAGTAGGTATAATATTATTATTTATTTTAGGTGACTATGAGCAATATTCTGAGGAGGAAGAGCCCGTACTGCAAGATCCCAAATCTATTTCATTGCAAGAAGTTGAGTTAATTACTACCAATACTCCAAGCAATGTAACACCACGACAGGTGTATAAATACTTTTTCATAATTGGTATTTTACAAACAAACATTAAACAAATAAATATATTAAAATTTGCTCTTAAAGTATTTCTTGGATGCGAAATATAATATATCCTTAAGACATACATATGTACAATACATCAAATTCTATATCTGTATTGAGAATAGCAATTTAAATGTCACGTAGATAATAAAAGTTTAACATAAATTAAATCATTATTTTAAGGACGAAAAGGCATTGGTCGCTGTATCTGGCGTATCTACGTCGGGTACACGTAAGAGTAGTTTGGCACGGCGATGTCGTATTCAGGGTGCTAGACTTCTATCGTGTTTGAGGGGATGGTGGTGGCGACGCAAATTATTAGGCAGAAGGAAGGTGTAGTGTAAAATATTATTACTTCTTTTATTTCTAGATTGAAGAAAGGCTTATCTAACAATCTGCATATCAATGTAGTAAATAGTAAGTCGTAAATATAATAGTTTTTCAAATTATAGTGAATGTAGTTAGATATTGGAATCTACTTATACATTTTCATTGTATTTTACAGGCAATCACTACAGAATTATATATTTTGCAGAAAGTTCATGCAGGTTCCATTAGAGGGCTGTGCCCGCTATCTCCGGACGCACGGCGACGAGCCTCGAGTCTTCTCGACCAGCGCAACCTGCGTACGCCTTCTCCGTCTAGATCCGTTGCTTGGAAGTTTAACACGGTTAATGAGGCACTCGTGCATTCATCTCGTTGGAAAGATTTCGGCTATAAGATGAGCCTCAACGAAAATGATGAATTTTGATTTTAGAGTAGTTATTCGTTTAAAGTCATATAATATATCTAATAAAATATTATTTTGGACTTTGCGTTTTATTTTATTATTGTTTTCTAATTTTTTTTTCATCTTGACGTTTTTTTATCTTGCAAAAATGTTCGCGCACCTTGGATTCCTGGTGCATATATATGATATAGATCGATCGAAATAGCGTAAATGTAGTTTTGCTATAGAACAAGTCCGATGCTGAGAAAAGCTTTGCATCTCTTTCTCGCCTAGATGTTTTTGTAGCGTCTGAAGATGCTGCTGGTACGGTTCAACTCCGCCGAAAATAGAACGGTCGCGGATTCCTGGGCTAAATCTCAAATATCCATACAAGAGCGCCATCTGAGCCAGTTAAAACAGTCCGCCGAAAAGTTGCAGAGCCCCACTTCTTGTCTGAACGTCTGCCAGTGAAGACCGGGAGGGAACCAACTAACACCACACAAAATGGTGAGTTAGAAATAAAGGGAGTGATATTGTGACAAGGAGTTCAGTGCTGTTGAAACGGAATAATAATGAACAAGTGCAACATAAATCGCGTTAATACATTGTGATATATTCCGCAGACCGGAAGCAATGTAGCATTAGCACAGTAACTACAAAATAGAAAAAAACAGTGATGTGCTTGAGAAAGTGGAAAGATTTCATTAAAAATATCCATGAATATGGATAAAAATAATACTTAGTGTTGTGATGTAATATACTGTAATGTACCATATTATTATGTATCACATGCTTTACACGCACAGTAACAAACTTTTTTTTTAAATTTTCAGAGCGACCTCAGCAAGAACGAAATTGAAAGTAAGTATTTTGATAACTTTTTATATTGTTCCGTAACCTAAAAATAAGCAGTTAAATAAAAGATCTAAATATATTTCATATACTTAAATATATCCACAACCTTATATAATATTAATTTACACTAATACTATGTGGAGTTCAAATATTTCTTGGATGAATTACTAATAGCTCGGATAATAATCTATGTTCTATCTAGGTACTACATTAATAGAGAATTGTATTAACTAATATTGCAACGCGGAAAAGTATTCGTACATCTAAGTATAGAACGATTCTCATAAAAGGTTCGCGTTGCTAAGATATGCCGGTGGTGCGCCTGCTTTGCGTTCCAAATATAACTGTTGCGTCACGTGATCTCGCTCGCCCGCCCGCCCAAACAGAGAAACAGCGCTCGGATTTCACTGTTAGCGCCACACTTATTGTTTAACGTATTTTTAGGTCATTTAAGGCAAATTGCTTAAACTTGAAAATAATTATAGGCTAGATTTATCGTTTAGTCAATATCAAGGTCATTGAATTTCACCAACTATTAATGAATATTTAAAATGATAAGACATTCGCACACGATGATTTATTTAAAATTGACATCTTATCTAAGCAAATTTAGTTTTCTTATACCTATTGACTTTTTATTTTCTTAAATGATGATTGATTTTTAAATAGATTTTATTAAATAATACTAATATTACGGATACTTTATCGAAACTGTAACGCGTTTACAATCGAGTTATTAATAACTCCTGAGTCACAAGTCAAAGCTGAACAAATCTAAACTTGTGAAAGTATCGTATATTCGCCCACGTCCGCCCACTACGATACCTGAACCATGGTGTGTAATATTAAAACTTTAGAAACAAAGTCGTTCGTTTTTATTATTCTACTAGATTACTTTATAATAATAGTTTACAATATTATTAAATTAGTAAAGACACTAGTTAATTTATAATGACTGGTGTTCACTCTCTCTTTTTGTAGTTATTTATAATTTAATACTATATTTATACAAGTCTTATTATAACTACAAAATTGAAATACCCAAGAATTTTATACAATTTTTTTTATGTTCTCCATGTTTGATCCAGGGGCATCCTTCGCCTTCTCCATCTACGACTTTGAGGGCAACGGCAAAGTCGATGCCTTCAACCTTGGTGACATCTTGAGGGCACTCAACTCCAACCCCACTGTCGCGACCATTGAAAAGCTCGGAGGCACCAAGAAGAAGGGCGAGAAAATGCTTTCGGTATATAATACGTATAATCTGATTTTATTTGATTGTAGATAGATAATTTCACTATATCTATACAGAAGATAGTTTCGTAGTAACAGAAATTGCTAAGGAAAAATGTTAACCAGCCAACCATATATGGTAATTTAAGAGTAAGTGACAATTAATTTTATGATGTTTTGATCTTACAGCTTGAAGAGTTCCTTCCCATCTACAGCCAATGCAAGAAAGACAAAGACCAGGGCTGCTATGAAGACTTCTTGGAATGCCTTAAGCTGTACGACAAGAACGAGAACGGTCTTATGCTTGGCGCTGAGCTCACACACACACTTCTTGCTTTAGGTACGTAGTATGTTGATAGCATCATTCATACAGAGAATTAAATATTTTTTACAGTATCTTCAAATAAAAGTTAATCTTTCTTGATTAGCAGTTATTTTATATTGCAAAGGTTATGTTAATCATTCCTTTTAAAAAAATTGCTTCATTTTTTGTTTCACTTTGATTTTATTTCATACTTTATATTTATACTTTAAATCTTTATAAAAGGTGAGAAGCTTGAGGACAGTGAAGTAGCGGAAATCACAAAGGACTGCATGGACCCTGAAGATGATGACGGCATGATCCCATATGCATGTAAGTATTACCGAGTTATCACCTTGATTTGAATGGTTTTGTAGATGACTTGTTGTTGAAAATATTTCTTCTATTTAATTGTAAACCATATTTTAATTTTACGCTGCATTTTATTGACAGAATGTTCTTGTTGGATAAAATATTCTTATTAGATAAATATTCAAATATAGAAATATTTTATTTTTGCTTCCTATAAAAGGCAATTTATATAAAATATTCAAACTTTTACAACGCTTACAAAATATCGATTTGGATTATCATTAATTAATATACTAAGTACAATACTTAATTTTTAAGATAAAGTTCTTAATAGTATTTCAATTTAACCGGAATAAAATAAAAAAGCAATACTATTGTTCCTTTAATAACAATTATTACAGATTATCAAAATCAAAGAGAGACATACATTTACGTTTAGACATTACATTTGGGTATATATAGCAGACATGTAGTGTTTTTGGAATAAAGAAAATTCAATTATTGTAAACAACTACTATACATAGACAATGATTGAATAAATGCATGAGTGAGAAGTATATAGTTTATAATGTTTCTTTTGTAGATTATCCGTAGTATTAATCTTTAAATACTCACAGTTGTAAGTTACATATATACAATGTAATTTCAATGGAATTATGATTCAATTCTTTTGTAAAAAACTGGAAAGTATATTAAAAATGTCATTATAAAATGACACCATTTCCGTATGTATCCTAATGGACATCGATAGGACAGACGTCCATTTTCTTTGACCTGTTGTGTTTGTCCGTGTGGATTTGTGTATGACTTATTATACATTTACAGCATTCCTGAAGAAGGTGATGGCGTAGAGGACCGCAATTATCGTCATATCTTTAGCTATAAGATCGTAAGTTATAGAATATCGTAGGCACTGGTGCTATTAAATGTTATCGCTTCTTGTCGCATAAATGCTTATACCATTATTTCAATTTCTGTTTAAGCTCTACATTTGATGATTTCAGCAAAACTTTTATGTGCTATTGTGTCAATGTATCAGATCTAAAACTGTCTTAAAAGTTTACTACTATTATCTACGCTTTTTTTAAATTTTTATATACAATCCTTTGTATAATAATCGTCTATTTTACATAAAATAATAACCAAGCTTTCAATGTGATCGTTCTATGTTATAAAAATGTGTACATCTCTGTTTTACATATTTCTATGCTTAAGCATCATTTTTTCTTATAGTTTTAGTGAATAATTGATTAATAATTGTTTAAACAGTTATTAAAATACTTTTTTTTAATTTACAGCTTTCCTCAAAAAAGTAGTTGCGGGTTGGCAGGGCCCTCAGCAAGCGGCGGCAGCGCCGGCGGAGGCGGCAGAGGCGCAGGGTTAAACTGCTCTAGCGCAGAACCGCAGCCGTCGCGCCCGCCCCAACTACTGTAACAACTCTCCGTTCAAACATCTACGGAATACCCCTTTTTTACGAAACAATTTCATTTTGTACAATCTGTTAATGACTCTATTATTAAATAAGATTAAAGAGAGCACTGTGAACACACGTTGTACGTGTTTAAAATTTATTTATTATATAAGTACGTTTATAATGACAAAACACAAACCATAAGTAATTTTATAATAAACTTTTAAAACTAGCCTTGTGTTATGTTCATCAATTTAGAATATACAGGTTTAAGGATCACTATATAGAAATTTAATGCTGATTGCTAACAAATAAATTTCGTTGTTTTATAAGTCTTTTTTAAGATATTTTATAGATTTCATTGAAAAAAATCACACACAAAATCTAAGAAAAGTATCTATTTAGCAACAACAATTTTACATTTCTTCTTTACTGAAATGACTGCAAGATATATATTTCTCTATGAACAAATTATATAAACACAAACACAGTTTTATATAATAGCTTTAAGCATACATATGTATATTGTAAAGCGCTCAATACAAAAAAGAAACATTAAATATTATGACACATCTTTAGTTATCCCTATTTATCTACGATCTCTAATACAGCAATTAGCCGTATTGAATTACAATTACGTTGATTACAAATGAACAAATTAAATCTTCCCTACATTTTAGCATCCTCAAGTTTAACTAGTACAGAATACGGATAGGTATAAAATACATGAGCAAATAATTTAACGTAGAGAATAAATTAAGCGAATGAAAATCAAAACACACCATATACATACTTAAACCATTGTCTTATTAGAAATTCATGAGTTTCTTTAGGTTAGGGCTACTGGCTACATCTGGGACATTGCAATATCTCTCTAGTGCTTCAACAGTGACACTGATTTGGTATTGAATATCTGATCAATGTGATATACTATAATAAATCCTCTTAATGCTGATGTTAAGTAATAAAATTTATCTCGTTTATACATTTCTTAAGAAAATGAGGTCGTTGTACTTTCATGCAAACAAATTAACGACGCTACGGTATATCAAAGTAAGCCTTTTTTAAGATAAGATAAAAAATTTAATAAGGAAAGTAACTAAGTGTACATTTTAACTTTCAGTTCTCTTTTTTGATAATTAAAAATATTATGTAAATGAAATAATATAAAAGCATACGTGATGGGTTAGCAAAAGTGGTATGTATGATTATGGTGTTGTAAGCTATCTCCATTCTGAATTTCACTAAAATTTGTCGAGATACTACAGGGCATAGTACCTAATAAATATACGCATTCGCTAAGTCCTTGAATTGCATTTTTATAAACTTTTGCATTAAAAATTAAATTCAGTATAAGACATAAATGAAAGAAAGAATTCACCATGGTAGCTTTTTCGGTAAGAGGGGTGGGAACAATTTCCCTAAATTATCCCCCGCTCTTAAGCAGCGAAAATTGCGCGGAAAATGTTTGCCGAATGCCGGCATCAATAGAGTAATCGGGTGCGCTCGGTGTTATTCGGATACGCGTTTGAGGAGTGAAGCTGCGTAGTGTGGCCATTGTTAGGGTACACGCATGTTTAAGAACTGCTTATCTATTAATTATAACAGGAATTTCGCTTTATATGAAATCATACATATGTACGGATTATATAGTGAGTTTATGAGTGTCTGTGTATACCCTATTTTTGAATCAGACCACTAAGATATTTAAAAAAACTATTGATTTGTAGTCTATATTGAAAAACATGAATTAAATAGGAAATAATGTAAAATAATAGAAGTTATGTACATATAAAAGTTATGGTTTTGAACTGATAGATTTTTTAAATAATACCTTTTTGTGTTTTGTTTAACACACACACAAAAAATATACCCGATTTGAGTACCTACTTACCTATTATGAAGTCAGTCAAAAATAATTTCAATACTACATGTGTAATAATAGGTAAAATAAGTTATACTTCATTACATCATAATATTATACATTACAGAAATCATGTTTAAATGTAATTATAATATAAATTGAAATAGGCAAACCTATAACTTTTTTCTGGCAACACCAGTACACTTTCCCGCCCCGGGCGGCTCCACTCTAGTATAGTATGATAGTTCTTTGACGGCGCAGTATTCGAATCCCGTGCGCGAGATCGCGTCATTCTTTTTATTATATTTTAAGTGACAGATTACAGTGATAGTGTGCCCTGTGTAAGCACTTGACAAAAAGTAAGTCTTAATATTTGTGTTAGAATTTTACAGAAATTATTTTTATAAAATAAAGTGCAAAGAACGAAATGATGCTCTTGTTGTACGCAATAAATAAAAGACTTGGCAATATATATCGTATACTTGTTGACACTGTAGTATCTTAAAATAAATGGATTTTCTGTGTTAAATAACTTTTAAAAATTGACAAATACATTAACAATTAGAAGAAAATTGTCACATACATAGTATATTCGTAATGTCCAAATAAAATCATTATAACTCTTTTAAATTTTTACTTGTTGATGTAAAGATGTTAATAAATGAAGCTTTCATTTTCAGGTGCAAAGTGAAATATTTGAAAATATGGCGGAAGTGAATAATTCACCCACTTCTGAAAAACATGTAGATAAACACAATACAGGTAGGTCTTATTACTTAAGTTTTATTTATTTAAGTTAAATAACATTGCTAGGAATATATAATAATAGAAATGCTCTTATCGATACGAGAACCTTAAAAAAATGAACCTTCAAAAAATCAATTATTTAAATCGTTTTTCTATCTTTTTTTGCTAATTTAAAATTCAAGACCGTTAACATTTTTGAATTTTGTTGATGATGAGAGACCAGTTTATTTCATAACTGAAACGAGTTTTATATTGTAAAATGTTGTTGTGGAAACTAAAACCTTTTCGTTTTATCTGTACTTTTACTACTTACCAGGACTTTTTCATAGTATATGTACTTCTGATTATAAAATTATATTCGAATTCTCGTGAAGCATATACATTTTACATGTACAAATGAATAATCATAAAACGATACATTTTGTTGGTCTATTATAACAGAAAAAAATTATTGTAAAATTTATCAACTTTGATTAAATCTTTAATATTTGATGTTTTATTTTAATTTTAGAAATAATCTCCAATTAGGCCATTATGCCATTAAGTAAAAATAATAATAATAATGAGTTAAAATTATACAGTTTTTATAAAAACAAAAATTATTTTCCCCAAAGGTACGCGGTGAAATACCGTAGTCTGTGTATAGGGCTCTAAGGCGGACTCGAGAACCATCGTACGTGACATAATATAAACTTAGTAAGTCTTACTAAACAATAAGCTACCGCGTACAAAAAATAAGTTTTGAATATTTTATGAAGTTAATAAATATAATACAACTTGTAGTATTATATTCGTAAAAATACATATATATTAAATATTTCATAGACGTTGATGACTCTACATTCCTGAATCAATAATATTACTTTACATTGACATACTCGTATCAATTTATTTGATGAATATCCGAAAGTAAGTAGAATTTTTTTTTTAAGAAAAAATAATATTGAATTTTACCGTCTTTTGTGATTTTAAACCTGTTTTCTAAAAAGATTTTCATAATAATATTAAAAGGTGTAACACTAATCTCGTTCTTGTTGTTTTAACTAATTAACGTTATAACAAAATTATTTAAAATTAAAATAACACTTTAATATAAATTGGCTGAAATTTTGTTTAAAAGAAAAAAAATGTAAAGCAATATCTTATTCATTCATTATATTACACAAATTCAAATTAAATATTACCTCCCGTATGGTCTAGTGGCTAGGATACCTGGCTTTCACCCAGGAGGCTCGGGTTCGATTCCCGGTACGGGAAATAGTTTTTTAGTCTCTCATTGACAAAAAATGTCATAAATATTCTTTTTATGTAATTTGTTATGAAATTATGCAAAGTATTTTGTTTTTTTTTTTAAATTGTAAACGATGCCAATTTCATTCAATTTAGAAAATTGTGCAGGAGCTATGCAATTATCTTTATGGAGACAAATGTCTAACCACAATTAGTAAAGATTACCGAGAACTCTTACTCTGATTGGGTTAACAAGTCTGCTCTAGATCATAAAAATTTTGACAGATTTTATATAATTCCTTTATAAAGAATCCCTTCTGCACATAAAACACTCAATTTATGCATAAATAAATCGTTGACAACTTTAATAAAAGAAACTATGTATATCAATTGATTGTTTCGACCTATATTTGTACAATATAGGTATCATGACATTATAAAATGTGGACATATTGAGTACAATACGAACGTATATCATAAATATATAGAGCTCCGATAATTCATTCAAGGCCACTTTTGTTTATAATATTTTATATATATTTGTTCAAGAAAATAAATAACAGAAATAACAATCTACTTAAGAGAAAAGGCATGCTAAAACATTATTATTAAAATACTATATCATATTTTATTTAATGCATTTTCAATGTTATCCTTTTTATCTAATGACTGTGTTATCGAAATATTTAGATATCACGTCAAAGTTATTTTTTATATCTATAATAAAGTTATGATATCAAAATTCTGCTTTAAAATTATAATGTGTGTAACTCATTACTCAATATACGAGGATTATACAAAATTTATACATATACTAGCAGAAACCGCGGCTTCGCTCGCGCTAAACTACAAAAAAAACTCTAAAAAGTTAGGTTTCTTACAAAGTACTTTCATCCCCTATTTTACCCCCTTATGGGATGAATTTCGTAAAATGCTAAAACACGTATTTATATAATTGAACTGAAGAGCATTAATACTAAGTTTCAAGTAATCCTGATTATTAACATTTCTTGGGTTGTATTATAACGTGTTTTCCCGTGGGAATGAGATAATTTCCCGCGGAAAAAAGTACCCTATGTCACTCTCCAGCCTTCCAACTATCTCCACAGAAAAAATCACGTCAATCCGT